CCAGACGCATATACAATGGAAAAGATGAAGTAGGCTGTTAGACCAAGGATCTTTATAAGCGCCAGGATGTACTCTGCTTCTCCAAAAGCCGTGATACCTCCAATGATCTGAAAGGCCAAGAATATCGTCCACAGAATAAGAAACCAGCCCCAGAGAGGAACTCGAGGCGCCCAGAAATTGAGAATGCTGCAGATGACGTTGTACTCGCTGGCTAAGACGGTGGCCCAGATGATGAAATAATTCCAACCAACGGCCACGGAGAAGGACTTGTCGACCATGCGCTCAGCTAATGAGACAAAGGCGCCGCCACCTGGATATAGGGTGGTAATTTCACCCAGAGACTGCATAACTGAGAAAGCAATGATACCTGGATAGGTTTAGTAATAGAAGGGCTGGACATTGATATCAACAAGCATACCGATAACACCAAATCCAATTATGAGTGAAGCTGGCCCGCCGCTGTTCAAAGCTCCTCCTGAGCCAACCAGCAAACCAGGACCAATGATACCGGCGAGTGCCATCATGGACAGATGGCGATTCTTCAACCCGCGCTTGACACCTGAATCTGGGTCGATTAAGCCATGGTCACTGTTGTCCACGCTGCGCACTCCATGTCCATACTGCTGCTGATATCCCGGAGCGTCTTCGCCAGAGACATCGTCCAGTCGCGGCTCGTCGTCAAACTTGCCAGACCTGTTATGGCGAAACATGGCGTATTCCTTGGTTCACTCGTCTTCCCTTTTTCCTTCTCTCGAGTACCTAGTCGCTGTAGCAATTGTTACAAAGAAGAGAGAAGAGGTGCTGGCGGGGGGAGGAGAAACGAGCCGTAAATAAGGCAGGCCTTCAATGAGACAAATCCCCAGCAAGAGCCCGAAAAATCCAGAAAAAGCGGAATAACCATCCAGCCACCGTGATGATGCAAGAATAGAGATTTCATGTAAGACGGCTCAAGTCCGAATACTTTCTCTTATTTCGAGGCACTAACGCACCTGGGCACAGCGCGAACCGTGATGTTGCGATGGTGGTTTTTTCCCTCTCTGACCGTTGCTCTGACTCGGTTACGTGCTATGTAATTTTCGCCGTGTTATTCGAGACCCTTGCTGGCGCATCTAGCTTGCAATCACGTCACTTCACGTTTTTGCCTCCACATGGTGGATGGAGAAGGCGTTTGCGGTGTGCGACTGTGAGACATGCGAGGCTGGCTGGAAGAAGAAAACTTGTGTGTGCTACGTATGCGAGATCGCTCCATGTGATCAATATTCCAATCTGCTCAAGCTCACAGCTGATTTACTAAATTCGCCTAATTCTTTTTTCTTCTTCTCATTCATTCGAGAATATTGCTCGCGAGCTGCGTCGCTGTCCAAGGCATCCATTCATAATCCCGGTCTTTGATATTGAGCTAAAAATGGCGCCGATCACGACATCGCCCTTGGATCCATAGTGGAGAGCCTTTGAATGGCCAAAGCGGCACGAGGCTGTCAAATGGACAGAATATGGCCCAGTGACATTCGATATTATGTACTCGTATGCGCTGATGAGAAAACGAAGATACGTTGGGCACTTGGCTGTTCTTGAAGCAGTCCCTGAGATATTGAGAGGAGAGAAGTATTCTGCTTGGCTGCAGAGATTTGAATCTGTGCTGACCTGGGACCCAACGCGAGACGGAATACGCCATACAATCCGCGACTGCTTCAAGAACAAACTTAAATATTGTATCATATTAGCTATTGTCCTCTCATCTTCTAATTTCTTACTCCTTGATCTTTTCTCATGACACAATCATGTAGCCAATAGCCGCAGGGAACGTATCTCTTGGACTCGATCAACCAACCCGCAGCTTCGAGACTACTGTTGCATTGACATATATGCGAAAATTTGTCGAGTGCTCTCTAGAAATAACGTTGTGTATTGCTATTCCATTAGGAGAAGTATAGTATTATCAAAGATCTCGGGTAGAAACTCACACCTACGTAAATGAATGCCTCTGGTACAGTAAACAGACATAGACGGGCTCGCCAGACTTTGAAGCCAGGTCAGATAGCCCACGCACATATGAGTGCGCGTACTGATACATTAACAGTTAGATGATGCACCGAGGGTCCGATCGGATCGCCGGTGAAGCATCGAACCTTATGAGCCGAGTTGGACTGTATATTACTAGGGAAATTTCTGCTCCATTCTCGGTACGACCACCCTGGCAGTATGAGGTATGCCTTTTTCGGTTTTAATTAGCATCAAAGAGCTGTCGCTATATATGTGTATTATAAGTTGAATGCTAGGTTATGTGAGTTAGTAATTACATCCGTTATGCTACCCTGACAATATTTATTCCGTTACCCATTGATCTGGTTAACTGCTTTACTTCAGGAGAACTGACTGTCGGGTGATTAATTAAACTCCTTCTCTCCCAAATGTGACGGTTTAAACCTCCCATAACAAAAGATGTGAGATGTGAGGAGCCAGTCCTGGTTTATATGTAAAAGACACAACTCGCCAGTCTGAAGAGCAACCAAACATCTCACTACAGCTACTTTACACTCTTTTGCACCCAACTTAATATTACACCTCTATCAATTTGTCCCATTCCACTGGCAAATCCTCCTAACAACTTCGCTAACGTGGGCTTGAAGTCGTGCTTTCTTTGTTGCCGTCCCTGCGTTCTCCGTTAGAGAAGCGTATAAATACTCGTCAAGAGGGAATCTTGATAATGAAATAGGCTAACGTTGTTGAAACGAGGTTAGCGGAACTTCGAACAAAGACAAGACAAGCTACAATGCCCTTCAAAGACTATTTCGCAGTCGAGTTAGGTGCAGCAAACGTTTTGACTAGAAGTCGGACTCCAGTGCGTGTGAATAGAACGACCGATGTACATGCATACCTATGTAGCAAGACCATAATGAACCACTTTCGATTCAGGTATAATGATAGGATGAGATGTATAGCTCTCATACTCCCAGTAGTGGCCGGAAACAATCTTTCTACCGAGTATTCAACCTACCCAAATCACTCTCCATAAAGGCCTTGATCGGATGGTGGATGGGCAAAGAGAAGGAAACATTAGCATCGCAGTGAGCCACTTTTACAGATAGGTAGGTAATTGATCAATAGGAAAAAAATTCCATTATGTTAGAATAGCGATTTTAGGACTACCCTCGTTATATAAACAACAATTTGGGCTGAAGTATATAACATCTCAATACCTGCTATACTTGATGAGAAGCAACATACTTGCTTTGAACACGTTACTTACTGCATGACGCACTAAATATCTAAATTATGAATTATATGATGTAATATATGAAGTCTTCTGTGTACCGAATAATCTTCGTAGAGAACACTCCTCTCGCATGGAACCACTGAATGCTGTGCGATCCCGTGCATTGGACCGCCTTATAATATTACTAAAACAAGATAATTGTAGGCCTCATTAAATTTTAGAGCCTACATAAATTACTCAATAAGAAGAAGTTCCAATTTGTCCGTAAAAGCCGTTGTGAATCTGTTAAACACCCGGTTGTAGACTCACTCTGAATAGCGGCCATGCTCGACCACCGATCAGATCCAACGAGCTATAAAAACGAAGTATTTTGTTGTAAAATTTGTGCACTACTCATTACAAACATGAAGTCCAGCCTCGCTCTCCTGCCGTCGCTGCCCCGTCTTCTGCTACAGAAGCATGCAAATGCCTGTCACACGGCAAACCTCTCACAGACATCGCCTGGCCTTGCTGCGTTCTTCACGGAGAATTGAAATAAGGCCGCATAAATTGCGATGGCCTTGCCGGTGGTGTATTCGGCGATCTTGCTGATTGCTGCGAACAATATTGGAGCTGCCATGTCGGATTGCGACCCATGGGGATGATTGGGTGATGACCGATTGAACTGTGTAATTGTTGACCGACCTTTGGCATTCTCGAGCTCGGCACAAGTTTTTTTCTTTCTTATATCCTAGTTGATCGACTGTTGTTAAACTTACAATATTGAATTCACAATTAGCAAAGGTCGCAAATGGATGATAGATGCAAGAAGGACAATATTGCTTTTTTCACGGGTTGTGCGACTGCTGGGGCATCGTAGATGATCCCAAGAGAGAAGAAATCTAATCCACATGCTCAAAATTGATTCGTCGACATGAATGCTATTGAGATAGAATGGGAATTTCAGCAACCCACCTGTATGCATCAATACATAAGGTGAGCATACCATAGCCCTGTTCAGGTGATGGCTTGAGTCGAGTCTTTACAGCTAGATGATACGGAATAATTTAAAACATTGCTTCATAGCAAGTCAAGTCAAGTCCCGTTAGATATATCAAGGAGTCGCCTTGTAACAACTCCCTCATTTCTGTTGCATCAGGATCGAGACTTGATCGAGACTACCAGACCAAAGAGTCGTAGGTCACCAGCGACATCGCTCTAGTTCATAGGGAGATGTATTATTTATGACGTATTAAATGACTGTCCTTATTTCATTAATTAGATTTTCTCTCTTTCCCTTGGAAAATAACCTTGAATGCTTTGTTTAGATCTGCTAATAATGATTCTATTCTGATCCTAGCTAAAATTCATAATTCATTTGACCGGAAAGCTACTCCACAAGGTTGGTATTTCCCCCTCGCTACAGAGTGCCAATCGCTATGTAATCCAGGGTATCCCAACTGACCAACATTCCTAATCATGACGTTTATGCCTTCAAATATGAAGAGCAAAGACCTGCCAGCTCTACAACTGCTATCTAGTCTATTATCTAAGTGCTATGAGTCATCCACGAAGTTCTCTCATACTCTATGCAACCAGCTCCATAAAAATGATATAATTCTACGACTCGAAACGAAGCCTCAGCTGATAACGACATCTTATTCGGTGCGCGGTTCAGGGAGCTGAGCATGTTCGATGGGTGATGTTATAGTCAAAGGCCGTCAGTATTCCAACCAACTGGGACACCGTGGCACAGACTACTAGTATGTGGAAGAGTTGATGGGAAGAGCCGTATATGTCGAATTTACCAGGATAGCGGCTCTCGGGAAACTTGGTCTGTAGAATCATGGTGTTCAGCATCAATCTCCATCACATGCGAATTCTGGGGACTTACGACATAAATCAAGGCCCCAAGCAGAAGGCATCCTGCTTCGGCCAGATAATAGGGTAGTCCGGACTGCTTCATCATTTGCGCCCAGCCGAACATGACGATTCCATGTATCAAGGGTGCAAAGCCGGATAGGCCTGTACCTACAAACGCCAGTGCTCGGAAAACGCGGAACTCTTTGCCCTTGAACTTGGGATTTAACATGATGAAGATGGTTATCGATCCGAGAACCCCAATCTGTCAACCAAGGTAAGTGTTGGAAACGAAATTAAAGAATAAGAAAAAAAGAAAAATGGAGATTGACTCACCATAGACCAGTAAATCTTGCGTTGTGTAGGTTCACACCAAAACACCATGTAGATTCCCGATACAAAGTCGCCCAGCGTTAGGATAACTATGCCAACCAGATCAAATCGTAGCCAAAATTGTTCAACCTCGTGGGAGTGGTTCATAAGGGTGTGATATGTCGCTGACAGCCCCATACAGACAACACCAGTTAAGAGAAAGAAGGCGAAGATGAAGAAATCGGTGCCCTTCATATTAGAGTGGTTGGCTGCAAGATATTGTAGAATATACCACTCGCCGAGAAGAAAAGCGACTGCTGGTATCAGGTGAGAGAAGATGTTGACCGTCTCGTTGTGGATAAACGACCAGCTGCGCAATGAAACCTGCGCCGAGCCCGAGATTGGGCGATAGCCATGACGGATAAACTCATTATCCTGATGCCAATGTGGTAGCTCGTTGAACGAGAGAAGAACAGTGCGAGTCTTGCCGGCCCTGGAAGTGCTGCTCAGAAGCCGTGGGCTGAGGGACATGGAATCAGTCTTGGAGTCTCTGTGCGCCACTGGGGCCGACGGCAGAGGAGACGCAAGGCGAAGACGGGGAGCAGATGTCATTGCTGTCGCGTCGCGGCTGAATAGATACGAATAGGTACGAATAGGTACGAGTAAGATGGAAAATGAAGAAGAGAGACTTTACTCTGTGTGTGTCGGTATCTTTCCTCGTCTCTCTTAAGCGCCAGCCTCGCTCACTGCAGAAGCTGAAGCTGAAGTGTGTAGGAGAAAAGCAGAAACGACTCCAAATTTCATGTTTGCTTTTTCAAACCCTGCAAGACCAATGAACCTGCGACACACACGGGCTGGGTGACAGAATCCTTTGATGCCCTCGGACCAACCACGTCGCAGAGCCAACCGCCCACATGCACACTTAGCAAGAGGATGTGCGAGGTCGCTTTGCCTTACAATTCGCGTTTGTCGGCTCAATACATGCTCCGTACTCGTACTTGGCACAGAGAAAAAAAAGCAAATACACCCGACCTCACTGGCGTCGACTTGTGCTGTGCTATCATACTATTATAGGAAGCGAGCCCGCTCAGCTGATGGCGGACGGAAATCCTTCATGCTCTAATGCCGTTTCATTTACGGATACATACAGCCTGCCTGGCACGGATATGCAACACGAGGCCACTCCACCTCGTGCTTTGAGCATTTGCTCTACCAAATGAGAAATGATGAGCTCCAGTGTCGTGAGGAGCCTTCTGTTCTGCCCTGGTTTACAGCATGTCTTCGCCCAATGGTAAAAATGCCTCACTCTGGAGACTGTGCGCTGTGCCTGTAGGAAAAATCTGTTGTCAGACCAATGAAAGGCAGTGCTGTCAACGGCATAGACGGCTGCGGGACTGACGGTAGTTTACCTACCAAGGTACGTGTAAATAGACCGAGGTAATATACTTGTCATGCTGTCCAGTTGACAACTGAGGGAGGGGGGGGGGGTGTCGAACTGACAACATTGAATTTGTGGGCGGAAACTTACCGACAACTTCCTAGGCGCTGATAATGCCTGTCAAGTACCCAAGCGGGGGATCTACTTGAGGATACATGTTCATGTCAACAGGGGTTCCGGGGCTGAAGCTGCCTACATCATGCTACATGTAATATGTGCTAAGGTATTATGGGGATAGCAGTTGAGGCAATGGAAGGCAAAGTCCAGTCTGGAGGATCCTCGTGTGTCCGCTGATGCACACTCCTTGTCTTACTTGTACACATTTGATTGTTTGACCGATGGATTCCTTTCCATGACTTGTTTTTCTCGCCCACATCAACCCGCGCAATGTTTTACAAAATCAATCTCGTTGTCTCTTACATGCCTTAGACAATAGACTGTCCAGACAACTTCCTACTACCTCCAAGATAACACAACGGATTGGCACTACGAGTTCCACTTCCACTTCCATTTTGTCGCTGTGGAGTGCGCTTTGCCTGCCTGAGGATGGCGTCCCGTGAGGACTACTTAGTTGGGTGGGTTTGCGCATTGCCGGTAGAGGTTGCGGCAGCCAAAGCCACGCTTGATCACATTCATGATAACCTGCCTCCATCATCTGATCACAACTTGGACGACAGCAACAACTACATTCTAGGGAGTCTTCATGGCCATAATGTCGTGCTGGCGTATCCCAGTTCTGGCGTCTACGGCCAAGTGTCGGTGGCGAGCGTGGCCGAGCAGTTGCTCGCCAGCTTCAAATCTATCCGGTTCATTCTGATGGTTGGCATTGCGGGAGGAGTTCCAGGAACCAAGGAGGATATTCGTCTTGGCGATGTCGTTGTAAGCAAATCGACGGCTGACTGGCCGGGTGTCATTCAATGCCAATACGATGCAAACGGGGGGCAAGCCGGTGATCAAGGTCGGTTGGTTCGCGGTAGAGCCTCAGATCAGCCGACACCATTGCTTCTCACAGCTATGGGAAAGGCTGAGACAGCTGCCATCTTTGACGAGAGCCACATGTCCAAATACATCTCAGAGATTGTGCAGAAAGACCCCGTCGCCTTTGCCCATCCAGGCCCGGGGGAAGACGTCCTCTTTGAGTCGGATTATCATCACACCGCCGTTGAGTCCGAAGAAGATGGATGCAGTCATTGCAACCCGGATAGAATCCGACCTCGGCAGCCACGGGAGACACAGGATCCCATAGTTCATTATGGATTGATTGTCTCTGGTAATTCTCTGGTACGCCACGGAGTGACTCGGGACCAGCTGGCGCAGAAGCAAGGCGCTCTCTGTATGGAGACGGAGGTGAACGGCCTGAAGGATGCTGCCAAGTACTTGGTCGTTCGAGGAATCTGCGACTATGCAGATTCACACAATTCCAAGCTCTGGCACGCCTACGCCGCCGTCGCCGCAGCAGCATATGCAAAAGAGGTCCTTTCTTTCATACCCGCGGTTGTCAAGACGACAACTCTGGCAACAAACACATATGCTGAGGCCGCACCGGTTCTTGACGCCTTGCTACTCACCCGGCCTGAGGTTGACCGAAAGTCCCTTATTGCTTTGAAAGGCCGCAGAGTTGACGGCACCTGTGAGTGGCTTATACAACACCCTAGCTATCAGGGATGGCTGGCAGATGCCAATCAACCACTTCTCTGGATCTCAGGCGGCCCTGGAAAAGGGAAGACCATGCTGTCAATCTACATCACCGAAGTGCTACAGCCAATGGTTGACACCGGCGAAGACGTTCTCCTATATTACTTCTGTAGCAATCGTGATAAGAACCGCAACACCGCACTCACCATAATGAGAGGCATCATACATCAATGGATTAGCCGCCATCCACACCTGGCGCAACATGTCAAGGCCTCTTTCGAAGGAACTGAAACAACCAAATATACCGTTTCCAGCTTCGTCTCCTTGTGGAGAGTGTTCCTTACTCTGCTTCGGCAGAGCGGGTCTTCTCAGGTAGTCTGTGTGCTGGATGGTTTGGACGAATGCGAAAAGGAATCGCTGGGACAGCTTCTCGATGCCATTGGAACATACCTATCGAACTCTCAGGAAAAGGAGAGGCCACGACTAAAGCTCATTCTTCTCTCCCGACCCCAGCCAGCCATTCTGGAGAGATCGCTTGCCCAATATGAACAGATCAAGTTGGACGCTTCCGGCACAGAGATTTCGCGTGATATAGAGACGTACATCTTCGCCAAAGTTGCCGAATTGGCATACGAACAAAATCTTTCGGAACCACAAATTGCCCAAGTTCAACAGGCATTGCTGGCGGGCGCTGATGGCACCTTTTTGTGGGTTGGATTCGTTGCCAATGAGCTTCAGGGCAGGAGTTGGGACAAGATGAATGAGATTCTCCATCGTGTTCCCAAAGGCCTTGGCGGTGTCTACCAGCGGCTTCTGCAGCAAATCGAAGACAAAGATGCGCTGGTCCCAATTCTTCAATGGGTTGTTCTCGCTGCCCGGCCCCTTACACTGGATGAATTGACGGCGGCCACCGGGATCAAGGCATCCGGGAACTTCTCGGCAACGGACGTGATCAGGAACCGGCTCAGACTCTGCGGACTAATGGTGAAAATCCAAGGAAATGTAGTCAACCTGGTCCACGAGTCGGCAAAGGAGTTTTTTCAGAGTAATCAAGTCAACGTCAAAGGGATCAGCAGGTTCCGCATGAACCACGACACTCATAGGAGTCTTATGCAGACCTGCCTAGAACACGTTGAACGTGGTTATGGAAGTCCCGGAAATATGAAAGAGAGATCTGCCAAATATCCTCTCCTGACTTATGCCAGCCAATATTGGCCGGTGCATTTCCAGCACGCCATTGATGCGATTGATGTTTCGTCCGAGTTTTCGCGCCCGTTCTTCCAGGCTGAATCTCCAGTCCGGGATGATTGGTGGAAGTTCTACTGGGAGCAGGAGAAGAATGGTAGAAACGCGCCCTCGTTCACGCTCCTGCATCTCGCTGCGTATCTTGGCAATGTGCCTTGGGCCAAGCTGCTGATGAAAGAGAGTTCTCGTGCCATTTCACGAAAGGACAACTATGGCCGGACGCCGCTTTCCTGGGCTGTCAACCGAGGCCATCGAGACATGGTCGAATTACTGCTTGACCATGGTGCTCGTATCAATGTCAAAGATCGGAGCGATTTGACGGCACTCCACGTAGCTGTCACTGGACAGCACAAGGAGATTGTGTCTGTGTTGATCGATCGAGGTGCCCGTCTCGAGAGTAAATCCGAGCATGGCGACACACCCCTGATTCGAGCCATTCAAGCCAACTCTAGGGAAATCATCCAGATTTTACTCGAACGTGGAGCGCGCGTGAACAAATTACCAACTCCTCCAGGAGTTGCGTCCCTGAGACCACCTACGGACCCAATGGAAGAGCGAGTAAAGGAGCTATTGATGCTTCAAGAACCAATTTTTCTTGCAAGATACAACAAGGCATCGCGAAATGTTGGCATGGTCATGAAAGTCATGGGCCTTTCGTTCCGCTTTCCCGTCATTCTTCGATTGATGACACTATATCTGAAGTTTATAGCGTTTGACCGTTGGGAGCACATGTCTGTACTGCAGGAGCTCGTTGACGAGAATAGAACGGACGAACTGCGAGAATGGGCCGAGCAGTATCGCGAGTTCTTCGTCCAGCTGATTGTTGCTAGGAATCCTAGGAGACTGACGGCCATGACCGACCTGCCGACGCAGATTTTTCGGGCGGTTGCTCCTGGAGATCTTCACGCATTGCTGGCAATCGCGGTCCTCGTTGGCTCGGAAACTAAACTCGCGGCCAATCGACAGGGATGGAGAGAAGGAGACTTCATCACGGCTAGGGCGTTCTCACATTGGGCCGCCATTGCCTACGACAGAGACGCCGAAGAGTACTTGCACTATGGTGTCCGCGAATTCCTTAACGATTTCGATGTCTGTATTCAAAGGGGAAATCGAGAAGACAACGTGCATCGCTCGGCGGTACTCTTGACATGCCAGTATGGCATGCTGGACAACAAGGAGCCGAAACCAATCGATTACTTCGCTAGGGTCATTGCGGAATTCTACGAAGGATACATTGGGAGCGGCCACGAAGTTGATTTGTTCAGTGACTTGAATCAGGCGTGCGCCAATGAGCTCATGGTCATCAGCCAAAGCCAAGACTCTCACAGGCTATCTCTCTTCTTAACGAGTATTGTCCAATTCGCTCAGCGTTCTCGAGACAAGGGACTGGACCGCTTTCTCAACATACCATCAGCATCATGCTTGATTCTGTGCCAAGAAAATGCCGCTGCTCATCGGTGGCTGATTGGCGAAGCAATACCGGAGGCATTTAGTGCCTTGATATCACAACAACCCGCCGGGGCGCTTCAGAAGAGGGCGTGTAAGACTCTTGTGGAGTGTTTGATCATTGCGAAGCAGTATGGGTTGGCACTGCCTGCGGCGGAACTGAAGCAAAGAGTGAAGCAGCACCTGCACGAATTGCCGGGAGTGGAAAATATGATCAAGGGAATAATTGGGTTATAAGTAATACTATGCAGCATTTCTGGTAGGGGAGCGGGCAGAGCAGAGTGAGAGCTAAGTAAATGTAATGAAGAGTGCCTGTAGCTGGGTCTACATTTGGGATCGATTTTGGGTATTATTGGGCAGATTGATACGGCTTTTGAGCGTCCTTTTCCGTTGATGATATCTATTGCTTAGCTTTTGTCAATTACATGTAATTACATATACGTACCAAGACGGTGTTCATCCTAAGGCGTTATTCGAAATATGTATTTACAACCCTAACCCTGTCTAAAATGTGCAGCCGTAGTCAGATAAAGTTCCACTCATTGTAGATGGTAATATTATAGCTAAAAGTACACATGTATATTCTGAAACAATCTCGCCTCTACGAGGTGAATGTGCTATCCTATCAGCCGTTTCCAAAAGCCCGTTGCGCGCGACCGGACCGTCCTCGATTTACGCTTATTGTCATTCGTCTGCGGTGTAGGCGCCGGTGATTTCGTCGGCGTACTTGAAAATGGAGGTTCCGGAACAGATGGCACCGACGAAACCGGGACAGATGAAGACGATTGTTCTGGCTCAGGGAAGGTAGGCCGCCACGACATTGGCGTGATTGACTCGTCCGGTGCAAACGAGACTGATCGATCCGGGATAGAGAACTGACCTTTTCTAAGTGCACGTCTTATCAGGCGCTCCAACTCAGGGTCAGTATCTCGTCTTTGGTATCCAGCTCGGTGAAGCCGTCGTAAAACATCGTTATCCGAGATGAATTCTTCCCAGGTTTTGCGGCCCACGGGGAGGATGTTGGGATCGGCACCGCTATTGAGAAGCAGATCCATGATGGGAAGCATGCGCTTTCTGGCGGCGTAGTAGAGCGCAGTCCTTCTTCCGGAATTTTCGCCATTAACATCATGACCCTCTTTGATGAAGAATCTGATCATAGGAACGTTGCCTATGACGACAGCTTGTCGTAACCATGTGGCCGCCCTGCAACATCGTGACTTGCTGAAAGCCAAGTCACTGACTGCTTTGTAAGGATGGCTCGTCGGCCCAAGGTCCAGCCATTCTTCTGCAGTGAGGCCGCTCTCATCAAAGAGGGCCCGAGGCTCTGTAATGAGAGAGCTATCCATCAAAACATTGATAGCAGCCAGATCTCGGTTATGGACGGCCAGATGAAGAACGGACCAGCCATGGTTGTCCTGCTGAGAAGCACTGGATCTCACGCGGTCGTCTTGTAAGAGTAACTGGATAACCTCGGAATCTCCCCTGAACACGGCGTGATGCAGTGCATTCCAACCGTGACATGTTGACTTGAGCGGGTCGGCTCCATTTTCAAGAAGCAAGCGCACAATAGAAGCATTTCCTCCGTTTGCAGCACAGTGCAACGGTGACGTGCCATAAGAGCTGAGGGCGTTGACGTTGGCCCCCTGGTTCAGCAACAAGGTCACAGTCCAAAGATGGCCCTCCTCTGCCGCCCAATGCAGTGCGGACCAACCATCGCGATCGCGATAATTTGGATCCCCGCCATGATCGAGGAGCAGTTTTACGGTGTCGAGGTGACCAGACGCTGCCGCTTCTTTCAGCGGCACGCCTAGCGAATCTCGAGTCTTGGACATGGTGTCGTTTTGCTCCAGAAGCCTCGAAGCAATTCCATGTCTGTCCAGACCGGCTGCCCAAGCCAGCGCAGACCTTCCATCGCTGCTTGTTGAATTGATATCGGCGCCTGCGTCGAGCAACGGGGTGATGTCTTCTGTACCCCCAACAGCCACAGCCCAGAGGAACGGAGAAAATCCATACTTGTCAGTGATGCATGTATCAGCACCGTGGCGGATCAAGATCTCTACGCCGCCGGGGCTACCCCATGCTACCTCGTAATGTAGCACTGTTTGGCCGCTGTCATCTCCTAGATTTATAAAGGTTTTACCACCTGCGCCCAAGAGCAGCAACATTATGGTATACTCATGAGAATGTCCCATGCAAGCATGATGCAGTGCGGTCCGGCCGCTATTGTCTCTGCTGCTCAAATTCGCGCCTTCGTCGATCAAGGACTTGACCAAGCCCGCGTCGTTGGCCTGCACTGCGTGGTGAAGCTTCGTCATGCCCGACTCGTCCTTGTCCTCTAAGTCGAGTCCTTTTACCGATGCGCTGATATCTGCTTCACGGCGGTCCCCAGTGACATCTGCGGCCTCAGAGTTGTCGTATCCAAGGTCTATTTCTTCGTCCTCCAGCAAACCGTACATGGATCCGCGAATATGTCCAACCCCATTTCCATCATCTTCTGACGATAGGTCGCTTTTGATGCTCTTAGCATCCTCGTTGGTAGGTAGTTTTTGCAATGTAAGCAGAGCAATCTCTTTTATATGGCCTGCAACGTGCAGCTGGAGAGCATCACTTGAGAAGACGGCACTGGATTCGACTTTTTCTGGGGGCTGAAAGTCGTCGCCAAATGGGCACTCGAGCATTTTGTTAAGGGCTGGTCTTCGTGCCGCGTTGCTGAGCATCCCGGCATGTTCTTCAGGCACGCCATGCTCTTCGATTGAATGCTTCTGATAGTCCAGTTCTTGACCAAAGGTGGTTGGGGCGTGAGAAGGGGCCCTGCACTCCCATGTATGCCCGTGAGCGTTTTGCATGTGGCCGATCCACGCTTTTGAGGATTCGAATGTGAGCGGGCCGGTTTTGTGTTGACCTGCCTCTAAACACTGTGGGAAAACACAAATGAAAGGTTCCAAATCTCCGATGACATGATTGCTAGAGCAGGTTAGCTATTTTATTATAACGAAAATACATGTAGCCATCGGCTGCTTACTTCCATAACATTGACTTGGCAGCGTTCTTAAACTCAATAATGACGCCGCAGTATGGACACTCTTGTGTTGGAGGTAATGGAGGAAACGACAATTTGTTGTTCACCAGAACAGATTTAGCCCGAGGAACCTCAGTTGTGGATTTGGCGATTAAAACATCAGTTTGTCTAGCAGTCGTTGCAGTCGTTACCGGCACCACCGGCGCACCACCTTGTCCCGATGTTCTGTTGATCGTAGACTTTGGTACCACACTTGGAGCAAAACGTATAGCCGGAGCCCTCTCCCTGATCTTGGGCAATTGAACTTCGGGCGGTTTCGTCTGAGGATTCTGAACAGTCAAGTCGATGCGCCTTCGGTGGGATCGCTGATAATACAGTCGTCGAAGTCGGAGCGCATTGGCTTTGATCAATGCTGAGCGAAGGGATTCAGGCGCCATAGGAAACCGGAATTCAATGTAGCACTTTGTGTAGTTGCTTAATTCCTCTATGGCTTCGTTCGCCTCTTTATCGTCTACATATCTTTCGATTTTCAGAGCTCGGTTAGTCTTTGCGGACTTTCGTACGGCGTTGGATAGGCGAAAGAGTCGTGACACTGTCCCACCGATTGTGTCGGTGATTTTCGAAAAGTTCTCTTCTTCTGGATCGGCGTCGCTGTCGGAATCGCTTGCGTCGTCGTCGTCCCTCCTCGTGAGTTTTGAATCGCTGTATTCCGATACGCGCTGTCGTTTCCTGCTGGGAGTCTGTGGTGGTGGTTCGTTGATCGGCTTCACTGTTGTCGCGATTCCCATTAGCATAGAATCTCGATCGAATTAGTGCGCTGAGCGACTTACAGGATGCCAAAGTATCGCAAATGACGTCTAGGAGCTGATGTATAATGTCTACAACTGTGGGACTGAATCGGAGCCTGTAGTCCAACGAAACATTGAGCGGCCCATAGACGTCCATGTTTGATGTCCAGAGTGTAAATCGCGCCAGCTGGTCGTCCATGACAGTAGGATCTGGCACAATGTCTGGCAGAACCATGTATTTGCGGAAGAGCGAGTTGCATTGCATTGCATGTTCTGCGATGGTCGGGCGCAGGCCCTCTTGGAGAAAGACATCTTCTACGAGATCATCTTCCATGCGATCCAGATTTCTCATGGCGAAAAAGTGCGATACATGCGGTCAGCGAGTCCTCGTGAATGCGCCAAAGATGAAGATGCAGGGAGCTGATGCCCGTCCCTACGTAGGAAGAGGCTGCTAAAAGTCGTGGACAACGAGATGGCAATCAAAAACGTCGCAAGGATCTCTCAACTTGTCAGAAATGTGATGATGGATGTGTGTTGTATTGTATTGTATCGTCCATGCCAGATTGTGCCCAACGTCAGCTAATGTATGCGTACAGTAGCGGCGCAAAAGGCACAAATTAACGCCGCGACAACCTGACAAAGGGCTGGGCATGGACGTAATTGAGCAGCGGCTAGGCCAGTGACCTTTAGCGACCGATATCCTTGCCAATTGGCTTGCGACTCCCGTGTAATCTCCCGTTGCTCTCTCAGTCCGATGTCTATGTTTGTTTGTTCTTTGCCCAGAAACACTTGCCCCGCTGAGCACTGGCATCAATCTTGACCCCAAGATCCGTTTTGCGGGTGTTTTAGAGCAAAGGTCAAAGCACGAAACATGTAGAGCCCTTGTTCGTGTGTCAAGTCGCTTACGAACGGACAGAGGCTTTCCCACTAATAGGCACGAAGGATCATCAATGCGTGGTACTGGAAATGTAGCTTGCGCCGAGCAAGGGGGGGGTTTATCCGTGTGACAAAGTCTTGGAACGGAAACGGGTGCGAAATGACGAAAATTACTGTACATTCATTGTTGCCATTCCACGATTATTCTGGGGGCTCAATATAGATTCAAAGATAGATACTATGGGCCACACTTTCGTGGATAGTGTTGAGACGGAAAACCAAAATCAAAGGGGCGTGAATGCAACAAGCCGCCCACTTGCCCAGCTTGGTAGGCACATGCGAGACTCTGCATGTGTGTACGGAGTCGTCGTAGTCGTATGATAGAGAAGGCGCGCCATAGTTCGGTTGGTCCCGCGGTCCGGCTTGTTCACATTTCGCCATCGAATCAACGTGGTCGGAGGCGTTCTTAAGTTGCAAGGATAAGAGCAGGGACAGGGGCAAGGATAGACTGCTAGCCTACATGTAGCCCGCAACTCTGACGCCACAGAGGGAACATCAGGAAGCCTTAGTTTTCATCCCCCTCTTACTCGGGTCTATATTGTCTAACTATAGATACAACTACGTAGCCGTCCAGGTGATCCAAGGATATGGAAAATTGTTGAGCCTCTTTCACTCCACACTCTTCGGCTAGACTACTGCAATCATCATGTAGCGTTTGGTTAGGCGTACCTGCTAATACCTAGTACATGTAGTTGAGAGTTCTGGTACATACTGACATATAATCTGGAAACTTGTCAAGTAAATAGAACTTGCGCAGCTTGAAACCCTTGCAACATCATAACCCGAACCCTTGAGCCATGGCCTTTACAAAGACGTACTTCCTATGTCCGACATCTGACTTCATCCATCCGCCACCCACCGGCCCGCTATGCCTCGGTTCTATAATTCGCTCGACATCATCCCCGCAATACCCTCTGAACAGAGCCAAAACCGTTGCCGTTGCTGACGCGTTCCCACCCGTCGTAGAAACCGACTGGAAGAAGACCGTTTCAACCGAAAAGGGCGTCGGTTTGGGTGTTTACGCACAGTTCCTACAGCTCGCTACCGGAGGGTTGCCCGTCGGTCCCGAAGTCAACGTCGCACACTCGAACAAAACAAAGAGCATATTTGCATTTGACACGGTGACGACTCTGGCGTTTGAGCCGACGCAAGAGTATGTGCAAGAAGCCGTCAAGGCACCCACCGTGCAGACATGGCTGAGGGAGCCTAAGCAGAAATTCGCGCCTGTTGTCTCGCTGTTTCTCGTCACGGGCATGAAGCTCGTCAAAGGCGCGAGGATCAAATACTCGACTTCGCAGAGCACAAAGGTCTCTGGGAATATTGGTATTGATGTGCCTGCGCTGGCTACAACTTTTGGCCCGAAAGGGCGCTGGGACAACACGAATGATGATGAGACGGAGATTAATCGCGAGTCTGAGTTTGTGTTTGCGTTCCGTGTCAAGAGGCTCAAGTTTGGGCGGAAACTCGCCGTTGAAGAGTATAATAAGGGTGCCTTTCTGGCTATTGGCGACGAAAAAGAAGACGGTGTATCTGTTCTGGTGGAGGACGTAGATGGGTCTGATATCAAGACTGCGATAGCCGTTCCTGATGAGGCCGAGAACGGCATTGTCTATTGCGTCCCTACTTGACAATAAAACAATAAAAAGAAACTGAAACATAATTGAGGCTTCATGAACTGTTTACAGTGTTGGAAGTTGAGTGTAATATTACTACGCTTCTAATCATACAAGTGTTTTCTGATATCTTTAATCTTGTTATAAACCTGCTCCCTCGTCGACTTCCTATCAAAGAGCGAATGAGGCGTGATGTAGTCATAACCTTGCCCCCTCCTCTGCTTAACCATACTCTTCAGAACCTCATCCATCGAATGGACGTCCTTCAGCCACGGTCCTAGCAAGTCATTTCCCGGGGCCATGTGCTGTTCCTGCTGCCGGACAAAAGTTAGGATCGCTGCAGCCAGTCCAGCGGCAATCGGTGTCGCGACTGATGTGCCCGACATGACATTGACATGTTCAAAATGGCCATTCTTGCCCATTGGCCAGTGAGAAGAGACATTCTCTCCGAGTAAGCTGAAGTTGACGTCTTTGTCGTCTGCGGTCGGATTGAACGTGGAGGGATTGCCATTTCCATCCGTTGAGTGAATGCAAAAGACGCTGGGATATTTAGCCGGAAAAGCTCTCCCAAGATTTGCTCCATCATTGGATGCCGCGGCGAAGAGCAATGTCTGGTTGTGTAGTGCCTTGGATATGGCCACTTGCATAGGCTTGTTATATTCCCGAATCCCGAATGACATTGATATAATATCCACATTCCACTTAGTAACCGCGTGATCAATGGCCTATACAAACAATTAGTTTTGCCTGAAACAAAAAGGTCTGTTCTGTCATGCAGCTAGTCTTACATTTGCAATGTCATCGTAAGTGCCACGATCTAGAGTTTCGCGACCTGCAATTCTGGCGACGTAGATCTCGGCGCATGTGGCAACTTTGAGTAAGAGTCCGAGAGCATGAGTGCCGTGCCCGATCTCGTCTCGAACTGCATCTGTAGCTGTTTGGCTTACGAAACTTTGCCAAGCCCTGATTCGTGGATCGAGTTGCTGGTCGTCAGTTCTTACAAGTGGGTTTTCAGGGTCGAATCCAGAATCCAAGATGGCTATTCGCACGGGTTCGAACGTTCTGGTACCAGGCTCAAAAGCCTCGAAAGGATCAACATGGTGATAAATCGAGGCTAGAAGGTTGTCCATCCATTGTTGCGAAAGCGGACTCCTAGCAGATCATTAGTATGGCGAAGCTTTGTAATACCAGTAAACACCTTACTCTTGTCCACCGCCCGTCTGGTGGCTTGCGTCAAAAAAGTACAGACTCTTCTCGACGAGGCTTGCGCGGAGTTGTGGCGGTCCCGACACTCGTAGCGCTGGATCTGAGCCGAGAGTCGTGTAAGTCGCGGGTGCGGCGTCGGACATGGAACGATACGGGACTGCCCGTGCTCCGTTGCCAGCATCAGAGATTTCGACCTTGGCTGTCTCATGGCGGACAACTTCTTGGCCAAAGGAACCCCAGCAGAGCTCATTCTGTCGAGGATCAAGCGAGCCCAAGTCCTCCAATCGAAGACCCCATGATGTGAATATCTCCGCCTCGAGTCGTTTGATGACGTTTTGATAGAAGAGCCGCTGAACGTCGGCAGAATCAAAGTCAGCCTGCTGTCCCGGGGGCAAGTACTCCCACTGCAGACATGCTTTCGTAGCGAGAAAGTAATCGTTAGTAGCGTCACCCTCTAGAGTCTTGAGCCAGTTAAGGCTGGTATAGTAATCGGTGTTGATGCTCCTGGGCCCTTTCGAGCCATCTTGCATCGACTCTATAGTTGTGCAAAAGTGAAGCTCGCACAAGAGTATGCCTAGCGCTAGCACACTAGCATTGGGATGAATCATGTGTTTAGAGTTGTCAGAACTGACTCCATTGCCTGTCCTGCCGGCTGACATGATTGGAATGTGTTCCATGGTCAGAAACGGCTTCGTGATGTCGGGCAGCTCTCCATCCTCCAGTGGATCGAAGAAGAGGATATTTGAGTGGTTGAAGGAAGGCTGTATCCATGGCGTCTCCAAGAACGGGAGCAGCGCAGCAGCTAGTGTGACAGCCAAGATTCGCTTCCCCTTGAATGGCAGTGAAGGTGAAGACGTGGATTTACCACGTAGCTCTTGTTGACGCTTGAAAAGAGCCGACAGGGATACTGTTCGAGACATTTGATCGCCGCCAAAGGTCTTTGGCTGCGGACGAAGCCTCTGAAATATCCCACCCTCAAGAGCCAAGTGCAAGCAGTTTTGCTGACCGAGGGACTCTGTAATGCTTTGGCATATGTGAACAAAATCGGTCGTGGTGCTAACCGCGGGCTCAGACGCGCTTCTCATCCTGCTGTTGTGTACGTCTCTACAGCAGAGTGTCAGTGAAAGTCGTTGAAACGAAGCTTCACAAAGCTCACTTGATCGTTATCTTGGCTTCTTGCAATGCAGTTTCGCCCGGAGCCCGCACACCAAAGAACACCTCGAAGCTCGTCTCAACATTGAAATCCTTGTTCTGCTGTGGCAGCGAAAGCCTCACGCTCAACCCTGAGCACCTCTGGCAAACGCACACCCAGTGTTGCCGTAGCGCATTATCCAAAGACATGAGATGCCTCCTCATGCGCACGGCGAAGTCGGCATCGACATCTTTTTCGAAACGGTCGATGGCGTTTGGCTCTTCGCGAGTAGGCAGAACTCGGCGCATCTTTGCCCTTCGGTCCATGTGCGAAAATTCCTCGATGACGGCCTCGCTTTCTCGTTTCCGCTTACTGACATGAATGGTAGGGCCGCCTGGGTTGGACATCGCACCGTGACTCCGCTGCTCCATCATGTCGCGCATCGCCTGAAGCTTGGGATACGGCACATCGCGGCGTAAACCCTGCTCCGTAAGCTTTTGTGTTAGTAGGTGAGCTGGAGGGTGAGAGAGAGAGGCCAAAAGACTGAAGCTTCAGGTTGCCGTATAGCAGGATCACTTACAGAATCCGATTTCCCATCTGGGTTATATTGAACATACTGTTCAAATACGCGCAGCGCTCTTTCAATGTCCTCGGGCTCAGGCTCAGGCTCGTCGAAATCATCGGCGGCGCTCTGCAGAAATGCATCCGCGCGTACCCAGGCTGCTTGTTTTTGTGATCTCAATGACACGGGCTGCGCCGACTTTTCCGGTTGTCTCCCAACGAAAAACTCGATCGTGCTCTTGAACAGACCTTGGAAATCATTCACATTCATGATTATAAGTCGGAACTTTCGCAGATTCCACGATGGCACTAAGACACAAATCAGGTGTGCCGTGTAAGGCTGCGAGAAATGTTATAGGTCTGGCACCTTGAGCTGATCAGGTAATCGTTCGCCATTGTATGGATGGAACTCCCCCTCGCCTCGCATCGGGCTGTGTCCAACTTGAACTGCTTTGTACTATACTGAATACGCACCCAAAGCCGTGATGAACTCAGCGTGCAGATCCTCTAGTCCTATGAGCACGCCAGCCGTGTGTCTACCGCTCACGCCTTCTGACCCTTGAGGCTCAGCTACTGCAATGACAAGGGAGTAAGCTGGGAATAGTGGATATGAACGAGTATATTCGATGGAGCCAGCCCGCTGTAGCCTGAGCACGGCGGTACCAAGCAGGTACTGCGTGAGGATGAGAACTTGAACACCAAACGGACAGCCGACCCTCCATCTCCAAGCTGAGGCGGCTATGTTGGGGCCCATGTGTCCACTTGCGTGTGGCCGTACAGTAGGCGCGAAGGCACGCATTCCCTGCTCTGCTTGGCCTCCCAATGACCTCCATTAGTAACTCAACACAGTTGAAAATGAAAAGTGAAACGCTTGTGTGCGCCTGTAATAATTGGTTCTTGTGGCCTGATAAAATAATTCTGAGCCACACTCTCTCTGCGCTGAAACACGTCGACAACCACTTTGTTGGGAGCCTCGCGCGTCCGTGCCTCGGTATTCGCTGTTGCATTGTACTTTTACCATCTTTTGTGACATTTATCTAACCCCCCTGCCTTTTATCTTTATTTAAAAGTCTAGCCCCTGGTAGAACTACTGTGTTTTGTGCTTCATCGTTACTCAGCGCGGCTCTGAATTCTCGTGAGAAGAATCATGTCAGAAACACAACTCAAGAAACGACGGGTGCCGCAAGTCAACATGAGCACCACAAACACCCCCGCAGGTCAACCAAAGGCCAAAAAACCGCGAACCGTATCGTGGAACGAGGTTGCTGATTGGCAGTTTGACAACAAGTACATCCTCCGAGGCTATCGGCCAGAGAACGGAGACTATCTCGAGGTCCTCGCCAGCCTGACCTTTTTGCACAACGAGACTTGCAATGTGTACACTCATCTGATCGGGGCTCTGCTCCTACCCATCTTGGCACCTCTCGTTCTTCGGGTGCTGTCCCAGCCTCAGTTTCTCAACGTCTCGTCCATGGACTATGCGGCGTTTGGAGTTTACTTCTGGTGTGCGGAAATCTGTTTGGTCTTGAGCTCACTTTACCACCTGATACAGCCTCACTCGCATCGCCTAGACCTGTTCTGGCATGGAATGGATTTGCTTGGTATTGTCATTGTCACAGTGGGCACGTTCTCTTCCGGCATCTTCTATGTGTTCTTCTGTGAAGCGGACTTGCAAAAACTGCACTGGGGTATTGTCAGTCTCTCTCCGAGCGACCATCACCGCTCACACCCGCTCACCTGACAGCTGGGCTAAACATCCAATAATTAGTACGCTAACATGAGTTCCAGATCTTATCCACGGGCACAATCACTGGTGTTCTCATCTCAAACCCTATTCTTAAAACGCCGCGCTGGCGGAAAGTGAAAGTGGGCGCCTTTGTTGTTTTTGGCGCTTCATCGTTTATCCCGCTGCTACATGGAGTTCAACGATACGGCCTTGAATACATGCTCCAATATTCTGGAATGAAATGGTACCTGATCGAGCTTTCCTTCTATGGTACCGGGGTCAGCCTTTATGCGGTATGTCTAGCACGCTCACCTCACCGAAAGTCGAGAACACATGCTAACAAATCCCCTGCAGTTCCGAATTCCTGAGCGTTTGGCGCCAGGTACATTCGACATATTTGGAAGCTCACACCAGCTCTTCCATGTCGCCATCTTATGCGCAATGTACTCACATGTGACCGCTCTGCTTCAGGGTTTCACAACTTGCCATACATTGGATGTGTGTCAACTTCAAGGTCTTCACTAAGCAAACTGAAGCTGTACAGAATGATAGATTGCTCTGCCTCTGGCTGGGCAAGTGGCAAGGACCTGTATAGATATTCTCCCATTAGATCTAAGGAGAAGAATAGGCCATATTCTCTATCTAGGAGGAAAGCATCAGATACCCTCTTCGTGTTTGGTATTTATGCTGTATTGTATACCACACGATCTCTTGGGATGTCAAACATTATGTCAATCCTGATTGGCCTGCGTTGGTGACGGGGTTGGACGCCTCGTTGACACGCTGACGTTGGCCGAGGACATATAGAGTTAAAAATGGACGAGATAAAAGGATTTAGGATAAGAAAATTTGGTCTCTCATTATCATTATTTTTAAGTGCAGGTTAGACAATACTTTTAGTTCCAATTATTTGATCATTGAGAAACCTTGCTTCCAGACTAGGTACATATGTAGACTACCTCGACATACAAAATCGGTAATTTGCCTCAGACTACACACATAGGTAATCTTGTCTCAGCCTATGCCGCAGCACTGTGTTCTTACTTACAGGCAAAGAGTCGAAATGGGTCAATCGCCTCTTTGTTCAAGAAATTCGATGCACGACTCAAATGGTCCAAGCCATCATCACAATGTTTCTTTGTCTAACCGGGTATCGTTCAAATTTATAATACATGATTATTATACAGATAGCTCCTACACCCACATTCTCAGACTGGCGTCTTGATAACCCCGTCGGGAGTTGGGCGTTCGGCCTCAAATTTCCTTGGAATCAGACCCTCAGCCATGTTGATGGCACCTTGCATATCGCTCTTGTTGAACAGGAATAAGCCCTGAATAGCAGCAGCGCTCGTGTGACGATTAGACGCTTGTCCATCCTTGTATTGTCCAAACAAGCCGAGCTCTTCCAGCCGTTCCAAGAACCGTGCCCGACCAGAGTGATCCTGGTCAATATCTCCATAAAAGCGATCCCACATCTGTGTAGCCTGGTACTTTGTTGCCTCCCCAATTTTCAGCATCATGTCCACCCGGCCGGGCCGGATCAATGCAGGATCTAGGCGCTCAATGTGGTTGGTAGTAAGGAAAGCTATGCGCTCTTCACCGGCTGCGACACCATCCAGTGCATTGAGAAGACCCGAGAAGGTGACATTGGCACCGCTGTATCCATCCGTGTCTCGCTGTCGGCGGTTGACAAAGGCGGCGTCCGCATCTTCCAACAGAAGCAAACTTCTCTTGGGCAGTTTCGTAAGGAGGTATGCCAATTTATCATCCGTCATACCCATTTCGCTGAGGTTGATCATGGCAACACCAAAGTCAAGCTCTCCCGCCAGCGCTTGGATAAACGAGCTTTTGCCACTTCCTGGAGGCCCAAACAGGAGATATCCCCTCCGGTAAGGGATACCCCGATCAACATACCACTGCTGCCTTGTCAAGAAATCTTTGACATCGCCAACTATGCTCTCCTTGATCCCCTCGTCCAATATGACTGAGCCGAGGGGCCTCTTCTTTCGAGGATCTCCAAGCGGACTCCATTCAAGTCCACGTGCGGAATAAACTACCGTCTTTCCTTCGTTGGCTTTTGCAGCCAATTGGTGCGCCTCTCTAAAGAGGTCTTCAAACACATGTCGATGCGCCCAGAGGGTGGTCAACTGGACAATCTCATGCGGCTCTCCGGTATTCATGTTCGCCGTGTTGTGCTTCTCTCTGTTGACCGAAATGAAAGCCTTGCCAAACTTGACAATGTGGCGGCCATATCCCGGCTGAAGAAAGAAATGAGCGTTGATAGGCCCGCCTGCTCCTTGTCCTCTTGAAGCTGTCGCTGTCGCCACTGACAGGTTGTGAATTCTTGTGAGCCGCGAGGCAATAAAGCCCGGCGTCTCACGAGGCTGCGACAGCCATGCGAGGATCCAGGGATACGCCGGATCTTGTTTGCTTATCTCGACATTGACAAGAAGCCGGCGGCGAGCAGCTCCGAGGACGACGATTGATCCTTTGCGGGCAAACGCCGCGGCAGCTCCTAAGGAGGCGAGGCCGATTCCTCCGGCGAACAGAGGATTATCGAAGAGCGCATTGAAGTTTAGCACTGATGCAGGTGATGGTGAAGTAGACATGCCGAAACTTGGCAGAGATGGAACATTTGCTGGATCTTGATGGCCAGAAAAGAAGTCTTCGATATCTGAGATGACTAAGCAGCACGGTGCCAAAATGTGCGAAGCTGCACGAGTTTGCCACCCTACAGATACTAGGTATGTTAATGAGAGAACAAAGACTTTTAAGGTCATGATGAGATAAGGTATTTAGGCTAGAATTAGGTCAAGTTGATGAAAGGCTGATGATGTTCGCATGTGATGAAGTCTCCGATAACCAGAATATGAGAAAGAAAGCAGTTGAAGTGATGCACCTCGTGTGAAAACAGAATATATGAGATGTCTTATATGAATGGTAATAACGGTCTCAACGTTCAACGATTCGGGACCCTCTCAGTTTCGAACCCGATAATTTCCTAAATCGGATGCGCTTCCGTAGCTCAGTTGGTTAGAGCTTCGTACTAATACTGGACTTAACCGTCTAGCCTTGGTAATGCGAAGGTCGCAGGTTCAAGCCCTGCCGGGAGCAAGATGCCCCAATGCGTTATCCGGAATTGGAAATTTCTTTTTTTGCATCTTTTGTTTAGCAGCCCTTTCTCTTGACTTGATCTGTCGTATACTTCTTCGTCATATACAATACTACCCAGCTAGCTAAAGACTTACCGGATCAAACATTCTCTCTTTTTTACTCCATTGCTATTTACCTAGTGAGGGACCTTTTTTTGCCCTTTCTCTGGAGAAGCTCCTGACCTGCAGACCTCTCAAATGTTACCCCCCTCTCCCCCAATTTCAGGCAAACATCTTGTAGTCAATGCCTTTTTCTTCATCCATGACAAATACTCGTTCCCTGTTTCTTCCCAATTCTTTGTTGCTTGTTGGCCGAAAGATTCCCATTGGTTAGAAAACACAAAGAAAACTACACGTAACTAACTGCCCAAGCCTACATTCCTTTACGCACGGTCCGCCAACCTTGAGAGTTGCCTTGTATGATTATACGCCAATCTACCCGTGCCATAAACACTATATATATCTCGTGTGCCTGAGATATAACTACCGAAAAGGTCACTGTCACATACCCTCACCGCAGAGCCTCAGTTTTCTGGGAGTTCTGGTGCCCTTGTCTTTTCATCCTCGTTGACTACCTCAGCAATTTCTATCGCTCCCAATTTGCAAGTCACCCGTATAGCTGCTGAAGCTACTGATATCACTTTCCTGCTCCCTTTTAGCAAAGCTCAGCGCGAGACTTGAGTACATGAGATGGCTCTATCAACAATACTGCTCGGAGTAATATTCGCCATCTTCTACAGACAAGCCATGGCTGGGGGACTTGTGTCGACAGTTGTCCGACTCGGCGACATATCTTACTACATGCACCCTTTAAATCTTTCTGTGAGGCCTAAATGCATTGTGCAAGCTTCAATCATTTGCTGATGATCCATAGGGCTCTCACCTTGACATACCGACGTTTGACCGCGATACGGCCGCCGAAGCGTGTACTATTCTTACAGTTGATGATCAATTCCCTACCGCGAGCGTGCTCCAGACCATCTTGGATGATTTCAGGACCAAGGCTGATGTCTGGTCGCGAGATTTCATTGGGACTATAATTGTCCAGACAACCGAAACTGACCTTCAACTCACGGAAAACGACAAGAATATTCTTCGCAGCCTTGGAGCTAATGATATACGTCTATTTTACGATGGCGCAGCGGAAGTTCAGCTTCCTCAGGGTCCTTATTCCTGCATCACGGTCAGCTTTACCAAGCCTATCGGTTGTACCCCGATACTGCAGAATGCCTTTATAGCGGCCACAGTTCCAGATGATGGTGATGGGTGAGTATTGAACCTGAAATCCCTGCCTGTTGGCCAGAGCTAACATTGTTGAAGCTTTCGATCTCTAGATGCTTCTGCGTACGGAGAACAGTTTCCATCAGCTCTCACTGTCGCCGTACCCTCTCGCCTATACTATACCAAATCATGTCATAAGCCGTACGCGGGCTTGCATAGCTATAAAAGTCATTATAGATTTGAAAGGGCTCAAGACAGGAGCTTCTTCGCGTGCCTATACCGAGCTCTATCCACACAAAGAAGAAAGCGCAGCATTAGTCAAGCAGCTTATCGATTTGGGCTTTGCGATAGTTGGAAAGCTAAAGACTACACGATTTGCGGACTCGGAATGGCCAACGAGTGACTGGGTCGACTATCATGGACCTTGGAATCCGCGCGGAGACGGCTATCTCACGCCTAGTGGAAGCAGTGCTGGCAGTGCTTCCGCTGTTTCCACGTATACGTGGCTTGACACGTCATTGGGAACAGACAGTAAGATACCTCATTGCTGTATCTTAATAGGGGTTTGCTAATTATCTTTCAGCTTTGGGGAGCATCAGATCACCATCGGCGGCTCAGGGAATTTTCGGAATGAGACCCACGCTTGGAGCCGCAAATACCACCGGTTTAGTGCCTTACAGCTCTTATGTCTTCAGCAGATATTTATGAACTTACATTTGCTTATATATTTATCACCTAGCAATTGGGACACGATTGGTGGATTTGTCCGCACCGCAACGGAGTTCAAGACCCTCGCAGACGCACTCTACGATACGGCGGAGACAGAATGCAAGACTTACGAGGTACGGAGTTAATTCACGGCTTCTCATCAAATGCTAACATATTCAATTCGAACAGAAACCAACTATACTAATCTACTTGACCGACTACTGGCCAGTTGGCGATGTAGCTCTATTTACTTCTTTACCATATTCTGTCGTTTCTGAATCAAGCTCCCACACGATTAATTACATCTTAACTCATTATACTCCTGCCCTCCTGCCATTATTCAAGCATCTCATCGCTAACCTCCATATCATCCTTCCAACCAAAAAACTCTCTCGATGTTTCTTCCGAACCTGAAGTTGCCCCCTTTCTCACCAACGTGCATATAAAATTACGATAACTTCCCGCTCTAGAAACTGCCAAATCCAACGGAGTCAATTGTTCATCATTCTTGGCGTTAATGTCAATCTCCGGGCTGACGCTCAAAAGTTCTTCAAGCATTTTGAGCATGGTTTCTTCGTCGCTCTCGTAACAAGACCATTGACACAAGGTATGCATTGGCGTGTTACCGTCTTTCCCCTTTTCTAAGACTGCTTTCACGCTTGCTTTCTTGTCATGCGCAACAAACTCTTGCACAAGCTCAAGGTTACCGATATACAACGAGTGTTGTAGCGGCGAGAAGTCGAGAGAGTTGTATAACGTGGTACTGGCTCCCTTCTCGAGCAGGATCTTTACAATATCCCTGTGCTTGTTGCGAACGGCAATGTGCAATGGCGTTTGGTTACCAGCCTCGCTAACGGCATCTATGTTCGCGCCCGCCTTCAACAACTGTTGAAGGATATTGAGTTCGTGTTGAGAGACTGCAAGATGTAATGGCGAATATCCATCTTCGTCGACAGCATCTACATCAACCTTGGCTTTCAACAACAATTGTACAATTCTGTCGCTTCCTCCTGCGACCGCGCCAAGTAGCGGTGCGTATCCCTCTCTTTCGTCAGCGTCGACTTTGGCACCAGCTTTGATCAGCAGTTCTGCGATATCCCATTTCTTCTTGTAGATTGATATGAGCAACGGCGTTTGTCCGAAATCGTCCAGCGCGTCAACATCAGCTCCAAGTCCACGTAGCAGCTCTATAGCTTCAGATGGGCCATGCTCTGCTGCTATGTGAAGTGGAGTTGCTTCGTCTTTGGCTTTAGCCTTGGCATAAGAAGTGGCTTTAGATGAATCAGATTGAAGGAGTCTCTTTGCAATACCGAATCCCTTTGCCCCAAGACTAAGCGCCATGTGTAGTGGTGTTCTTCCATCCTTTGCCGCGATCGCAACGTTTGCACCCTCGTCTACCAAAAGTGTAGCGACTTCAATTGTACCATCTGCCAGGGCCTGATAGAGTGGTGTGCGTCCTTCTAGATCAGTTGCTTCCTTATCAGCACCATTTTGTAGAAGTAGCTGTACAGTGTCAATCTGTTTAACAGCTATGTGAAGCGGAGTTGAGCCATCCTTTGATTTGGCATTGACTTGCGCACCAGCGTTAATTAACAAAGAGATGGCCGGCAGCGATTTGTTTTCGATTGCGAGATGCAGAGGTGTACGGGAATCGTTGTCACCGATATTAATATCCGCTCCGCAATCCTCAATGATACATGTGAGTAAGTCTTCGTGCCCATATATCGCAGCCAGATGAAGACAGGTCCAACCGAAGCGATCCTTGAGACTAATGTCGTCCTTAAGCAGCCAGACCAAGTCCACATCTCCCTTGACTGCAGCCCAGTGAATCGGATGTCTTTCGTTACGATCGACATGGACCACACCCTTTCCGGTATATCTTTGGCGCCCTGACTTGACCTTATCGACTAGCATTTGCAGTATATCGGCATTTCCACTTCGAACAGCGCAGTGCATCGGTGTAATTCCATCATATCCGGCAATCTCAATTGGAGCGTCGCGATCAAGTAGCATGTCCACTACTCTCTCGTTACCTACGAGGCAGGCATGTTGCAACGGCGTCCATCCCATAAAGTCCCGAATGTTGAGAACATCGCCTTTCCGAGAGAAGACTATGCGCATATTGTCGGCTTGTAAGTTGGCAGCATAATGAAGCGGCGACCAGCCGAAGGCGTCTATCTTTTCGAGCTTTTCGAAATCCCAGAAATACAGAGTTTTCTCCGACTCGATTTCTTGCATGAACTGTTGATGATCAGCCGTGATTTGGAAACTCTCCGGCAGTGATCTTATGTTGTCAGGTGCAGGACCAATTATTGTACTGAAGGGCATGGCATAGTGCCATTCCTTCATTTGCATCCTCGTTGGTATTGAGATATTAGCTTGCTTTGCGAATCTTTCGTCCTTTAATTTTGTCATCAGAATGTTCAATTGCTTTGTGAGTTCCTCTTCCTCTCGCCCTTCCGCCTTCTGGAGCACAGATTCATGGCGTAGCCTGCTGAGAAACCCCAAGCATACAGCTATGGCCAATGGACCAGACGACTCCTTTGCTAGATCAAATTGCAGAGACAAGTCAAGGAGACAAGTACAGCTGTCGACTAACTTTTTCCATTGACATGTTCGTTCATACCTTTGGGCTTGTTTTGTAGCATCGTCGATGACATTCTTGATGTTGCTTAGTTTCTGCTCAAGGCTTAAGGGTACAATAAGATCGAAATAGATATCCGATAGCGTGCCGAATCCGATCTTCTCCAGTTTCCTGGCCAAGTTGGAAATGGTGTCGTTTTTAATTTTCAGTTCTCTCCAGTCCTCCGTCATCTTACTATAGTTCATCTGCTGTATGCTCGACGCGCTTGATATGGTGACTTCAGGCATCTTTGCGACTGCGCGTAAGAACGAGAATAATAAGTCCCTGGAGAAGAGCCTTTCTTGCTTTTCTTGGCACTCAAGGACGAGATACTTTGTATCTTCTCCGTCTTCGTCTGTAGACTCGACGGATCCTTCTTCTGAGGTGAACCCGACTACTGTCGTACCAATGCTTTTCTTCTCATCTACCTCAGCCTTTGTTTGTGTAGACATCTCAGCGATGACTTCTGGCATCCACCAATGGAGATCTCGGGACAAGCGGTTCTGATGCTCACTCGATCCATACAGCCGTAACTGGCGAGGTTGATTACTGTCGGAAAGCTTCGCTGGCGGGGTTGAGTACAACCACAGCGAGAGAATTGCTTCGATCCTCCCTGCTGTATCTTTGACTTGCCACTTCATGTCCTTTTTCTTTTCAAGCTCTATATCGACATGTTCATCTGGTAACCCTCTGTAAATTGCTGGAATACTCCACACATAATTTCCTTCAGGCAATTCTTCTAGAAATGTTTGGGCAATGGTTTCAATCGCCGATGTTAAACGAGCCGCCTCTTCACGGACCGGACTTTTCCACTTGGAAAGATTTCGCAATTGCTGTCGCGCCACCATCATCTTATGGGCCATTGATGTTTTCTCAATTCGGCGACTCTCATCATCGACCAACTTCAAAGAGGGATATGCCTGCTTGTCTCCGGTGCAGATACGCCACCTGGGGGAACTGTCGTCTTTTGAAGCATCATTCTCTCTCCCCTTGCGAGGAATGTCATCAAGTATCGCCCAGGGAGCTGTTTTAATATCTCCAAAGCTCAGAGCAAACCAATCCAGCTCGGATTTTGACTTCAAGCGCGTGCGAATCGGAGATTTTCCGAGGCCACGTCGAACAATGACCCTTATAATTGTCACCACAATCGTGATGCCAAGTTGTAGAATTGATGCTGTCCAGTTGAGCCCTCTCATTCCAATGAATTGTCCAATGAATCCAACGAGGGAAATGAGAGCGCCGATAAATGTTATATTCTCCAAAATTCTTTCCCGAGTTTGCTCATCCTTCTCCTTTGTATCTTCGGCATCCTTCTCGTTATGGCCCATAATGGAATTCTCTCGCATATTTTCCCTGATATTTCGACGAGACATTGTGATGTATTTTCGTTTCCTGGTTGGGTAGATTGCAAAGGGCCTAAAGACCTGCTCGCTCACAGTATGATGCTTTTGCAACCATACAATAAAGATCTGATGCTTGTCCGCCTCATAACATGTCTCTGCTGTGCTCTTTTCAACAACCCAGGCGCACATGAACAGACCGAGTACCAAGAGAAGAGTTCCTCCGGCGGCACATGGAAAAGCATAGTCGACGACTCTCTTGCCATCCTTTAGGAATTTGCCCTTGATAGGCTGATGATAGGTGATGAAACCAAAATATACAAGAGCACCGAGCTGGAGCATCACACCGATAGTGGCTGCAAGATAAATTTCGCCTCGTTCGACTCTATCGTGGCAATTGAGGAGAAGATTTGGCGCGCTGTCATCAGATTCAACAACGACAATCATTTCCTTTGCATCTCGTTCGGTACTAGAATCTTCTTTGCGAAAGTTTGTCCTGTCCGTCTTGACGGATTCCGAAACCCCAGAAACTGTGGTACCAGTATCAGTCTTTCCTGAATCCGCCTTACTAGCATCAGTTTTGCTAGTATCTCTTCTTCGCATGGAACCAACGTCGTTGATCACGACGGAGTTCTTCCCGTTCTTAGATGCAATAATCTGTATTTGGGTGCTGTTGCTGGATCCATTTCCGGTTTCTAGATCACTGTCAAAAGACGTTGTTGGTTCGCTTTTCATTCGTTGTCGATTTTGCGAAGATAAGGCGGAGGAACGCAACAGCTTTCCGCAACTATCCTTCAAGCCATCCGAAAATCGTGCCAGAATCTTTTTGAACGACGTCCAAGCATATCTTGGACCGGCAGATTCTCCAATGTATCTTAGCAGATGGCTGAGAAGTGGGTACGAATGCATGAGTGCTTACCGGTCTTCTGTAGGATCTTCTCGCTCACTACTTTCTCCAGTTTCTCATACCGAATATGAACCTCCTTCTGAGATAGAGAGTCGGCATCACTCCCATCTGGCAGAAGGCAAATGAACTGATATATATCGGCTGATCCTGGACATCTAACCACGCTGTGACCGTTCCAAAGCTCGCAGGCCTCCTTAGACGTAGACGACATGACGTCGATTTCTGCCGCCGAGAGATTCTCTCTGGCTCTTCCAATGAACGACTTCAGCCATGCCGGCCCGGCAACTCGGATAGCGCTCACAACGGTGGTGATTGCGCCAATCGGGGCGACGGCCAAGAGTATGCAGTCGGCGATGCCCATGGCTTGGCTCATGAACTGCATGACGACCCGTTCGCCAAATAGCGCAATAATACTACTCGCATGCAATATCAGTATAATGTTTGAAAGACGAATAGTAGCACGAGTCCTTTGGATGGACTTTTCACTTACGGTCCCAGGTCCGAGGCCAGATTGTTTGCAAAATCATCTCCGCCGTCGGCAGACACACGACCAGCAAGCCATAGCATGAAAAAAATCGCAAACCCCATGCCCTGAGCCATTTTGAGACGCTGAGTCGCGCCTAGACAGCGACAAGACAATATCTATTACGCGATGGTTGATGGGAATGGATATTGTCGTTATGAGGAGGTCATGGTTAAGGGAAAATCGTGGCATCCAAGAGGCTGGGTTGCGGCAATCGGGCTATATGCTATTCGGATCGCAACTTTGCTTTTTTTATTTGGGAATCAGCCGTAGAGCCTGATCCCGCGTCCAGACACCCCCGACATGCATTACCAATGCAGGCCCGCCCTCGCACACCCATTTGCGAGCAGCTTCTTCGGGCTCATCTGATCCTGCAGACATACCTTTACCGACAAAACCTTTTGTCGGCTCAGGAGGATTGAAATAGATGAAGTGATAAGACCAAGTTGTTATCGGCTTTGTATGCCTTCATGTACTTCGTACGCCGTGATTGTACAGAGTACGCCGACAGAGAAAAGAGCCTCCATCGCCTAGCCAGGGCGCGATAATACCACCCAGACACACTAAAGTAGCCAGTACTACTCGAGTCAGCCCACGTGGAACTGGCAGGGATGGATGAAAGACTCAACGGTGACGACTTGGCCAAAACGTAATGATTCTCAAGGTAAAGAGGAGTAGATGGTCGTTAAGAGTTGATGGTTTGGGAGCGTCATGTTGTTGGCCGTCTGTTTCTGTTCTGGTAGTCACCCGAAGGTTTATGGCCCCTGCCGCCCCTAGTGGAACAGGCGCATGTACGTGTACTGTATGTACGGAGTAGACCGCCAGCCTTCGTGTTTTAACTGGCTCGACGGCATGTTTCGATGCTTTTGTCTATGTGGCTTGTTGCGCTGAGGGTGCCCACCCTCATTAAGTCAAACTCTGTTACCTCAGCTTAGGCTCCAAGGATAAAAAACTACAACTCCGTACAAATAGATAAGTATGCAGGATTCCAGGCAACTTGAGGCTCTTGGACACCGAAGCTCAGCTGCACAAGGGAGGCTGCAAGGTGTGTCCATCGTGGGGGCGCCATCACTCCATTGGACAAGCTGGTGATGGTGTACGACAACTAACTGAGACAGTTTTAGCCTCTTTCGAATACGACGTGCCTCTGTAATCCTTTGTTAAACCCCGCTCGGCTCTCCCCACAACTAAGGTTGCGGCGGCTTCTACCCGCTTCGTGTAAGTGGTCCAAGGCAATGTTACGCCCTGACTATGACGAGGACCACCAATCGGATGAAATTGAAAAGTCAAAGTAATAAGTGCTTCAATTTAAAAAAAATTATCTGGATTATTGAGCACGGAATTTCCAAGGCCAAACTATCACAAAACTCAAGTCTAGCTCTGCACACACTTCCAATCCCCCCCTTTGGGATCTAACGTGGATTCTTTAGATGGTTTAGTACACGTGATTAACTGTTACTGGGAGTATCATGGGAGATTCTTACCAAATGACCGTGGCATTCATGATTTGGACGTAGTAGAAGCATCTGCGAGTGGCGCAACAGTGGATGTAAGAACAAGCTCCCAATGCTGCCCGCTATGGTTGCCACCAGCGAGGTGAGCAACAAACGTATCCGAGTATACGTCCAGGTGCTTATCTTGTCCCGTAAAAGTATTGCTCAGGCGATATGGATAACACTGACCGCATGGAGTCCAATTGTCGAATCTCCAAAACTGGCCGGAGAAATCACCGGTGTCGGCCATGTGGAGATTGATGTTTTCCACTCCGTCATTGATAACGTCGAGCGACTTCCCCACGCCCCTGGCAACTGTGTGAAGGCGATAGTAGTTGCTCTTGGTTGTCGGGGTGAGGATCCAGAGAGCATTAGAACTAACGCTATCCGCGTCAACCATGGAGAGGGAATCACCGCTTGAACTCATAGCAAGTATTTTGTTTGCAGCGGTGTAGCTGTTTTTAAGAACATAAATCCTGCTGGTATCGATTGCTGACATCTCGGTTTTGGTTATATAAATGCTACTATTTTAGCTGTGGTTTGTGTAGATAGCTGTGAACTGTTTGTTGATCAAAAAGATTTCGACATTGGTGCCTGATTTTATATCTGAGAAGAATAGAGCATGTGTTACTTTAGCTCAAAAAGTAGCCGAAATCAGGGAATTTAGAAATGCCAAGAAAACAACAAAATTTATTTTGATAGAGATAATGCGATACAATTTACCTTTCGCGACCCGACTGGCTGAACTGGTGAGGTTCCGGAATCCATGTGTTACAGCCCCTCAGTTGTAAGGATACACATTGACGAGAATAAAGTTATAATGACGTAAAACCAATATTCGAAAAATCACGCCATGAGGGATTGGGTAATGTATTAATATAGTAGAGCTGAGATAATTGGGCTGTTCAATGACCGTGTTCTCCGCGGGACTCCAATCGGAGAGTTTGTAAACAAAAGATTGTGTCATCAAGATGATATCTCGTATAGCGCAACCAACGCTCTAAACAACCATCAGCTTTTTCAGGACAGAAAAAACATACAACAGCTACCAAACTCTCCTCTTTACGGCTTCTTCATGCCCCTGTCAAAGAAGATCTATCCAAGAAGATCTGTCAAAGAAGATAGAGTAATGGAAGGAAACCCTGCCAAGCCAAGAACCTCCAGAATATAAGACAAATCATAGTCTTTGATGGGGAAAACCTCAGCCAAAAGGTCCTAAACATCTATATTAGTCGATGAATTCACACAAAGATTGATTGGTCTTACCGCTGGAGTTTTAATGACAACATTACCCAGGATGTCGGTTACATTGGGCTGAGCCACGAGGGTTTCAAGACCAACAGCGACGATCCCGGCGAGATTGTTTAGTATGATGGGTATAGGATGGAATCCGAGGTTCGTCGGGATTCTCTGCTGCTCAAATATGCTTCGAACCCATTCGAGCTTAGGTTTTCCTCCCAGAGTCTGTATCAGGAGACCGTTCTCCAAGGCGCCGAATACAACGGAACGGGCGCCACACTGGTTGTTGGGGTTGTGGGCAATATCATATGCATCTCTTGCCGCCCTAGCTTCTCCCAGTGCCTGAGGGGTGATAATAGGATAGTTCTTGAGAACTTCCAAGGGGACAGACCAGATTGTCTCGTTAAAGTCATTGTTATCGCCATCCCCAAAGTCTGCTCTTGCGAAACTGCAGTCGTGTTCGACGAATCCATGGTTGGACAGCTCATGGAGGTCAAAAGCTGCCAGCCTGTATGACTTGATGAGCTCAGCTGCACCTATAGCGATCGAGATCTCTGGCGAGAGACCAAGCCCCTCGTAGGTACCGCGAAGAAGGTCGATTACGGTAAGATTTTTGCCGCTGCGAGGTAAGAAACCATGGTTGGCAAGTGAATTGAGGCCGGGACAAGGTCCACGAGCTGTGATATGACAGTTAGTTGAGATGACTCTAGATGATTTCATGTCTTGTCTCACTTACAGTCATCGGGGCCTGCAGGTTGCCAATCGTTGAACCTGGGGTCCAATGGATTCCAGATGGGAGGAAGAAGTGAAGCAGCTCCAAAGGTGCTCAAGGTGGAAACTCCCACAAGAGAGAGAAGAAACTTCATCTTGAATTGAGTGTAATATGATTGAGTCTTAGTTGCGGTGCTGTTGCTCGTGTTTGTTAAAAGTTGTGACTGGAACATCAGCCTTTTTGTAGTTGAAAAGCAACTCACAGTGTTGCAGAGCAGGTATGAGCCCCAATAACGGGTACCCGGCAAAAGCACGAATCGTGTGTTGGAGCTTATTACGGTGTTCTCTTGTCATGCGCCAACAGTATTTACAAATGTCCAAGCCCCAATTCGCGAGCTCCTTTGATGCGAGTCAGAGAGTTACCAATGACATAGCTGCTGCAACATAAGGTACTGTCGGAAGAATGACCGCAAGCGTGAGTGGACCAAGGTAGATCTTGTACAATGAATGGTCAAATATACGAATCTGCGTGGGGGCCGCTGATATATAAAATACGACGTTATAGTTTAACGAGATGTGTAAAGGCATTTCCAAGTCATTTGATACGTTGAGTTTGCTTATTTGCAACCCCATTTTGGACAACGGCATAATCACGATATGGAGCTCCAGGGATGTTGATTGCAGAATATGATATAAGCGACGTCGTATTATAATCTGCAAGATTCAGCCAAGTTGGGCCCTACGACAAAAAAATTACAACGGTCAATGACAGCCCCGATTATGGTTCCCGTTAGGAAGTTGGTTAGTTGTTAACCGCTTGAGTGTGAAAGATGACTCTTGTATATCTTGCTCATTCTCTTGGACATCTGAAGCTGCAATATAGTTGACTTGCTGTGAAGATAGTACACGCAAACTAGAGGATTCTTGGCACAGTTCAGATATAGTGGTGTACTGATGTTGCAGTGAGCAGTATTTCCATGGTTGGCCATGATACCCAGCAATGCAACTCTATGGTACAAGTACGAAGTCTTGACATGGACACCTCTGCACTGACCATCCCTCTTGAGTCAGTACGTTCAAAGAGAAATCTCACAAAACTGGAACCATTGGGCAGCGTACGGAGTAATATCATCTCTCCGGGTCTTGACATGGCTAGATCCACGTTGCCGGTTTCAGGGATGACAGTTCTCAACAAGGCTCTTTAGGCGCTCGTCAGTGTCGTATTCAGTCAGTGCCCTCTCTCTCCACTCTACCCAATCTTGTTGAATCCCAAAGACTTCCAGTATTGCAACTGCCAAGGGTAAGGCATTCGACCATTCAGGTTCCAAGGCGAGCCCCCAGAAGAACCTTCTGGCTTTCTCGTCAACCACGCTGCTGGTCATCCAAGAGAGACCCGTTTGCCGCAGAGCATCCGTCAGGGCAACATCATCGGAGCTGAGCGAAACCTGCCGGGTACACAATGTATCCATTTCGGCAGTTACAAGGGACGGACCAAAGGCTTTACTCCGTGGCACAGCACGTGCCATCTGCCAGTCGATAATGCCTGTAATGTGGAGGTCATCGTCGACAAGTAAGTGGTCGCCTTTACTGTCAACGTGCTTCGAAAAAATTTCTCTGGAGACTTCGTTTCTCCACCTTGTTCAGCTAGCTGTGATACGTTGTCTTTCAGAAAGCGGTACACGAGGTAAGCATCAACTGGAAACTCGGTGTAGAGTTGGCCGTCTGCAATCAGTGCCAAGTATTGCTCAGCAAAAGCAGTATAATAAGCCGTGGAATTATGAAATGGGCCATCGGGAGTGAGTACAACGAATCTGTCGCTTGCTACAGCCGAAACTCCGATATTGGATGACTGGAGGCAAAGTGACCCGGCTTTGGGAAAGGGATGACGTTCCAGCTCAGCTAGGATCTCGGAGACGTCGCTCCAGATCCTAGCCTTTTCTTCGTTAGTGGCTGTTGTACCGGACAGGCCTTCGCCTGTCCAGGGTCTTCCTGGTAACTCTCCCATAAGAATAAAAGCCACGCCGACACCATGGCCTGTTCCATTGCTGCACACACCATAGCTGAAAGCCCGAGGAGCTGGTACCGCAGTCGTTTCGAGGAACTTCAACGATGGGTACTCGCTGGCTATCAAATAGTCCGCTAATGGGATGGGAAGACCAACGGCAAAGCCTGTCACTCGAGGAACTCGGAGGAGCCACGAGCGAGAGCCGCCTTGGAAGCACATGCGGGCATGATAGTTGCCGCTTCCCATGAGGGCGCTCAGTCCAACCTTGGACGAGTGTTCAATTGTGCAACTCTGACCGCCATTCAGTCTGGATGCAAGTTGACAGACGACTGCGTCGTTGATGTGAGAGCGGAGACGATCGATTTCGGCAGCAATTTGCGATTCATAAATTGCATCATCCAAGGCCTGTTAATTATTAACACGAGCCGGGAAGCGCGAGGAAAGATTTCGAGGGGGCGTCCCCAGTGTAAAGGAACACCGTTTGCCGTTTTGGGATGGTGAGAGCGCATCACAATTGTGTTTGTGTGTACGAGTACGAGTATATTATATATGGGCTAGTTGCCACTCTGCAACGGCCCCTGGAATTGGAATCCACGTTTAGCATTGTACTTCGAATGGTTTTGAGACAAGCTACGCTGTTGTGGAAGAAGAGGGGGAGGAACTGGTTTCTCGTACCTCATCACAGGTATGAAGAGAAGGAGACGAGTGGATGAGGCACAAATGGCGATTACAGCTATCGCAACCACCGTTTGCTCTGACACTTGGCCTCTCGCAATCAGGCACTGAACAGTTGAAGAATCTGGACACCATGACACGAATGATGCTAACCCATGAGATTTGAGAAGATACAAAGCTCTAGCGTTGTGAATGTCGCGATTTGATAACAATTGTCGTGAATGCGACGAATGCTGAGTTACGTTGTAATGAGAATCAGATGTATTCGTCTAACCCGGCTCGGCACGAAAAAAAAAAGATCAAACAACGGAGCATATAGTACGAGTCTAGTTTGTCACCAAACTTCGCCTGTGCGAACCACATACTGAAGAAAGAGAAGAGGATATGTATATGCTCTCGCGCATGTTTTGTTTATAATCCTGTTTCAGTCCAAAAACAAAAACGAATAAATTTTGCGAAAGCGCCCTTGGTTAGATCTTTTTGCCAGCCCTATCTATATCATGTCACACGAAACTTGCTCAGCCGAAATTTGCCCAGATATGAAGCTGCTGGCAATCAACGACGCTCAAGGCGAGGCTGTAACAATTGATGCGTTGCCGACTCTTGTTTCTGCCGTACTCGTAACTTGACTCACAGTCATTAAACGCAATGATATCTCCTACCCTAGTACTTATATAGATCTAGGCTAAGGTTTGTTTAGGGAGTGTAATAGTGAGGTTGTGAATGTTTAGAGTGAAGAGTAATTTTAGGTATAATTTCCGATTTCTTTGTGTCTCAAAATAGCCTTGTTAATAGAGATAAGCACTAAATCTATCTCCGCGGAAGACATTTAACCCAGAATCATGACCTCCTATTCACAACTGGACAACGTTCTCAGCACTTGTCAGCAACAAGGCGCTAATCAGTTGCAGGGCTTGCAGGGTTCCATGGCGTTCCACTGTCACTTTATTTCTCCCATCAGAAGAGGCTAACGTTTCTAGTTTGACGGATCGCTTAGGGCCGACCCGGTGAGCATGAGCATCTCACGCGACATGAAATGAGGGTGAACAACCCTGGAGTCTTGCTGAATCGGGCCATCCAATCGAGTGTATACGAAAACATAGATACTTGAGCTATTTCCACTATAATATGCTTGAGCTGATTCTTGTTAATCCCCGAAAGTGTGATGATATTGTAATTGTCTAGATACCTACATATGTAATGGTGTAAACCCGCCAAGAAGTGCTTCAAAGTACAATCCTCCACGGCTGCCTAGTCGTGATGAAAAGAAATTTACAGCCTGCGGGGTAGTGAGGCAGTGCTTTTCTCTTCATAGGAGTCTTACTTCCTAAAAATTATCTCTGCTTGTCCTTTTCTCATATGAAATCTTGATTATATTTGTTGGAAACTGTGACTCTATCGCACGATGAGAGACCCGCCAGCACCAGACCATGCGCCGACTAAGAAGCCGCCTGAGGGGCAGCTGTCGATGAAGGAGATATGGGATGCTGCAGCGAAAGAATTCGAGGTATTATGTGGAGAGTCACTGCAGAGAGGTCAAATTAAGAGTTTCGAAGATGTTGAAAAGAAAATCAACAGCGCCAACCAAGTCTCAAATGGCGCCGACGAAGAACATAATGTAAAGTGGGAAAAGGCGAAGAGCGTGGGCCTCCAGTCGCTCAAATATCTCAAGATGCTTGTCGGAGCTGCTTCCCAGGCTTCCTCATTTGTATATCAGACCGCGTCATTTGCCATATAATAAATGCGCATACGCTAACAACCGTAGATACCAATCCCTGAGGCAGCGGCCAACATCTCCGGCTCTGCACTCTGCTTCGTCTTTGACATACCCGAAACCATCAAGGGCTACAACGATGCCATCAACCAAGTCTTTGGCGAAGTGTCCTCAGCCCTATCTCAGTTTCACATCTACCAGACGATAGGCAATGCCGACCCTTTGCTCACTCAGCAGATCCATCTGGTCTTGGTTAGTTTCGTCAAGGTCTGCGCTTATGTCGTCAAGTACCGCCAAGGCCGCAAGAGGGATCGCTTTCTGAAGCAGTTCAAGTCTGTTTTTGATGATGACTCAGGTTTGGCCGATCAGATGGCAGAGTTTCGGAGTGCCTTGCAGCAGCAACGCGATGTTGAAGGGACAGTCACGCTGGCTGTGGTTGTCGAGACGAAACAAGACATCGCGCTCCTACTCGAACAATCCATCGTTTTTGGCAAGATTGCCCAAGAGACACACCAAGTGGTGCAGGAGACCCAGAAAGGAGTGCAAGCCCTCAAAGACGACGTTGACCGTATGAGGACTCTCATTAAGATTCGCGACACTCTGGGTGTGCCGTCAACCGTCCGCCTCGACACAAACACCACCCAGACTTGTAACGACATTGCCGACAGGTGTCTCAGTGGCATGGGATCTTGGATCTGGACACACGAGGCATATACCGCTTGGACAGCCACCAAAGATAAAGACAAGGATGCGCAGCGTTTGCTAATCGTGTCTGGCCCTCCATCTTCAGGCAAGACATGTGCCACTGCCCTCATCACCAAGCGCCTGGAAGAGCAAAAAGGGCGCACATACGTTGCTCATTACTTCTTTCCTTCTAGCACCAAGAAAGCCGACAGCGAAAAGAATTCGATTCAGTCGGCTCTAAAGTATATGGCCTTCCAAATTGCCCGTGTTGATGTGGCAGTTCAAAAAGTGCTGGGGAGGGCGTGCGAGGAAGAACCCTCTGCATTCCGCCGCTCGGGGAGCCTCGACACCTTGGACAACCTCTGGGAGAAGCTGAAGATTGGATCATCGGGATCGAATGCCGTCTACTATCTCGTGTTCGATGGGATTGAAAATCTACCCGATCAGCAGGTCAAGATGCTATTAGACTTTGTCTTCAGCCCCCGGATGGCAAAGGAATCTACCGAGCGCGTGCAGATTCTGTTGAGCGGGACGAATGATCAGTTCGCAAACTTCCAGGAAAGTAGCAGCTCTCTAAAGATCCAGATGGAGAAGCATAATCCACCAGACATGCGCATAGTAATCGAGGAGGCGCTCAATCAACGAGGAATGTTACAGAACACGAAGCCCGATTCGGACCAGCAAAGAGCAAGAGACAAGATCCTCGACAAGCTGCCGCAGAATGTTGAGGGAAGCTATTCGAGACTTCAGTTCGGGCTGGACGATGTGATGCGCCTTTTGAGCACGCGCACTGCAATGCGCGAATTGGACCGGATGCTGGACCAGTCAATGAGTAGCCACGAAGCGGCCATTAAGAATCTGCAGAGGACTTTGACAGCAGATGAGATTAGTGAGCTGAATGAATTACTGAAATGGGTTCTGTTTAGCAATGATACCGTGACTCTGGAGAGACTTGAAGCCGCCATGGTATGTGCTTGTTCTATGTAAACGTGTAAACTACATATGTCAGATGCTGGACTGACAAGCTCTAGTTTTTATACTCGGGGACAGAATCGCTTGCTTCTCTTGAGTACATCATCAAAAATAAATACTCAGCTGTTCTGAAGCTTGATGATGGATGTGTTTTCGGTCAGGATGGCGTCAAGGATTATTTGCGCAAAGACACAGACTCATCTGGGAGGACATCAAACACCAAAGATCGCGCCACTATCAGCATGACGATTACCATCAACAATGTGGACCAGGAACTTTGCGGACACTTCCTCTGGGACCTTGCGCATAAAGCAATTCGGGACAAGTTCAACTTTAACCTTGATGGCGACGCCTCCAATGCCTTGCACGGTGGCAGGGGTACCATCGCGGTGGACGAGTTTGAGGCGCACCACACCATCGTAACACGAGCATTTGAATACTTGAGTAAGCCGCCTAGGGAACAGACTGAGAATATTGGGCCGTACCTTGTCACTTGGCTGCCGTTTCACTTGTCCCGCCTCCGCCAGCTCGAAGACGATGACCAAGGATCGCTTATGCCGAGTGAGCAGTCCGAAATTGGACAGAACCTGTATAAGCTATTCAAAAGCGGCGAGATTTTCTTGCGTCACAAGAAGAGTTTCCAGGAGGCATGGTGGATAGTGAGCGAAATAGAGGATTTGCAGAAGTGGTTAATGGATTCGGCCATCATGCGAAGGCTGGATAAGAGATGGCGTGATGAGGTGCAGCTAGCATCAAGCCCAACAAGGGGCTATTTGAAGGAGCTTGTGAGAGTAATTATCGAGGGATTCCTCAGGGAAAGGAGCTGGGAAATCACTTCTGCTAGCCAGTGGCTTCTTCGGTTCATGAAAGCAGTAAGTGGCATTTCGTGGTCCGGTATTTACAAGTATGATGCATAAACTGATGGCGTGAAACAGGATGAGAGAAAACTTGAGGTACATGCTGAGACCCCCGATGACAGTGCTGATGATACCTTCCCCGAGATAGACTGGGACCATGTGAGCACCTGGTGTCAAGGTATTCTAAGGTTGCCTGATTCGGAGCTCAATTCGCTCTGGTACGAGCGCCTTGCCACAGCCGCAGCTGATTTTATGGTCAATCCCAATGCTGCCATATCTCTTTATCAGCGCGCCATAGAGGAGAAGAACCCCAGCTGGCTGTGCCACCAAGGATTGGGGGCGGCGTTTTCTAAGCAAAAGCGAACTTCAGAGGCCATGGCTCAGGTGGAGATGGCGTTGAAGAAAGCTCAACAAGAAGATGCCACCCCTAAACCAGAAGCAAAAGATATCGTTGGGTTATACTTACTGTTGGGCCAGTACGCTTATGAGGCAGGCGATGTTCGTAATGCGGACAAGTACTACTCATTAGCATGTGAAGGAGGCGATGAGCCTCAAGTAAGAGATGGGCAGTTGGGTCGTTTAAAATCAAGACTGAGCCTCTCCAACACAGAGGCAATACAGTCGCTCAAGGGCACATTAGCTCAAGAGAACGGGAAAGAGGAGATGACGGCCGCCATGGAGATGCTTGCGCTAGACACCCACCACGATGATCTCATTGCAAGGATGTTTGTCGTGGTAAAGCAAGATCCCGATCTTCTAAAGGAAGTCTTGGACGCCATGGAGAGAGCAATATGGAACTTGACGCCAGGTAACATCTCCAAAGTGTTGACAGGGGATGAGCGTTTTGCCGAGGACGAGGCTCGCAGCGTTCTCCTGTGTGATCGAGGCTTCGCCGCATACCTGTTCAAAGTCTCGTCTGATGGCCTCAAGTCCGTTAACGAAGCCTTGCGTCTGTGGGAAGAGAGCCGTGATCTGCTCGCCAACGTCGGCGGCACAAATGCTCTATTTACACGGCAGCGTGCCACGACGGCATTGGCAGCCCATTACTTCCAGAATATCGCAGAAGGGCTGCAGCTGAATTATTATGATGCTCTAGCCAAACTGACCAATCTGGCTAATTCAGATTCCGACTACAATTTCTATCGAAGCGATGCTATCGGCTTCCTGGGAGCCGCGCATGTGCTTTGCGGCAAAAAAGAGTCGGCCAAAGAGGTACTAATGCCACGTATCAAACAAGGTCTGCAGATCCTATCCGATGACATACTTGAGAACGACACGGTCGGGCTTTCTACCCTCCAGAGGGCGCTGGAACAATACCAGGATTTCAAGAACGCAGTTGTCGCTCTGTCACAGCTGGGACAGCCAGATCTTGTAACAGACGCCTTGTACTTTGAGGTCAGCGACATCACGGAGATTGACGATGAGAGAAAGTTACAAGCATTGGGCGTGGTCTCTGAGCTGGCTAAAGAAGTACTTCGTGTCATCAGCTCTCAGATTCCAGATATCAAACTCCAATCCCAGCGCATTGAGGTGGCCAAGGCGTATATCGACACTCTTGTAGCTACCACTGAAGCCAAGACAGAGGTGAATGGCAACAGTGTGGGCGAAACCCCAAGAGTTTCCGATCTGACTGCCTACTCGCACCGCCTGCTTCAGTCTCGCATCTTGCCTCTTTACGAAACACACACTCCCAGTGTTGATAAAGAAGCTCTTGCATGGTCCTGGAGTTGTGATGGCCGCACTTTGGACGGTAGCGGATGCGGCAAGTGGAACAGTTTCGAGGAAGACTTCTACCAGTGTATCTACTGTTCGAACAAAGATTTTTGCGGCGACTGTCTTAAGCGACTGCGCAACCCGGAGTCTGGTGTGGATTTTATGGAGTGTAGCACAAAGCACAGGTGGCTGCAAATCCCACACCAGGGACACAGCATGTATGTGAGCACGAGAGCCAAGAACGTGCGTGTGCCGATGGATGTCAGGCCTATAGACGGTGATGACAGAATATTGAAGGCTTATTATGCCGAAGATGGGAGCGGAGAAGAGATAACAATAGAGGAGTGGAAGGAGAGAGTTGCAACTGAGTGGGGTATTTCTCTCAAGAGTCTGAGTGAGACGTCGAGTGAGGATGGGAAGAGCTAGATATACCAGAGATCACTGTTTAAGAAATTAGATAATAAATGAAAAGCTACCTTTTGCATTCTTCTGATATAGCCAAATGTCCAAGTTTCTGAAATAGGAGCTATTGCGCGTTTACATGTGTGGCGTCACTGTAGTTACTCCTTTCCATAAGCATCTCCTTGATGAATATCTGAGCGACCCTTTCCAATCGTGACCCCAAACTTATGGTTGCCCCTATTACCTAGTACTTGACCGTTGAAGCCGTTTGCAATGCGGTCGCCTTGCTGTAACTTGACATCATCATTCACCTCTGTCCGCTCCCAACTATGGCCAGTGCCCATGTTGCTGATAGCTTCTTGTAAAGCTTGCTCCAATACATTATCGGTATTGGCCTGTGAAGCCTCATGCAGTAGCTCCAGGACAACGGGAGGTTGACCATCTTGGATTTCTTCCACTTCCATGCGGCAAAGTTCACGCTGAGGCTCAGTGACTTGCTGCATCAACACCAGAAGATTCAAATTCTCCGTAATGTCTTCAAGGAGCCTGTCAAAATGTTTCTTGTCGCGCAACGCCCATTTCGTTTTTTTCTGCAATGCCACGCCTTGAATACGCCGAGAAAACATTTTGCTTGTAATCGATTTTAAGGCTTGGGTTGGTGCGTCGATTGGGTCCGGCTGCTTTAAGCAATCAGTCATTACATGTTTAAGAAGGCACATATCAATAAATAAATACCGTTGACTCTGTGCCATTGGTGGCTCCTGGCTGGTCACAGTAGTTCCTAGATTTGTTCTCAAGCTCTCTAGTATCTGCCAAGATAAGGTCAAGGAGCCTCTGGGCGGTCTCAGTCGTATTGGCATCAAAATCAACGACTCTCCGTTTTCCCGTCTGCGGGTCAGAGAGTACGCCACTAGAGATTCCCCATCTTGTAATTTGTAGTTTCAAGGCTTCTAAACGGGCCTGACACTTGTTGAAGTCTTTGCCGAAACGCCGACCAAGTTCCACATATTCGAAGCATTCCACGATGGAAATGAATGTCGCTGGAAGTGAGGTCGCAAGCGACATAGCCCCAAAGATGGCTACAGCTGGATTGGCCATGGAATGAATTAAGAGCCTTGAAATATCGTTGTCATACAATATAAGAATTAAGAGGATTCACACCAGATATGTTAGGCTAGTTATCAGTGTTCGAGAGAACCATTCGACACGCTTCCTTAGGTTCAGGGAACGATTGATCCGATGTTTCAACGTACAACAATACCGCGAGGGTCTACTCTAGTGACCTTTATATAAGATGTGAAACTACAGAAGAAGACAGGGGAGAGGTATCACATCGAACTTACCCCTCCCGGAGACTTGTGAGGTGTAACATCGTATCGGATACCTACATGTATGTAGGTACTGTTTGATTGGATTGCCTAGGTAGCACATAATAGTAGAAATCCACGCCACTTAACAGAAACAGCCTATCGAATTCAGCCACGAAGCTTGCATCTACACCGAGGCCCAATATATTCATCATGCTGCGCTAGCCTCCATCCCAACAACGGGCAGACCAGGGGGTGATATTGATAAAGCTCAGTATATAAAAGGTAGTCCCCAAGTACAGTTGCAGTCTATGTCCTACTCTCTGTCAATTTCGCTCTAATTTGATCACTTCGCGTATAACAGAAAAACATCAACGCAGCTTGAGGCGAGATGGCATCGAACGGAGAGCCAAGCAGACGAGGACATACATATGGCCCCACTACAGTACATGATAACATCTTACACCAAGGAGATAATATTTACCTAGGTAATGAGACGCCCAAAAGTTTGTTCACTCAATCATCATGTGTTTTCACGTTGTTCATACACTAACAATAGCAGAAACAATTGATTGCCGAGAAGCCCTTCTACTCAAAGACCCATTTATATATAGAGAGAGCCTCAAAAGCGACAAGGGAGGAAGAGCCTCCGGAACTTGCGAATGGATCAGAGAGAATGAGATCTACAAATCTTGGCTTGACGGCGATGAGCATTGTTTGTGGATTTGTGGCGGCCCCGGCAAAGGCAAAACAATGCTTTCAATCTTCTTGACGGAAGAACTAGAGAGAAAACAGCCCAAAAGAGAGCACGACCAGGATATAACATTGTTGTACTTCTTTTGTACCAATGGAAACGAAAACTACGACAATGCAATAGCTGTGCTAAGAGGATTAGCATATCAGCTACTCAGCAAGCATCCAGATATATCAACATATGTGTCGTCGTATTTTCAGACGGCAAAGCATACCGAAAACACATTATCATCTCCGGAAGCTCTTTGGATAGTATTCAAAACACTATTACGGGTCCCAAATCTGGGTATCGTCTATTGTATACTCGATGGACTCGACGAATGCGATGAAAAATCCATTAGGAAACTAGTCAAACAGTTCCGAGACTTCTACTCGCCATCAGATCACACAGAACCGATCGCCCAAAATTTGAAATTGGCGATAGTGAGTCGAAAGATACATGGACTAGAAGGCTTCCCACAGATACGATTGGATCCTGACAATGATAATCTCATATGCGATGATATCAAACGATTCATATCTTCTGCAATGCAGGAATTATCACGCCATCAAGGTTATGATGATAATTTCCTCAAAGATATTGAGAACATTTTGCTGAGACGGTCCAAAGGCACTTTCCTGTGGATAGGATTCGTCATGAATGAGATATTAGGGGTGTCAACGCGCATGGAGGTAATGGACGTGCTAAATGCTCTTCCTCAAGGACTCCCTGCCATGTACGGCCGGATGTTACGGCAGATTAAGAGCAGCCAGCGACACATTATATCGGCAATATTGAGATGCGTCACAATAGCTCGTCGCCCAATGACACTGGAAGAATTAAAGACGGCCGTCTCTCTCTTGTGCAATACGCCGGTTGATAGCACTACGATCATGCGTGATCAGATAGCATCCTGTGGACCTATCCTCCAATCTTCCGAAGAACAAGACACCTGTAGTCTTGTCCACCAATCAGCGAGGGACTACTTATTGCGGGAAGAGGCCGACAGCGATCCAATACTTGAGGAGTTTCGAATCGAAGCGAAAGAGGCGCATACTAGTCTAGTAAGAATATGTCTTGCTTGCATTGAGAACAGCGACCTCTGCCATAGACCTCTGGATATCACGGATGCATCAGTTTTGAAGAAATCGCCTCTATTAGGCTACGCAGTAAAACACTGGCCAGAACATGCAAAGCATGCAGACGAAGATTTCGACTTCTCAAGGACTTTCTTCCAAAAGAAAGATGATGCGCGGGTGCACTGGTGGCGAGCTTACGGAAATGGCTCCGAATGGCACAGGCATGAGATTGGTACTCGACCCCTGTACATTGCTTCGTATCTCGGGATCAATTCATTGGTCCGAGAGATTCTTCAGGCAAACGCGTGGCGTACCGGTCTCGAGTTCCGAAAATATGTTAACCAGAGAAACGAGTATGGCATGACGCCACTGATCTTGGCCGCCGGCGAGGGTCATCATTCCGTGGTGCAGCTTCTTCTCGCAAACGGCGCCGATGTTGACTTTCTCTCAGAACCCGCCTATTGGGTTTCTACGGCGCTAGAAGCTGCCGCTGAAAGAGGGCATACAAGTGTCGTACAGCTGCTTCTTGCCGCCGGCGCCAATCCAGAGCTTCCAGGTAACGATATGGCGCTGCATCGAGCTGCAGAAATCGGCCACGCGGCTATAGTCCAGTTGCTGCTTGACAAAGGCATCGATGTTAACGCAACTACATGTACTAGCCGCATCCTTGCAATCTGGAAGACCCCGCTAATTCTAGCTGCTGGCAATGGTCACGAAGCTATAGTACGGCTGCTACTCAATAATGGTGTCGATGTCAACATGAAAGATGAATTTGGGAATACAGCGCTGCAATTTGCTGCGCGTAACGGCCACGAGGCCATAGTACAGCTGTTGCTCGAAACTGGCGCCGATGTTAATACACGCGCGACAGCCCTAAGTAAAGCTGTTGACAAAGGCCACGAAGCCATAGTACGGCTACTGCTTGCAAATGATGTTGATGCTAAACTTGAAGACAAGGCACTGCGCCGGGCTGCGTGGGGCGGCAACGAGGCCATGGTGAGATTCCTGCTCGCAAATAGCGCCCATGCTGATATAAAAGGTACATGTAGCATGGCGTTAATCCGGGCTGCTGAGAGAGGGCATGAACATATTCTCCGGATTCTGCTCGAGAAAGGCGCTGATATAAACGCAAGGCATACACATCATGGCATCTGGTACACGGCGTTGGAGATGGCTGCCCGCCAAGGTCGCACTACTACAGTCCAATTTTTACTTGCAAATGGTGCTCGGAACATAAGCACAAAGGATGCAGAGAAGCCCAGCAGAACCGCACTGGAATGGGCCGTTCGAGGAGAGCATGAGGACATAGTGCAACTGCTTTATAGACAGCGTCAGTCACTAAGATTTAGCCAAGGCATTGAGGTTGGCTATGTGGGGAGGGTATAGAGATGCTATTACACAAATATTGAAATATGCAGATAGATAAATACCTAAGCAAGGCAACTATATATCAATTCTAGCCTCTTTTTAATATCTCCTACAGCATCAGTGTTACAAGCAATAGAAAGTTATCTCGCTCTTCGTTCAAGTTAGTTATCAGCTAACTCTCTACTCCTGCTAGCATTATTATAGTAGTTCAACCTTTGGTTAGGTGCGTTGATGAATATGTACTTATGCACAGCTGTATATGCATTTCTTTCAAAGTTATCAATATCATTTATAATTTGTTATGACTATAGGAATCCCCTTTAGTGTGAAATTTTACTTATACTACAAGTTCCTTGCTCATTACACAACTGCTTCAGGAATTGTATTTAAAAGTTGTTATAAAACTATAATATCCCAGCAGTTCTTGTGACTTTCATGAACGGTTCTTAATCAATCAAAGGCTTCGCGTCTTGTAATTAGGTTCCTTGACATGGTAGCAATATAATATAATGGCCCGATAATATTTGGGTTATAGTCGAAGCCAAAGTTTAATTTCCTGCTTTGTATACTAGCATTATAATTAAAAAGGAATAAACAAATATCCCGGAGTTCTCATTCGTAGACTAGCATTTGCAATTGCAGATTGCATAGGAAGACCTTGTGTTATAGTTTCAGTCCTGACTTCATCTATCCATTGGAATAGAATATTGCCGCAACAGATATGTAGCAGGTCTATCTGCATAGGGCAGAACCTATAACTGCCATGGTGTGGAGCTTCTGGAGAGCTAGCGAGCTTGCTGAAGAGGGCAGAGAGATTATAGCCTCTCATATTGAGAGCCTCATGATATTGTTGCTCTTCGGGGTGTGATGGGATCACATAGGCGGGGAAAGAAGTTTCATATAAGCGACTGATGATATCTCGAAGATAGTGGCACGCGTGTATGTGCGCCTCATCCAGAGTCTGTATTCGTATTATGCCGGATTCGTCGTAGAATCTGCGGAAGTTGTAGCCAATAACAGGATTTTTGGCGGGTCATTGACCATGCTTGTTGACATATTGAGCAAACCCCAAACAGCTAAGATTACAATCAAAAGACGCCAGAAGAGAGAGAAGGCCTTTTTGGAACGTCTTTTAGGTTCATGGTGCCCCCAAGATTATTGGTATCCGATCCATAGACACTTCTAGTAGACGCGGAACTTTCTCATATGTCGTCGCCCCGAGAAGCTTCAAGATTTTCGACCATGGTGAATCAAACCACCTAGCTTGGGACAAACCTAACGGTCAGCATATTTATGCCTGTAAAACACAAAGTGGTAAATTAACTCACATTTACGTCAACTTGGCTACAGTAGATTCGACTTGGATACTGGATACTAGAAGTGTTAAGATCTAGAACAGAAAGAGTAAGATTGCAAAGCAGATTAGACTCTCATTCATTTTTGGTATCACAGAATTTAGGGGTCTAATTGAGTTACTTACAATGGGATTCTGCCTGTCGCAAGTATTCAACAGAGTGATTTCTACAATTGTGACAGAATTGAGACAGTATTACTGCTGGAATTCTGAGATGGAGTATTAGAAAGAGGAAAAGTGTTATGCTTGTAGTACTCTGTGAAGAGATTGCATCAAAAACAGCCCTCGGCGTAACCTTGTCGAGGTGATAAATATGGCAGAGTGTTAATGACGCCGAGCCGAATACTAAGATGAAGTGTTAGGAAGAAGAGGAATTTAGATTTTCGTGATACTCGACAAAGACATTGTACTAAAGCAGCTTCCGGAGGAACCTTGTCGAGGAGGTGAATGCAGCGAAGTGTTAGTAACGCCGAAGCCCATAGTTGACTTAAATACAACCGTGGGTTCTCAATCTATCACCCCGTGTATCCGTTCTCATCCCACGGCCCATCAGAGTAGACTAGCAGGGCCGTCCTAAGATAGCCAACATATCACTCCCTTCTAAGTAATTTTTATATTTCGGAGTCCAGAAGATACTATACACCCATGAAACCCCCATGAGAGAAGTAGTAGATGCATATTTACAAGCTAGAACTTGAGTACATTGGTAAACCAAGGGAATGAACATGGGTGGATGTACAGATAAGTGATGTATACGATAATTTCCAATTCTCTTCATGTTTGAACTCTTCCTTTATGATCGCCACTATATCTTACTCATAGTGCTAACAGGGTGCTTGTACGGATAGGCCAAACTGGCATCACAACTGCCGCCGGCTAACCAATTTGCCTTCGCCATGTCGCCTTAGTATATCGCAAGTTAGCTCGGTTCATGGTTAGACAGCAGTTGTAAGCGCTAATCTTGGCACTTTTTACTAAGACGCAGAAAGTCCCAAGATTGTTATGAGTGCCGGTCTTAGCCGAACATGTTGTCCCTTGAATGGCCTTGAAGTCGACCATCATGGCAAAGGTCTATACGCAAGGATGAGGTCTTTCCAATATGAGTAAGAGCATCGCATAATTGTAATTATAGACACTCCGTTAAACAACACCATTGCTGCTAACTGAAAAATAACCGTTTCAACAAAAAAGAATTATCTCCTTCGCACATCAACAGACCTTAATACAACTATCAAGCCCAAGGTTCAAAGTTCATCCTGGACTACCCAACCGCCAAAATGAGTCTTAGACGATCCTGTACGTCCTTTCCATGGCCTCATCGCAATGGGAACAGTTACCACGGCTTCGCAAATCAACATATACTCGGACCACAACTGCCAAAACTTTGTTAAATCTTTTTTCCCTGGAGACTGCGATGCTTTACCCCAGCCAACTAATCTTTGGCTCTCACAAACGAGTTGAAGAGACTACTGATAATTTCACTTCACTACCCTCGTTTTAGATAGTTTAGAAAACCCGTTGTTAACGCGATATTCACAATACACTCATCTTAAACCCCTAAAGTCCTTTTATCAGCATTACCGGCTGCGTGTAAGATTACTCACTGCCACCCTGACCGCCAGCCAACCTAAACCAGATGCTTGTTTGTTTCTCCATTTTTTAACGTCCACTTAGTAGGCTGGTTGCTTTTTATTACTACTTTGTAGGTAACTTAGTATAGTAGTTCCTCGTTCCTCTTTATAACTTGGGTATAAGGTAACTCAGACCAATATAATCCACAGGCGAGTGAGCCACTCGGGCAAGCGAGTCATGTACTATTACTACAAACTTTTTTATTTGTTTATTCAAGTGGTATTTATATCCACTAAGCCAGCTAGATATATAGAATCACATCTAGGCAGTAGAGCGGAAGGGGCAACAAAAGTACCGTCCGCGTTTACTACATTTTGGTATACAGGAGGAAATGAGGTTTTTATTCTCAATGTAGGTTAGTAGGGATGAGGCTACATGGATTAGCTTTTGAAAGGGTTTATAACTAATAATCTAAGGAAATGTAAGTACTAAGCAGGGCGGTCTCTGTCAGCGGTATTACGTCAGGCAGGAAAGGAAAAGCTTAACCATCCTGCATTTTGCAAAAGGCCCGAACCTATGGCGATACTCTAAAATATCCCCGTGTCCTGGATCTCCCGCCAGGAGCCTTTACAGGATTCTTCCGGGGGTAGAGGCTCCGAGAGTTATGCCGGGGGTTACGCCGGGGATTATTCCGGGGCATCATGGCACCAATGTTTGCAACGGAGAGGAAAGAAGGGAAAAAAGAATAAGGAGGGAGAATAGAGGAATCTTACCGTACCAGCCTACATGTAATCCCCGAAGTTTGGCTCTCTCTGCATTAGCCCACCTGTTGATATGCGTGATGGCAGCCCAGTCTTGAGCGTAGGCCGGGAGTTTCAATCCCTCTTTGGCGATTTTGTTCGCTTTTCCATTGCCAAATATGTTTCTCGTGGTGACTCTAAGGGTAAGACGAGATTGACCTGGAAGAGTAACGTTTCATTGATATTCAGGTTCCTCATTGCTCATCTTTAGGCGGCGCAATTCGATGTCTTAGAGAAAATAGAAATAAACCTTGACCCTGGGCATTATACAGAGTAATGAGAGAAAAACTAAATCCACATCATCCATAAATCCTGCTACCACCAATCACCTCAGTCGAATAGTCTCGACCTCATCTCTCCAATCTCGCCTATGGTACTCATCATCTCTATACATAAGCCCATGTATCCAGCCTTTCCCAATAACTATGTACTCTTCGCCTTGCTTTCTTAAATACCACGGATATCCCGACCCAGCAAGAATAGCCACTACATCGCCCACCTCAACGCCAGGAAGCCCAGTCCCAAAGAACCCGTTCTCTGTGATAACAAACTGTTTAGGCGCCCCTGCCTCAGTAGAACTCCATGCGGGATCATCCTCTTGCTTCAACAGTTCCTCAATAGTTTCCATAGGTATGTGATCCAATAAGCTCTGAGGAAGTGACTTTTCACCTCGCCTGTTTTTTTCTTTCATCTCAGCAATCAGAGGTCCCAGCATCCGCCTAAACTTGAGTCGATGCGACCAGATCTGCTGAAGTTTTTGGTAATTCTCCGCGCAGAGAGTCATCCAAGATCGCAAAGCATCAAGTTTCAAGGATACAAAGTCGCCACCATTGATGATCCTCATCCCAATGGGGTTGTCTGCCACAATGGCTCGCCAAAACGCTCCAAAACGCTCTTCTTGGGAACCATATCTCGTTCCAAGGTTTTGCTCCACCACTGTATTGTAGAGATCAATCTCGTTGTAAAAGTCTTCATCTTGTCCAATATCAGTAGACATTGTCACTGTGTCGACTATGTGGCCAGAAAGGATCAGGTAGTCCCCTTGAACTTTTGCATCATACTCAATTAGCATATCAATCTGCGGATCGTCCTCAGCAAATAGAACGTTTGAAACGCCTCTATTAGAGGTCCAGTCAGGAACCCAGCTTGGGGGAGAGGTGTCATCTCTAGATGGGTCAAATTTGACAAACGAAAGGATATAGTCCCTTCTCGGCTGGTTGTCAATTCGATGTTTAGGGTAGCTGTCAACAATATGTTTGGCCGCATCTTTAAACACAGTTTGAACATCCAGAGAATAATCAATGGACGTCTTAGCCCATTGGTGTTGAAGTGGAAGCTCTGAAAAGTGTCGTAACAGTCCAACCAGACTGAAGATAAGATCTCGCGGGTCTGTGGCCAATTGGTTGCCAAAGTCACCCATTAGACGCCCAAAAGTAAGGTCGCACATTTGTTTAGACTGTCCTCTTGTTCGATAGGACCCGATTTGCGATATTGTTTCCAGCAATGACATGAAGTTGATGGGTTTCTGGTCTGGCGGTTGATCCATGACTTGCATGAGTGTTCTCAATGATGATCGTACATCAAATACACGCACGTCATCCAAAACGACATTCTTCACATCCAACCCACTCGAGCGTTCGTATCCATAAAGCAAACAAAATACGTCAAAGCCAATCTCATGTTTTCCACAGACCAAGGTGGCCTTTTCGGAGACAATAGCCTCTTGCACAATCCAAGCCCGTCGCCAATATGGCTTGGATGCGACGTGGTCTAAAACTCTCAGGAGTTCAACAGATTGGACATCTGTCAGCTCAAATTCCGCGGGCTTTATAGCTTCTAAGAGAAAAGCGCAAAAGTCGGGAAAATCCTTCTCCTCGGCTTTTTGAACACGAGGCTTATCAAGGTCGAGAGCAAGAATCACATATTCTGGGCCGCCGTTTGTTTCTTCTGTCTCCAAATCTCGATATGCCACAGTGACCAGCCTAGGATCCGGATCGGGAGATACGAAGTGACGGCGAGCATCTTCAGATACCCATTGACTAGCATATCGATCTCGTACATTGGCCACAATCTTCATTGACTCCAAGTCATTGCTGTATAAAAATACTGGCGTTTTCCCTCCTGGTCGTTCAAAAATCTGCTTGGATCTGGCATATTCATGTCGCGCCTTGGCCACCTTGAACAGCCTTTCAAGGTTCGGATGATCATCTTCGCCAAGCCACATGACAGTCTCCTCAGCTTTTGTGTATATCTCCATCATCAACCTCACTTGCTGGTTTCGTTCAGTGATGCAACTCTGATCAATACAAATTGCATCAATCCACCATGTTTGCGTTTCTGAGACGTCGCGAAAGCGATGAAGAGCGTGGAAGAGATTGGCCGTCACACTCAACTCTGTGTCGCCTGAGTATATGGTTCGTCTGCCGACTTTGGCATCTCCCCATACGTAAGATAGTGCCGTATAGGGACCTGGATCTTCCAGAGAGGCGGATCGCAGCTGGACCCTCATAGGATCGAGATCACTTCCAGGCAATAGTTTCAGTAGACGGATGTAGCGATCGTTGAGTGGCTGATACAAAGGGGTACTAGATTCAGCCTGTCCACTGACCGAAAGTATCGCGGCGACTTCATTTTCTTTGCCGCCCAGATTATTTTCGGGATTCTCAAAGGACATATTCGGATTCTTTGGTGCTCGAGAGCGGCATCAAAGCCTATTCATTTGTTGCCTAGCATATTATTTGTACGGTATATACATAATAATTGAGAGGGGTAAGTCTCAAAGGATGACTCTTGCGGGCCAAGGCAGATTTACTCTCAAGTCAAGGCTGCGCTTTTTTGCAGTTAGATACATGCACGACGCCACCCTACTCTCCAGCTTGAAAAAAGCCTAGCCTTACTCAATTATGCAACTAAGATCACGATCCAAGTGAGGCCGCATTTTGAGGCTAATAGGCTTTGCTCTGAAATGCCTATCTTTATATCAATGTCCCATAGATATGACGATGAATGAAGCTCTGATAATCAAAGTGGCATGCTCCCCTGGCTATGTAGATAAAGAGGGTAGTTCATAAACTTACACGTATTCATACGGGAAAAGCCAATATTCACCCTGACCCAAGAGATTTCTCTGATTCTTCAACGTGAAATTTCTTGAAGTCATCCCAAACCATGAGCAATCCACATCTCGGAGATTCTGCTTTTAACATTTGGCTACTGTACCATATCTAGTGCGTATGCGTCCATAGTTCTTCGAATATAATAAAATTTTCAAGGAGAGTTTCGGCCCTTTTCGATGCCATGAGCCATTCGCTCGCTGTGGCTAACAAAATACTTTTTGAACATCGTCACATGGTTCATAATAGGTACACATACCTGTCTATACTTGAATATCTACGGATAAAGGCAAAAATCTTCACCAAACAATTGGCAAAGAATGTATTCTTAAAGCCTCGAGACTTTATTCAGTGGCATACCACATCTCAAGCTAAGCTCTGGATAGGGCTGCAATGTATATGTTTTGCGCACTCTCAGTTTCGACGATCCTTGATAGACTTTCGTCGAGTACCGATCTAGAAGTTGTTCTTCTCCTGACTATCTATAAGAAGGGCCGTTGGCCTTCCTCGTCCTCGTCCTCCTCTTTCCTTTCTACACATCACACGCACTCACATCTGACACTTGAGTCCTCACAATTCTACTATATCCCCTTGACCCCAATCACGAGGCCTCAATACAAGATGAAGACCTTCATCGCCCTCCTTCCCGCGCTTGCCTTGATGGCATCCGCTTCTCCCTTCCGCCTCGCCAACGACAACTCATCTGTCGAGGATGTAACCCCATCCATCAAGGATGTTCCCTTGTCTACCAAGGACGTCTCCCTTGAACCCCTCGCCGGCAACACCACCACTCCTGGCATTGACAGCCTGCCCACCTGCGCTGTCCCCTGCATTGAGGTCGCCATCAAGTCGGCGTCCGATTGCGAGCTCGACGATCTCCCTTGCCTGTGCAAGAATCGCGCCAAGATTGCCAAATCCGCCAAGAAATGCATCCTCAGTACCTGCGGTGCCAAAAAGACCCAGAGTACGTATTACTACTTTTTCTGGCACCAGGAACCGACATTGACTTTTTATCTAGAAAAGGTGGTGCCTCAAGTGCAGGCCTTGTGCAAAGCCGAAGATAAAAAGGAGGAGGAGCGACGAAAGGCAGAGAAGAAGAAGGAAAAGGAGCAAGAAGAGGCCAGAAAGAAGGCCGAGAAGGAACAAAAGGAACGCGACAAGAAGCAGAGAGAGGACGAGAAGAAGAAGGAAAAGGAGGAGAAGAAGAAACAAAAGGAAAAGGAAAAGGAAGAGAAGCGGAAGAAGAAGGAGGAAGAGAAGAAGAAGAAGGAGGAAGAAAAAGAGTTTGAAAGGCTTCGGAAGGAAGAGGAAAAGCGGAAGAAGGAAGAGGAAAAGCGGAAGAAGAAGGAACAGGAAGACGCCGAGGCTGGCGAAAACGAGAAGAGAGACGACAACGAGGAAAGGGGCGAGCCCGATTTCACGCTTGAAAAGGTGAAGGCGGCGCACACTTGGTGGAAGCTCGACAAAGAGCACCCTGTCAAGGGCGAACCATTCTAGTGGACTTCGGTCTTTCTGGGGGCTGCTCTGGTCTGGACCTTGTTGGAAATGGGATACCTGATAAGGGGAAGAGTAAGGGGGCTATTTGTTGTCCCTCGCCCTTGACAAGTTTTTTTTTTATATCTCTTACTATAGTTTAATTATCCCAAAAGAGAGTGTTAACTTGGTATCACCATCTCCATGAAAACTCTCATCGCTTTGATTGACTGCTTCCTGAAAACATCGTCGGTACTTTCAATGATACGAGTAGAGCAAATAATTTACTTGGAAAGAAGCCGGTCGATAAACATCAGATATAGGTATAGGTGATGAAACATCATCCAACGAGAGGACCTCGATGGATAAAACTTAATCTCGCCCTGATACACTGGTAGGAAACCTTCCAAGCCACAAACAAACTCCATCTGATAAACTTTACAAGCCATATCGGAATAGAGGAGAAAGTTCAACGAGACCCATCTCTTCGATAAGAAGAAGCAATCTCCAATATTCCACCAGAGATACTTTTCTGATACTCCATGACTGAAACGTTCTCATTGCCATAGCCCTAATCAAGATATCTCCCCTAATCTTATAATGAGCCAGCCTTAAACTTTATCAAATCAATCTCAACATTTGTACCATTACGTGTAACCTAGGGGCAGAAGCGCCCCTCTGACTGGGTATATACTACATGTATCCATCCTCGCAATATATAGCGAAGGCTAAAAAAAAAAAAGCAAGGAAGGGGGAATATCCATCTGAGACCATCCCATCCTCATTAAAGCCTCATCCGCTCTTATATTCTTAAAACACATGCATTAATCCGCTCTTCTCAACGAACCCTCGGCCATTCAGGCCCTGCTGCACCTTATTTTCGTTGAGTTTTCCCAAACAGACACGCCACATCACACCGTCCGGCAGAATGCTTCCTACGCCTTCTCCCATCCAGCCGGGCCCTCTGCCTCATACACTCCCTTCTTCGAGATGACGCGCCCGAGACCTCGATGAATCTCCGCTTGAAACGGTTCGAAAGGAATGCGCTCGCCGTCGATGCTGATGTATCCGCTCTCTTGGTTCCGCGGGGTGATGCGGTACGCCGAAATCTTCTTGTAAGTAACATGAGGGTTATCGAAGAATTTGCCCGATTCGACAGCGAGAAGAGCCTTGGTGACGGCCACGGGCGAGATATCCGCGGGGATCATGACCAGATCCATGAGGCCGTCCGTGGGCACGGCGGCAGTGAAGAAGTTGGCGTCGGGCGACATGTAAGCCATCTGTCACCATCGCGTTAGCACTTAACTTTGCTTCTATAGGATACAATTCTTCCCGCAGACTTACGTTTCCGACATAAAAGGTGCCGATGTTGTCATGAGACGCCGTCTGCCAGTCTCCCGGAATCTCGTCTTGGACTGTCCCATACTTCAACTTTGGCAAGCCTTCTTCCCCGGCCGCTGCAACCTCAGCATCCACGTTCAAAAGAGCAAAATCAGAAGCATATTTCTTGTAGTGCTGCTTGATCATCTCCTTGCCCTCAATCTCCAGCTTGACAGACAGGTCAAACGGATACGACCTCTTCTTGAAAACGCGCGTCGCCAAGCCAACCTCGAAGCGCGTGTTGCCCATCCAGCGCATATTCTCCGTGCCCAGGTCGCTTTCGGCAATGAGCCCCAGAGCCTGAGACAGGAACGAGAGGATGCGTCGGTCACCCTGCGTGATGGACACGAGATCCAATGGCATCACCACGCCCTTTACGACTGCCAAAGCCGACAGCCCAGCATCGTTGGTTCCATTGCAGTTCAGCGAAAACGCATTGCCCGATCCGCAAGGAATGTGGCTCACGGCAATCTTAGCTAACGCCTTCGCAGCATCAGGTCTTTTCCCGAGCCCATTGAAGATTTCAAACGGCGTTCCATCCCCCGACAATGCCATGATGGTATCGTACTTGTCAATATCCGCCTTCTCCGAAAGCTCCGTTGCCTCTCCGCCCCTGCTCAAGTTGACCACGTCCAACTCCATCCGGGCAGCATCGAAGATTGGCTTGACATGCTTCTTCCACTTGCCCACCGCTCCTCCAGGGCCCGAATTGGGATTGATAAGCACATACGCACGCTTCCGCGGCTTTGCTTCGCCATACGCGGCCGCAATGAGCGCCGACACAAACGTCTCAGGCGACGGGCCGCCAGCCTCAACCTCTGGAGCAGGAAGCGCAAACGTCCACTTTTGCAGCTTCAGCGACGACTTCCGCGGTGCCGCGTAATCCACCACGAGGGAATCGTCACGCAATTCAGCCCACAGAACATTGTACAGCGGAATCGTGTGTTTCCCCTTGCCATCTGCACCTCCGAGTGGTAAGCAATTGAAGCAGGAGAGGTCGTCGAGGAGCTGCTTGCCGGAAGAAGCTTTGCCATTGGATGACTTGTTGCGTTTCTTTCCATCGGGATCTATTGAAAACACACTGTCAGCTCGAAATCCCAACCAGAACCAACGGCATGTCTTGCTTTTGCTTCCCATACCAAAAAGAACGAGGTCCTTCTCGCCAATCGTCAACGTCTTGTTGCCCCCCAGGCCCAGGCGCATCCCAATTGCTTCAGAGGCCACCATCTTCTTTGCGCCGTTCTCAATACTCGCAAGTCGTACGGGATCCTGCATTGAGGATTTCGGGGGGTTGTTACGTTACGAATCTCGGCGGCCGAGGTACCCGAGAGTCCGTGGTTGGGGAAATTGAAGCTCGCCAAGCAAGGGAGTGAAGCCGCACAGCAACGAGAGGGTAGCAGAAACAAAAAAGAGAAACCGTAGATAAAGAAGAGGGGATGGCGAGTACGAGTAAAAAGATGAATATCAGCGAGCGTGAGATATTGGGCCAAGGAATGACAACTAGCTGGAACAAGCCGGGCGAGCAGAAAAGGGAGAAGCTTCAAGCCCCTTCTCACGCGTAAGATCCAAAACTTGGCGATGCAGCGACTTGCAAACGGCCGCGGCACTTTGACTAGCGCCTGGAGGATGCGCTAAAGAAAGAGCTCCAGCGCTCCACAGGCTCCAGTCAGCCGCTATCCGGAGAATCGCACCAGATGGATGAATCAGCATACGCATTCCAAGTTGATTGATCCAGATTTGAAAGTGAAGACAACAACACAGCTTGAAAGAGTCTCAGTTGTTGCCTTTATTGTAGTAGTAGCGAGTATGTACAAGTAGGTATGCAGTAATATTGACTATTTTTTCAGCTCAAGAATGATCCAATACATATTAGCACTAGAGTAAGCACCCAAGCATCTGATACATGTCCGTCATTCTGCAGCAAAAACGCTCGCATCAAACGCACACACAAATCGTCGAATCTCTCGAATCTTCTTCTTCCCTCCCCTTCATCTTTCAAAATCTTCAACTCCACAAATGCCTACCAACTTTTATATAATGCATCCCGTCCTCCCCTCCAAAATCAAACTCCCCAGAGAAAACCCATTTCCATTCCGCAGAAAGCCCGTTAACAAGCCTCTCCACCGAATAGATTTGCATGATGCGTAAATATGAAGCGTAACCCAGACCCCAATATCTCAAAGTCCGCTTCCAAGCCAGTTTTCACTCTCCTCCTCCAGACAAGGGGCCTCTATCAGATTACCAACCTGTAAATACCACATTTTCCATAGTCACCAGCCCCTGGTTTATCCTCTCTTTTTTTTGGTCAACCAAGTATACCGCATTTGATAATCTACTCGGATAGTCTTGAAACGTTGGGCCACTTGGCCAGTGCTGCCGTTCTGAAGGCGTCTGTTTCTTTGCTTCTCCAGCTCTTGAGAGTCTCCAGCGCAGCTACGGCATCCGTGAATGTCGCACTCGCGTGTTCAATGAGGCTAGAAATCTCCTTCTCGCACTTTGCCACGTCCACACCCAGCAACAGCCTGGCCTTGATGGCGGAGAGCACATGGAGGGGGCTAGCCTGGTGCTTTGCCTGGAAGGCTTCGTTGTATTTGCTCAGATCCGCAGTCTCGTCCACAGGCTTGAATTCGGCCTTGAGGGTTTCGAGAACCTTGGGAGGGAGGTCTGACGGGGCATTGTCGAGCAGCTTTCGGAAGGCAATGACTTGCTCGTGCACCCTCGGGTTCTCGGCATCAATGCCCAGAGCCCGGTTGAGGCACTGCAGCGCAAGGACATATTTCCCTACAACGGCTTGTTAGTATCCCTCGTGTCAAATATTCTTACTTCAAAGACGAGCATTGCTTACTTCTGCGCATGTACACCTCGAACCCAACAATCTGGGCCTCGATGCTCTTCGGGCTCACTTGCAACATTGGTCCCAGGAACTTCATTGCCTCGCCGAGGGGATCTGTCGTCGCCGCCAAGGTCAAGCCAAGAGGGTCTTCGTCCTTCTTCTTGGCGTCTTCTGCTTTGCCGCCCTTGTTGGGATCTTGCTTGGCCTGTCTCTCCGCCTCCTCTCTCTCGAGACGCTGCTGCTCCTTTCTGGCCTTCTTGGCCGCCTTCTTCTTCTCAAGGACATCCTCCTCATCCGTCCCGTTGGTTCCGTTGGCCGAGGGCTTCTCTGCCAGTTTGAGGTAGAGGTTAATAGCATCAAGAGCCACTCTCGTGTAGACTGGGTGGTCCCGGAAGTGGTCCTCCCAACGAACCATGTCGACGTAAGCTCGGATATGGCCTTTTCTGAGCGAAAAGCTGTGGAAGTCAAACTGGTCATCCTGCCAAACCTCAAAGATGTTGTTCAAAGCGTGGAACCGCTTCAAAGCAAGGCCAGTGTTTCCTTGTCTAGCATAGGCCTCCCCATCTTCCGTCAAGAACCAGATGCACTGCATCTCCAAAAGGTCTGCAAGGGGACCACCGACGGTCTCTGCTCGCGTGAATAAGCCAACGGTCTTGAGAGCTTTCTCGTTCTCGTTGTTTCGAAGCTGATACTTGGCACACTTGCTGTTAATGTATCGGTCCTTCAGATCGAGTCTTCGGGCCTGGTTCATCATCTCCGCCGCCTCCTTGATGTTGCCCTCGTGTTTCAATATCCTGGCCTTGGTCATGTGGAAATCGACGCTCTTGGGATCCTTTTCAATGGCACGATCAACATACTCGCGGGCCTTTGCCAAATCGCGACTCATGTGGTAGTTGTAGTGCTGAGCCAGGTAGTAAAGTGCAGCGGCCTCTCCCTTGTCTTTGCTCTCAGAGTCGACGTCTTGGGATGTGAGGTACTTCTCAACGAGCTCTCTCAGAGTATCCTTCTTGAACGAATCAGAGTAAAGGTGCTTCAGGTTGGCAAAGAGGGAGGGGATTCCCTTGTTCAGCACAAGAGTCAGATATGATTCTGCGACCTGTCGAAACTCATCACCTGCAAGAAGAATTGTTAGAAAAAAAAATCAACCTTCTTTCTCTCAAGACAATCCATCAATCATCGTTTTTGAACGGGGCTCAATTGCTTACCGCTGAGGAAGTCGAGTGGAACTCGTCGTGCAATGTCGCAACGAGGGAACTTGGCAGCGTACTCGTCGTAAATAGCCTTTCGTGCGACCGCATCGTCAAGAGACAGCTCCATGGCCTCCTCCAGCTTCTCATAGTAAAGGGTGTGCTCCGAGTTGCGGTCGAGGAGGAGTCGGTAAGCCTTGACAGCATCCTCCTTGCGCCCCAGCTTGAGGAGGTAGTCAGCACGGCATTCCAGCACCGCCAGTCGATCCAGGTTGTGCTTGGCACCAGTGTCCAGGTGGTCCAGAGCTCGTTGGTAGTCGCCCTGCTCGGCAATGATGGAGTTCTTGTACATGACCGCCTCGGAATGCTCAATGTCGAATCGAGAAGGGGGCGATTTCAGCGTCTCTTCATACGTGGTGAGCACCTTTTCCGCCTCCGTAAGGCTTCCAGCCAGATGGTGGGCAATAGCCAATGCCGTCCAGCTAGAGCGCAGCTGCGGCCTCGCCTGGAGCATAGCTGTCCGGCTCTGGATGTATCCCTGGTAGTCCCGAACGTGCACCTGGAGGATGGCAAGGTCTCGCTGGATCTGGGCAGAGCTGGGATCGAGCTTGAGAGCAAATTTGTATGCCTTGATAGCCTCCTCAAAGTTCTTGACCGATCGATACAGGAGACCGTAGACATGCCAGCAAATGTGGGACTTCATGTCGACCGTCAGGGCCTCCTTTGCCAGAGGGAAGGCCTCGTCTGACTTTCCCTGGCTGTTGAGGATCAACGCCTTCATAGCCATCGTGTCTCCATGTTTGGGGTGCTTCTTGAGGATCAGCTCGGCCGTCTTCAAGCCTCGCTTGTACTGCTTGTCCTCGAAGCTGCGGATGATGGTTCGGAACTGCGCCGCTTCTTTCGGCGCCAGTGGTTGGGGCATCGTGACGAAATTGCCGGCAGTAGCTCGACGGAATGACTCGATGCGTGGTCGATGGATGACAGGTTCTGATTTCGGTTCGAAATGCAGCCAATCAGGTAGCGACGGATTGTTGCCTGTCAAGGTCGAGGCGAGCCCAAAGGAAAGGTGGTTTGCTGTCTGTTGCTCTTGTCGCGTGGCTCGTGAGTCAAAAGGACAAATGGCCGCTCCCAGGTTGACAATGCGCCGAGAATTCCCGTCCTCTGCACTAGTGAAGAAGCCGAATGTCGCCCCTCGTCAACAGCCGTCTCGAATCGAGCTTCGGTGCGCGTTCTCGTCAAGAGGTTGTACGGATGCCTGCAGTGCTTGATTGGAGGCCAGAAATCGGCGCAGCAAGACTGGACTGGATGCTGCCGGCGGGACTTCGGAGTTGGCTTCCTCCACTCGAACGAGGCCAAATGCCAAATGCCCCACCATCTCGAGGCTCCAAAACCCGAGACAAAGAGACAGCTTTTGGCGGGGTAGCTGCGGGCTGGATTCGGGAGGGAAATGATTCGGCTGCAGGTGGCCAGAGTTGATTCAATTCAACAAAGAGGCGCTTGCAAAGACTTGATTGTCATAACAACAACGGTATTACACGCCGTACGAGATGAGAGATGCACAAAAAAGTTATCAAGTTGTTTTAGGAGACAAAGATAAATGGTAGGGGGGTTTCATATTGTTAGTACAGAGTGCACATTGAGAGTACACTTTTTTGTTTTATACACAAGCTTGGCGTCTATATTCCAATCCACATGTTCGTTTTCACATTCAAAATCGTACAAGCACTTGCTGCATCATTAGTCCATACAGGTACCAAGGTGGTGCTGGTTCTCGTCACATCCCGTGTCATGATGAAGCCGGGTTGCCATCGCCTTTGCTGAGCTTCTGTACAGCCTCCCAATTGCTCATGGCATCTTGCCAGCTCTGGCTCGAAGTACCGCATCTTCCCTGTATGACATCCCAAGTCCTGCTGCGGACAATGTTCTCTACGGCTCGTTCCTGTCGCATCAGGAGGGCAAGGGACTGGGTGCGAGCTTCTCGGGGGAAGAATCGTCCTGAATACGGATCCAGCCTTTCGTCAACGATCCGCTCGCGGTCTCTCTGCTTCTCCAGCTCTAAAACGGTAGCCTCGGGGTCATCGGGGTCCGGGCTGGTGGCAACGATGCCACAGTAGCTGAGAACTTCGGCTCTAGCCTTCCACGAAGGAAACAAGACCTTCTCCTTAAACGACTGACATGCTTCAGGGTCGATCGGCTCGGCAAAGGATCGCGGGGCACGCTTCGAAGTTGAGCTGGGGTCGAAGCCCGTCCGAGCCGGTGTTACCAGAGCATTGAGATTCTGCGTGATGGAGTCGTCTATTGATGATCGAGACAGCCGCAGGAAATCTGAACAACAACAATAAGCATGGTGCCGAGCCACATTGCCACCCCAATACTAGTAGACCACGTACCACGAAGCGTGCCAAAGGAGAAGCAAAACTGGGGTGAAAGACGAGGCTGCCCGGGAGGCTGCGACATGATGGACCCGGGCTTACTGGAGCCACCCACAGCTTGCGCTGTTGGAGTGGCGCCTTTCCACAGGATTTCCGCCACTATGTGGGAAATGAAGACAACGGCCTAGGCAAAGCGTTTCAGGCGGTGACGCGGCTCGCTGGGCTGTGCGTCGTCGCAAATGTCACGGCGAGTATGGCGAGGCTCGGAGAGTTGATGGCGACGCGAGTATCTCCAAGGCGGATGGCATGACGGAGTCCAAAGTCGAGAGACGGCGCCGTGCCGGAACAACAGGGGCGATTTTCGGACCAACGTAGACCCGCCAGGGAGGGCTGCTGGGGTACTTTGTGGTACATGGATTAAGGATGGGATTGTTTCGATATCATTTGAGATGAATAGAGTATTGTCGATTATGGAAATTTCTATGTTGGATGTCATGGAATTTATCCATGTGATTGTCAAAGTAGGATTGCTGTAACCCAGGCCGAATCACATTTTCCGTGAAGCCTGTACTGGTTGCGTCCCTGCAACAGCTGAGACAAGCTCACGCGAGCACCATGAAAGCTCACGGGTACTTGGGTAGTACTTAGTACCTACTAAGTCAACCTAGCAGGCTGAGGTTACGTTGAAGTTCATGTTGAGATTGCAGCCAGCCAGCACTGCTGCACATGAGTTGTCAAGCCGGGGTGAAATTTGAAATAGCATCGTTGTCAAGAAAGCACTGCCTTGTTATGAAATCACGTTGATTTAATGCGAGTGTCAGAAGATGACCGAAACTGCGACCGAGTCTGCAAATCGCTGGCGCAGCTTTGAGATGGAACCTTGGAATCTTGGTAACAGGGGTCTGGCAGCTGTGAAATCATTCCCGCCAAGTCTCTTATTTCGACAGCAACAAACAGCTGAGAGGTACCACCAAGTACATGCGTGCAGCTTTGCTCTTCTGATTTGACAAAGAGGCAGCCTCAAACTGCCAACCAACGGGTCGGTCCTTGGCACAGCAATAAGCATCTTACCTCTGTCCTGTCAGGAGGTTGCGTCGTCCAGCATGATCATCTCGTGTCATTCATAGGCGCAAAAGAACATTACGAGTACGTTGAATCCATTTATCATTGACCCATGCAACAAGTCCGGAGCACTCCCGGAGTAAACCAGCAGCTGGAGCTGACCAACTCCGAACGCCTGTCTCTCGTACTCGTATTCCACCCCAGCCCTGCTAGGGTCCTCCAACTTACAGTTAGCACTGACAATCGCCCAATCGCGGGCTGCTCCAGCGCTGCCCTTTGCCTTGCTGCAGTGCGCAACCCCACACGGCACGCACCCAGTCCGGTACATCGATCTCCCCTGATGACGATGGCGGCTTGTCGCGTGGCCAAAGTCAGTGACGTGCTGGAGCAGCGCTTTTTTTGCAGGGCATTTGCAGCTTTTTGCTCGCCGCCGTGGCCAATGATGTCGTGCTGGACAGGTGCCTTGCATTGTGTAAATGATACGCCCTCCCAATGCAGCAGATACGCATTTGATCAATGTGATCTTCAAACGCCCACAATCCCTGCTTTTAATGTACAACCGCCTGTAATTGTGATTGTAATTCCATAGCCCAGGTAGATCCAAGCAGCTGCATGAACAGCATTGATGATTCTCGAGTGTCCTGTCAACCAAAAATACATACAACGTACCCCAATCACTTGCTAGTCCCAAAACAGGGCCTGCAGCACACCCGGGTTGTGGGCTTGCCTCCTTTAATAATTCCAACCCCAACGAGCTCATCTCAAAACCAAACCTCTTGAGACAAAGTCCGCATTCCCTCTTCTCCCTTCCGGCTGCCTCTTTTTTTTTCCTTTCATCTCATCTATTCACTGTATTTCTTCCCTCTTGCTCCAGCTCCGAAGCACTTTTATCCTTTTTAGTCGCATCATCAACTGCGCCTAGTGCTCAACTAGCTTTCCATCTTCAAGCCTCCTGTCTGTCCAACAAGCCGAAAACCCCACGCCGCACAGCCAACGGCAATTCCTGTCTCGATTTTTCCTCTCCTTCATCCTCACGAACCTCGACGAGAAAACAGCATTATATCAAAATGGCGGAAGCAAACAGTGGCAGCTGGTCGGCCTTCCTCAAGGTAAATCACCAACTCCCCTCAATTGCGCAAAACACAAGATCGATGTCTCTCTTTTCTAACCATCGAACCCCGGCAGTCCATCGCCTCCTTCAATGGCGATCTCTCTTCCCTGACCGCCCCTCCCTTCATCCTCTCGTCCCAGTCCCTCACCGAGTTCTCCTCCTACTGGGCCACCCACCCGCCCATCCTCACTGCCGCCGCGGCAGAGGCCGATGCCGCCAAGCGCGCCATGCTGGTCCTCAAGTGGTTCCTCTCCACCCTCAAGCACCAGTACGCCAGCCGCAGCGAGCAGTTTGGCAACGAGAAGAAGCCCCTCAACCCTTTCCTCGGCGAGCTCTTCCTCGGCAGCTGGAACGACGAGGCGGGCAAGACGACGCTCATCTCCGAGCAGGTCAGCCACCACCCGCCCGCGACGGCCTACTGCGTGCGCAACGACAAGACGGGCATACAGCTCGAGGGCTACAACGCGCAAAAGGCCACCTTCAAGAGCACAATCATCGTCAAGCAGATTGGCCACGCCGTGCTCACCGTCCCCATCGGCGAGAACAGGGAGCTGGAGCGCTACCTCATCACCCTGCCCTCCCTCCACATCGAGGGCCTCATCTTCGGCGCCCCCTTTGTCGAGCTCGACGGCTCGAGCACAATCGTCAGCTCCAGCGGCTACACCGCCAAGATCGACTACAGCGGAAAGGGCTGGCTGTCCGGTAAGAAGAACACAGTCATCGCCTCCGTCTACCCCACCGGCGACGAAAAGGACGTCCTCTACAACGTGACGGGCCAGTGGACCAAGGAATTCGAAATCTACCAAGGCCCCGCCAAGAAGAACTCCAAGTCCACGCTCGTGGCCACCTACGACGCCGCCGGCACCGAGCAGACCAAGCTCGCCCTCGCAGACCTCGACAAGCAGCACCCGCTCGAGTCCCGCCGCGCCTGGAGCAAGGTCGCCGAGGCCATCCAAAAGGGCGACATGGACGCCGTCTCCGTCGAGAAGACCAAGATCGAGCAGGCCCAGCGAACCCAGCGCTCCAAGGAGACCGCCGACGGCCAGCCCTGGGAGCGGAGGTACTTCAACGCCGTCGCCGAGGACGAGACCCTCGCGCTGCTGGGCAAGGCCGCCGGCGTGCCCCTCGACGGCGACAAGGACAAGACGGGCGGCCTGTGGAGATTCGACGCCGCCAAGGCGGCCAAGGCAGACGCCGAACAGCTCAGCGACGAGCAGGTTGCGCAGATCGAAACAACGCTCTTGGGTCAGTAAACTCGACCTATGAGCAAGATACAATAGACGGCGCGTTTCGATTTCTATATATACTCCTATATATATGCGACAACAAAAAAAAAATAGGGCATCAAACGGCAAAAAGAAGCACTGCGACGGCTCAATTAAGAACCGAGCGGGCTTAGGCGAAATATTACGGGACCTTTTTGGATGTGTTTTTGTGTGAAGGCGGAAGGGATTAAATGAGGCATGATGGATGGGTCACTACTAGCCACCTTTTTGAGTACACCATGGTTTTCACGGAGAGTTAAACATTTTTAATGTAGAGATGAAGATTACTTTTTTTTTCTTTTGGATTTTCAACCATTGAATTCTGTCAACTTTTTTTTGGTATCATTTCTTTCTTTTTTTCATCATTTTGCCGACCAGTTCGCGGTACCCTTTTCCCTTCAAATATACCAAATTGGTACGTAGAGCATTCTAGAGGTGTAGGTAGGAATACTACAAAATATTTGGAACGCTTGGTTCGTCCTCACGATGTACTCTCAAAGCAATGTCCCATTGACAAGCAAAGCAAGCGACATTTAGAGCTGGTTGGCGGTGTTGAAGTCCTTGAGAGCCTCGGCAACACGCTTGGACATGGTCTTCTCACCCTCGCGGACCCAGACACGGGGCTATGCAGCAGTTAGTCATTGGGCTCGATGAATTGTCTCGCAGGTAGCAGTGGATAACTTACGTCGAAGAACTTCTTGTTGGGCTTGTCATCACCATCGGGGTTGCCAATGGCAGTCAGGAGGTAGTCCTTCTTGTTGAGGACGTAGTCGCGGATACCGGACAGGTAGGCGAACTGCATGTCGGTGTCCATGTTGACCTTGACGACACCGTAGCTAATGGCCTCGAGGTACTCCTGCTTGGAGGAGCCGGAGCCGCCGTGGAAGACGAAGAAGACGGGCTTGTCGTTCTCGGCCTTGATGGCGGCCTTGACGTGGGCCTGGTGCTTGCCGAGCAGCTCGGGGTGGAGCTTGACGTTGCCGGGCTTGTAGACACCGTGGACGTTGCCGAAGCCAGCGGCGATGGAGAAGTAGGGGGAGATGGGGGAGAGGGTGTTGTAGATGCTGAGGATGTCCTCGGGCTGGGTGTAGAGGGAGTTGTTGTCGACATCCTCGTTGTTGACGCCGTCCTCCTCGCCACCAGTGATGCCAATCTCCATCTCGAGCCACTGCTTCATGGGAGCAGCGCGCTTCAGGTACTTGGCGGTGGTCTCGATGTTCCAGTCAACAGGCTCCTCAGACAGATCAATCATGTGAGAAGAGAAGAGAGGCTCGCCGGTAGCCTTGAAGTAGGCCTCATCGGCAGTGAGCATGCCATCGAGCCAAGGGAGGAGCTTCTTGGCGCAGTGGTCGGTGTGAAGGACGACGGGAATGCCGTAGGCGGGGGCAATGGATCGGATGTAGTTGGCGCCGGCGATGGCACCGGCGATGGAGGCAGCCTGGTCAGCGTTGTCGACACCCTGTTTTGCGAGTTAGCGATTTCGTCTTGGAGTGAGTACGCGCAGTTGAAATCCAGCGGTTCAATGAGGTTTTTTTCCCCATACCTTTCCGGCGAAGTAAGCGGCACCACCCTGGGACATTTGCAGGATGATGGGGGACTTGGCATCGCGAGCAGCCTCAAGAGAAGCAACGACGGTGGAGGAGGAGGTGACGTTCTGAATTAGACGCTTGGTTAGCTGCCAATCCCTCTGGAAGGGGGGCCAACGAGAGGCTCGTTTTTAAACTTACGATGGCGGGAATGGCAAACTTGTGCTCGCGAGCGTACTCAAACAGTCTCAGGACGTCATCGCCGACGATGACACCGGTCTTGCGGCTCAGGACTTCGGTAGCACCCATTTTTGCGAGGTTTTGAAGTTGATTGTACTAAAGCAAGGTCGTAGGAGAGCAGAGAATCTGAGTTCTGCAAAGTTGCGGGAGGACAGGTCAGCAATGGAGACGTCGTAATAAATACGATTTGGTCGGTGAAGGATTAAATGAGAATGGAAGAGAAAAGAATGGAAGCGGATTTGCTGAATGGTAATTGCTACTCGTAAGAGCGCGGGGTTTTTCAACCTCGAGGCACGGCGTAATTGAGTTATCGATAATCAGGGCCAAGGAGGGGCAGCTCCGTTGACGGATGGGACAAGCTGCGAGATTTGCTCCCAATGCCGGACCTGAGTGGCTCACGGCTCGTCGAAAGCGCAAATCAGCGTGTCACAGGTGGAGATGCCATTGGGCGGCGAGTTTCCATTCCATTTGATGCAGTGCATTGTAATGTAATAGGCCTCGTGCTGTCGTCCTGTCGCCGCGTCCAGTCAAATCCAATTGTCATCTGGTCTGGCCACCGCAATCGCCATCACCGGGTCGCCCGTCTCGGATTGACGATTGCGCTCGTGTTGCCCCTAATCCTGCTTCTCCCAGCTCGTCTCCATCATTCGATGTCCCATCGCGCAACGGACGGATGCTCTGCCGTTTTTGCAGCTGCTGAGAAGACATCATGGTGGGGCTGATGCGCCGATGGAGGGGCAGCATGGGATGTGTGAGGGGCAAAAAAATCAAAGGGCAGAAAACAGGGCCGAAAACAGGGGCTGTGGTGAGAGAGAGGGAGTGAGAGACTTACAGGGGCTGCTGCGATAAGCAATTGGGCGTCGGTGTGTCGGGAACAGATGAAGATGGAGGAAGAAGAAGAAAAGAAAAGAGAAGAGAAGAAAAAGAAGATGGCGATGGCGATGGCAGATCTGAGGTAGATGTAGAAACTAAGAGGGGACGGGCGGGGCGCTGGCAATAGCTCCCAATCGTGTGACCTCAGAGCTGCTCCTCTTTGCCGGCAGCTTCTTCCTGTCGTAGCCGAAGCTTCGGGAGAGAGCCACGGAAACATGCGGGACGAGGCTGCTTATGGAGTTTGATGGCGGCGGTTTTCGTTGGTTTGTTTATACTTTGTTGACCAGTCAGTCAATCACTTGGTTGTACTAATTGCATCAATGCTTATTTGCCCGGGTACGTATGATGTTCTAAGCTGAGCTCACCAGGACGCATTGCTCTGTTGTGTCTATTCACGCACGGCCACCACACATGTAGCAAAACATACAGGATTCACATCATATCTGCTCTTCTCTCTCTCTTATTCTCCTATTCTCATACTCTGCATGTCATCGCCATGATTGTGGATACTTGGAGTAGTCATTAATTTCAAGACGGGGCTTGCCGTCCCGATTTCTTCCAATGCAGGTACTTTTTGAGCCGGCCCGGCGCGGAAGCCATTCGGAACCGGACTCCTATAAGAGTGACCACATGGCCCTGTGCGCGGGTTGCGGGAATGCATACACCGCTTATTCAGACCGTCACTTCCGGAGATTGAAGTTATAAATTGTTATAAACTTGTGTATAATGCTGTGATGCGTTCAACACTTGGTGCTGATTGTATGAGCAGACATAGCCTCGGCCGACGATTTTGCCCCTGCTGCCGATGTTTCCCGCAGCTTCTTGGCAGTTGGGGTAATACGATATGACGACGGCATCTTGGCCTGTACGCTGAATTGGGGTCAAATATACGGTATTCCGAGCATCCAATATTCAATAAGCCGTGCTGCATGCCAACCAAGCTACGGGTTGATGCGAGTGCGAAGAGCATCATGCATGGCATAGGCAATGAGCACTAGTAGTCCATGAGAGACGGGGCCTCATGTGTAATAGTCGCATTTATATGATCAAATCCCACCATGAAGAAGAATGATAATTGTATTAGGTCATTATATGGTTTCTATTTCGCCGCTTATTGCCTATAGTACTTAGTATTTGCCATATTCTGCAAGATTGCTTGGCTCAGACATGTAGCGTCGTCTTGGTTGCTCTTGCACTCCTGCAGTATCAAGTGCCTGCTGATTACCTGATAAGCCCCACTGCCTGCAGCTGCCCTGGCGGGGTTGGAACTTCATCTCGTCTTGTTTTACTTGCATTTCTCACTCTCACAGTTAACGACCATCTACGAAGCCTTTGGTCTACTTGTTGTTCTCTCTGCAAATACATGTCCATGTCCATGTCCATGTCCATGTCCGTTTCATAATGCCGAACAGAGGCGGCAGAAATTCATCGGGCCCGTGGGGCCGCCTCAAGCCCGTGGAGCAAGACCCCCTGGAAAGCATCGGGCTCCCATCCAAGGGCGACACAAGGTGAATTGATTCATGGTCTATCCATACCTTGTACCACCAAAGACATGTCATTAACCACTACGTGTCAGGTTACTGGACCTCAAGACTCAAGAGAACTACTACACCAGGATAGTGGAGCGCTACATGACGTTTTGCTCCGATGCAGGTCAGCGGGACGAGCTGCTTCGGAGGTTCTCGTCACTGGAGATATCATCATCAAAACCAGCCTCTACTCCCAACAACTCTCGACCTGTTCTACCCACAGTTGATCATGAAAAGCTTCAGAACCCTGCCAACACCAAGGCTCTGTCCGATGTCATGGCGGCTCTACGAAAACTGAGAGAGGGCATCGTTGCCACGAAGCGGGCTGACGATTTCGCCGCACAGGCCTATCTTTTCTGCATTCGACTCTCCATATTAGTCAAGCATCCCGAATCCTATCACCCGGCTATCCTTCACCTGCTCCGCTCGGTTCACCCACAACAGCCCCTCACATCTGTCGAACTGCAAGAGGTAGTGGGCTACCTGGTGCTGGATACAGCTTGTCGGCGCGGGGAGCTGGCAGAAGCCTTTGCACTGCGACGGAGATATGACTTGAAGGACTCCAAAGTAAACGCGGCACTAACAGCATTGACCCATGATAACTACGTCGTGTTCCAGAAGGTGAAAAGAAGCGTAGACGGGCATCGAGCAAAGATTATGGAATGGGCAGAAGGCGATGTGAGAATGCACACACTCAAGTGCTTTGGGAGAACGTACATGTCGGTTGAGTTGGACTTTTTGGAAAAGACGACGGGCTCAAAGTGGCCAGACCTGAAGCAGGCTGACGGGGTTGGCTGGGACCTGGAGGGCAGCAAGGTGGTGATTCGCAAGGTCAGGGCACGGTGATGGCAGAGCACACCGAGGAGGCCATGGCGCCCTGAAATGTGGTGTTTTTCCCTAAACGCCCACGATGCTATGCCGGAGACGTGTGTGGGCTGGCATGTTTCTCCGACAGCTGTCGGTCAGCTGGCCCTCTCCAGAATGCCTCGATTGAAGCTCCAGTAATAGGGGATTCACCCACTACCCACCGTCGGGGGTCCATTATCAACCATTCACCTTGCCCTCGTAACGGGGCAGTCAACGATGGCCGTTTGAGTTGCGAAACGCTCTGGCCACGGATTAAATATCTCCAGGCGGTTAAGAATTTACTCAGTCACACATCTCAGCTTTCACTCCCACCCACCACCAAAGAGTCACGCACCTCTCTCCACCACAACCTTTTACATCCCTGCATCTCATAGCAGAAACCACCTCGTCGATAGCTTTTCGCATCGTCGGCTTCTTGCTATGGCGCCGGCGAGAAAGAGGCCGAGAGCCGCGCAGTCCGATGATAAAACTGCGTCGGTGCTCCTCGCTGATTATCGCACCGCCTGGCTCCTCGCGTACGTATCCATTTCCATATTCCACCTAGCATCGTCTTGGTGACGTTGCTGCCGTTGTGCCCTTCTCTTCTTGTCCCATCGTCAGTCTTCAAAATAAGCAGCTTTGCCTATGCCACTCTTTCCCAACCATTAGCTAAAACTAACTAAAGAAACATGTACAGATCCGACGAGCCATCAGTTGAAATTATCTGCAACAACGAAACATTCAAGGTCCACACGAGTGTCCTCAAGCAGCATTCGGAGTACTTTGACACCTGCCTGTCCAAGCCATTCAGCGAGTCGGATGGCGTGGTTCGCTTTGATGATATCGAGCCTCGGTACTTGGCCTTTTACCTGGGAGTGGCATACAGCTACTCATCCATCATGCCGCACACGCCCCCGGCCCCCTCTAAGAATCCCGAGGCCAAGGCACAGCGCACGCCTCTCCGAGACTATATAGAAGTATATAAGCTATGTGATCGGTTTCTAAGCACTCAAATGGGCGAGTTTATTCTCAAGTGCATTAAGACGAGCATTGGAGACGGGCACCGCGCCTTGTTTCGCTCGTTTGCGGATGAGGAACAGCAAAAGGCGCTGATGCGAGATTTCGCGGACGGATACGAGGCGCTGGAGCACGGTCATGCGATGCAAAAGGAGCTGTCGGAGCTCGTTATAGAGTATTTTGTCGAGGGCATCTCGTATGAGGCTTGGGACAGCTATATGGAAGAGGTGATGCACAGGCCCAAGTTTGTGGCGCAGGTTTCCAAGGGATTTGCGAGGAAGTTGTCAGAAGCCATGTCGGCGAGATCCAAGATCAAGCGCAAAGAGCTTAGCGGCCCATGAGAAAAGAGTTATGGGGATTGGAGAGAAGTTTGCTAAGGCGACGTGAGACGGTGAGCTTCATCATCTGTTGTTGCTCGCAGTGAATACTAACCGCGAGGCGGAGTGAAGGCTGAGGGGTTGAAGAGATGAAGCTAAGCTTTCTGCAGTGGATTTGGCGAAGGGTTTTTGTGATTTTCTGACATGGAATGGCCAGCTTGGGTTGCTTGGTGAGCAGCTAGGAGAGCAGTATTGATACAGGTTCTTATTACTCGCGAAGGCGAGTTAAGCATGGCAGAACTTTGCCCTCGAGTGCTAGGTTTGCGATGCACAGCGGATAGAGCCTGGCTTTTGTTTTTTATGTATTTATGAATTAAAAAAAAAGACAATGTATGGGAAAACACGCATTCGAGGATGTGAAACTGTAATGAAGTTGGCGATGAGGCCATGTATGCCTTCAATTTCTCCGCCACAGCGGATGTGTATATGTATATGTATGAATGCCAGGCTCAAAAAACTCCGTTCCCCAATTCCCTTTCAGTCCATCAAACAAAAGAAAGACAGCAATGCCCAGCCAGTGTATCATATAAAACTCCCATGTATGCTTCGCTCAAGGGGCAGCCTCAGCCCTGATGCAGAACCCCCCCCCCCCCCCCAAAACCCCTCGACATTTCTGTGCAATAATATCTCCTCAACTTCATTTTTGTTGATTCTTTTGTTGCTTTGGTGGTTACCGTTTGCCATACTCGGCAACGCCCTTTTCCAAATCCTCGAGGCTCTCGCGCCCGCCGTACAAGTTCTCCATCATGCGCTGCCTCTCGGCGGAGTCGTGCTCGAGGGCGAGGGCGGTTTCGCGGCGGTGGGCGCGGGTGATGTCGAAGTAGGATTTGGAGGCGTAACCGACGGCGGTGATGACGACGGCAGTTTTGAGCCTTTTTTTACGTATTAATTAGCATTATGATTATTATTATTTTTTGTTTTTGTTTCTGTTTTTGTTTGTTTTTGTTTTTGTTTTTGTTTTGTTGTTTGCTTTGTTGGGATGGGATATGGAGGGATGTGAGAGAGAGAGATTGGTCGAGTGCTTACCAGCGTCGGATCGGGGCTCGGCGCGGCGATGGGCGGAGATGTGGCAAAAAGGGCGGGTGCACTCTCGCGGCGGTTGAGAAGCCTCTGACTGTTGGATTCATTGTTTGTCGAGTTATGTGATTTATGAAATAGAGGCGAGTGTGTTTTTTTGCAACAGTTGAAGCGAGAGTGTTTGCTGGTATTAACGTGGTGTTGTTGTGTTGCGTGTGGTATGTTGGTGATGGTTGCAGCAGCTTCAAGTGATCAAGAGAGAGAGCTTCGTCTAGATTTATTCCGTAGCTTACGCCACCCAGTCTATATTCCAAAAAAAAGAGAAGAAAGAAGAGTGGCTCAGCCTCCTTAAAGAACCAACCTCTGAGCAAGTAAAACAAGAAAAAAAAATCATGTGAGTGTGCCCCCGGGAACTAAAACTTGTGTCCATGGGTAACAATTTCCCTCCGTCACATTTGGCGGCTTGGGCATGTGCTGCCATAATAGTACGAGTAGAGCCACTTTGTCGAACCATCCATTTAGAGCGAGATTGGGAAATTAGCCGCGGCGTCCGATTCGACGGAAGAACGCGGGGAGGGTGGCATCTGGATGGGCGGAACCTTTGTGGGGATGCTTGGTCCGAGGTTATGAGAGGCTGTTTTTGTTTTTTTCATGTACGAGGCAATATAGAGGAGACGTGATGTTACAGCATGTTACATGGCCGAGTCTTACATACATGTACGAGTAGTTGTCGGTGTGCGTGTGTGGGAAGAGTGAGAGAGTGAGAGTGAGAGTGAGGTTGCTGTAAGCTGCTGGAATGTATGAGTGAGTTGAGACTGGCCGCATCCATGCATCATGCATGTGTTGTCTGTCACATCTTGATTTGAAAACCTCTCTCTCAGGCCATACAACATCAACTACCTAAGCATCATCTCTCTCCGGCACTTGGTCCGCAGAGGTTGTCTCTGTTGTCTTGCCGCTTACGACCATGTGGTTGCAGTCTTGCATGCCCATCGCCTGATTTCCCCTGGCGGTGCGCCAACAATCGTGTGACGGACCACACGCCGGAAATCCCCCCTTTCCCGGCGTCCGAATCCTCCAGCTATTTTGCTGCAGAATTCTTTCGCTTCGTGCAAACTGATATAACGACATTTTGAAAAAAAAACATATTGAAATGGTATTACTGTTGTTGTTGTAATTATTAGCGATGCTCTCTGAATGCCGTCAATTACCGGCTGCCCGGATTTTACCGCTCTCGTTCAAACACACAGACCACCGCAAACGGGCTTTCCATGTTGTCCCTTCGGCAATCCAAAAGTTCCCTCTTCCTCATAGCCGAACCGAGCACAGCCAGCTAAAACTAATGGAACAGTGAAAAAGAAGAAAAGAAGAAAAGACTCACGATTCGCTAATTATATACTCAACACACACTCTCAATGCTGTGGCAGCCCATCGTCTCCGTGCTTCTGCCTCATGTCCCTCCATAACGGACCTCTGGCTGCCGTCCCAACGCCGCCAACATATCCAATGTCTTTATCCAGATCCAAGCCTTTAATGAGGCCAATTGGTTTGGGCACCAGGTCGGGACTCTCCTTGCTGTCGCCTTGATCCGGCTCGTCGTCACCATCATCATCGTGTTCATGACTCGGGTCGCCCAGCAGCGGATACTTGTCCAGCCACTCTTGCCAGACCTCGTCACACTGCTCACTACCTCGGCAAGGCACCCTCTCGAAGCACTTCTCCCCGTCCAGCAGCCAGTAATGCAGAAGCACTGCTGGGAGCAATTCGGCCACGATCCACGGCTTCCACGCCCAGCCGCGCCGCATCATGTGCGTGCCGTCGTGGCGTCGCCAGAGCTCAGTCGTCAGCAAGAAACGCATGATGCATGCTTCCTGCGTCCATGGCAGCGGCTCGTCAGCCTGTTGAAGAGGCTTCAGAGTCCGATGGACAACCATCTCGGCGTAATCGCCATCCGATCTTGCCGTGTCTAACCTCTCGGTGAGGCTGCGGAACCGAGGCATCGTCACGGAGAGCGTTTCTCGCAGGCGGGACTCCATGGAAAAGTTGACATGGTTCTTTTGGCAGAGATGTCGAAAATCGAGATACGCTTCTCTCACGGGTGGCGAGGTAGCAAAGGCTTCAATCGACTGCGCCTTGAGTAGCACATCGCTCTGCCTTTCGACGGAGGGCCATATCCGTGTAGCCGCGAGGTAGGCAAAGTGCGTCTGGATGTCCTTTACCAGAATGTCGTCCACGCTTCGTTCCCTGTCACCCAGCAGGTAGTCGGGCAAGTGGAAGCGGCTCGTCTTGAAGACGTTGCAGCAGCGCAACACGCACTCTCCATTGCCGCATAGTGTCTGAGAGGGAAGAGGCCGGCCGTGCGAATACTGCTCTTCCCGGCGTCGTCTCTCGTCTCGTTCTCGACGGCGGAGTGTGAGAGCCACGGGACTGGGAGGCGAAGAGGAGATGCGGTCGCTGCTAGGTGGCGTGCTCATTGTGTAAAACTGGATAAGAACGGTAGGGCTTTGGTACTTGTTTCCACATACAAGTGAAGCTTCTCCTAGCTCACTTTATACTCCTGTAGAGAAACCGCCACATGGGGATGGACGTAGACATGGCGAGGCCGCATCCGGCACATGCTCTGCACCCTGCGTGTTCGGCGACGGCAAAGTACACAGACGGCTTGAACATGTAGCCCTGCTTGCAAACGAGACTCCAAGTCATTATGAGGCAGCCTTGCCCGTTGCTCTCTCTGAAGGTGGTGAATAGATGCGAAGAAGAGAAGTCGTAGGGAGACGAGTTGCGTTGCATTGTGTTGAGGCCAACGGCGTACTAGAGCCGCCAAACAGGAACTCCCGCCAAACTTTAATTCTCGTGGCGTGTGCTCTGTAACAAGAGTCTCCTGTAGATTGCCGTTTGGATGGTTGAGAATCTGAGGATGCGGGCGGGTACTTGTGCTGCTCCTGTTTGGCCTGACGTGGAATTGACTACCCTCTACGAGATGCATTCACCATGTGTCCATGTATAGATGAAGAAGCTTCTTAACCCATGTATTCATCGAGCTAGAAAAATTAGATGATCAAAAAAGAAACAAGAACAGATTCACCACAGATATCCCCTGCATTTACGGCTCCTGCACAAACACCTGGCCATATCCCCAGCACTCGCACCCTCCATGCCGCCCCCATCCTCCGTCACCCCATCCACATAATCAAAGGTCAACTCCTCCCCACGAGGAATGTCGCGAATCGCAAACAGCGCAAGGTCGTGAATGTGCTTGTCGGCGTGGTCGCCCACACGCGCAAAGATGCGCAGGTTGGGCTCGCACGAGTGGTTGATGAAGCGCGTCGGGCCCGAGAGGAACTCGCCGTCGACCTCGAGCGGCGGGCCCTTGAGGCGCGGGTCCAGCGACTCCGGGTGGGTGAACTTGTCGAGGGCGAAGAGGTAGACGTCCTTGCGCTGGGAGACGGCCGAGGCGGCGCGGCGGCAGTCGGCTTCGGCGGAGGTGATGATTTCGCCGAGGTAGCGGTCGACGAACTGGCCCTTTTTGATGGCCACTTGGGTGCGGACTCCTGGTTCTAGGGGTCAGCGGGCACGCTCAAAGAAAAAGAGGCCGATGGGTAACCACGTAAACGTACCCCATCCCCTGTCGTCGGTGCGAAAGATTTGCAGCGGAATGGTTCGCCCACGCTCAACCACCCTGTTGGGGCAGTCTTTGGAGCATGAGCAGCCGGCGTGGCACTCGTACAGCGGCTCCTTGGAGTTGAGCATCTTGGACCGTAAAAGCCCTGCCTTGGCCCCGTGGGCGTGATACGCATACGCCTTTCTCTTCTGCTTGACCCCGTCCTTTGGTCCACCACCATTGGCTCCATTCGCGTAAATGTCCCCGTCCTCGTCGCTGCTGCTGCCCTCTTGGTCCCCCAGGTCGGCCAGGCAGAGGCATCCCATGTACTGGCACTCGCCGTCGCTCTCGCAGGAGCACCCGCTGCGGAAACTATCCTCAGCCGGCTCGACGCCCTGGCCCAGGACCATGCGGTCGATGAAGCGGAAGTTGGGCGGGATGACGGCCTGGTCCTTTGCGTTGACGATGGTGACGGGGGTGTTTTGGTGGATGGGAAAGGCGCGGAGCTGGCAGAAGTGGCAAGAGGCTTTTTCGGCGGCGTGTTCCTGTTTTGATGGTTAGAATGTGTTTTTGGTGGTGATTTCTTGAGGTGAAGTGGCGGAGAGGTGATTCTCGTCTCTTTTGTTTGCATGTCATTACGCGCCTTACCGGCTGGTCGTGGGAGAAAAAGTGTTGGCTTGTGATGGCCTCCATGGCTGTTGGCTGTCTTGTTGCTCTCTTCACTTGACGGATATGTTTTGTGAGATATCGTGTCTTGTCATGAAATGGATGAGTTGGTCATTGAGCATGACCTCTAGCATCTGAGTTGCGGCGGGAGGTGGATGCGGATTTGGAGATGCAGATGGATGCTAAAACGAATGAATGAATGACGCTATCACGGACGGCTGACGTTCAAGGCATTGGATGAAGAGTGAATGTGCATTATGCGAATGAAGGCGTGTAGTATGGAGGATTGCCAGCAAATTGCCACTTGACCGTTCAATTTCGACCTAACCTGGAGCTCTCGGTGAGGCACCCAAATCACGGTGAGCTCGGTGACAAGGCCTTGCTTGTTAGTGGATCATTTCTTATTGAATTTTGCTTGGCTACTGATCCACCTGCAAGGGAGAGAAAAGGTCAAGTGTCATGCATGTCAATTACGCGCAGATGCTCTACGGTACGGGTAGATAGTCTAATCTGTCTATGTATCTATGCAATGAGGATGTGTACCTACTCGTAGATGATTCCCAACGAACCATCTACATCTACAACTACATTAGCACTGCATCTAGTAGATGGTACCTATAGACAACATCTCAAATGATGAAATACGCTCTTTTGTGCCTTGGAACAATCGAGCACTACGTCAACGCGGGCACCGTGGAAGCTTTTATTATGGAATCGCGCCGCCACCAAGAACGCATGGAAGCATCATCATCATCAGCCTCTCATCAATGGCTTGCGTTCCTCGTCTCTGCTTGATGAATCAGCACATCATCTACAAACTACTTCGCATACTCGTAATCCCTTTGAGGGCGAATCGGTCCATCCAAAGTATCTTCCTAGGATTGTGGCTAATTAAATCGCCACAAATTCAGAGTACATCAGCTGCTGCTAAAATCGGCCTCGAGGGTAAGTCTTAAAATTGAAGCGGATACAGGTACCTACTTGGGTTGGACCATTCCGCACTTGATGGGATACGAGGAATCTGGCCGAGTAGCGCTGCACCATCTTTCCACAGGCTCTTGTTGGCCCTGAAGCTTCAGTGGATGCGTTCGTTGGGTTCGGTTCAGTGGGCGGATACGGCGGGCCCTTCGCCTGGGGCTTTCGCTGACAAACGGGGCCCGGGCTTGAGCTTCAGCGGATCGATCCATTGATCTCGTTTGGCACGTGTAAATGGCCATCCATCTTTGCTTCTCTCTCTCTCTCCCATCTTGCCTTGTCTCGTATTCACCAGCTCTTCTTTATCGTATCATCTCATCATCTACATAGTATTCATTCAATCGCAATTCATCAACTGATTCTTCTGCACTGCAACTGCTCTCCTCCCGCTGCAGATACCCCGGAGATGCACCTCGTCGGCGTTTAATACCTTGTCTCTCTTATTCCCCCGAACCCCGGTCCTGTGTCTCCTCCAACAAAACACACCTCCAGTCAAACACACTTCGGCTCGACATCCATCCCAAAAAGCTTTTCCCCCACTGGCCTGGCCCAAAAGGATACACCCTCACAGCCACACAGAGTTGCGCTGGTGCAGCGCCAGTCAGCTGCGCCGTTTCCCGACAAGCTCCAACCCGGCCGGTCGTTTGTCCCGCAGTTGGACCAAGAACCAAAAAGGGCTTCAGAGAGGCTGAGGCTCCCGTTCCGTTGACTCTTCGCTGCCTTGGCTTCTTTTTCTTTGTCTCCCTTTATTTTTAATTCTATCTAGTTCTTGCCCTTGTTCTTATTCTGCTCTACTCCCGTGTCTGGCATCCGCAGCCAGATCTGGTATGGCGTTGGCCAGCTCTCCGTCCACCCTCTCGTTGCGAAGCGTTGCCAGCTGAGACGCCACAAGCAAAGCAAAGCAAAGCAAAGCAAAGCAAAGCAAAGCAAGGCTCAGCAAAACCATCAACCCCACCCCAGGGCGACATCATGGTGCGCAAAAATATCCTTTACTCTTCTCGATCTACCCCCTTTATTACAAGTGCTAACCGCGATGCGCTCTTCCTTCAGGGCTGTTGCTTCTCTCGTTCCGCGGGTCCAAACTCGCCCTATCCCGGAGGCGTCCCCGATGCCTCCTCTCGCGCCATCAATCCGCCGCCCTTGACCTTGCCCGAGGGAATCATATCCGGCAACCCGCAAGCCGCCGCCCTGAGCCATCACCACCGCCGCCGCCGGGACCCTCGCCCTCTCGACCAGCACATCAACAGGCCGCTGCGCCGCCACCGATGGACGTCCACCCAGCGAGTGTGGACTCGCCGTGACCTCGTCAAGGAGCGCGCCGAGTTCTTCGACACCAGAGTCGTCTGCCGGCCCGAGATCTGGCAGACGCTGCATGCCGCGCTGCAGGTGCTGTGGGACGCCAACCCGGAGGATTCCCAGGACGAGGACAATGCCCTGGCTACGGCCCAGACCATTCTCACGGCCGCCGAGATCTCCCTGCCGACGGGCAACCTCGTCAACGGTGCGTACGACGCCCTGGGCAACCTGTATGCGCTGCCCGAATGGGTCGTGGCCGACCCGGACAACCTGGCGGACGACCGAGACCCGGATGCAAAGGGCGACGGGTCGACTGCGGGCGAAGAAACCGCCGGAGAGGATGACGACGACGCTGACTCGGAAGAGGCCGAGAGGAGGAGGGAGGAAAAGGGCAAGGGAGTGCTGGACGAGCGGGAGATGGTCACTTTCCGCGCGCGGCTGAGCGAGACGGGCCGGGACATTAAAGTCACCGTGGCCAAAACAGACAGCGTGCGGAGTGTCATTAAGAAGGTTACGGAGCAGTCAACAGTGGGTTTTTCTTTGCTTTGTCGCCGTGTCATCGTTTTCTTGTATTGGTCGGCTAACACTTGCACTTGACAGCTTCCCCCAGACAAGAAAATCCGCCTGGCCTACATGGGCAAGATGCTCAAGGAAAACACTTCTCTCGAAGCCCAGGGCTGGCACGCCGGCCACGTTATAAACGCCTTGGTTTTCAACAGATAACACTCCATCCTACTCCTACTACTTCCTCCTCCTCTTAACCTTCTCATCCTCTTTCACTGAGAATTCTTCACTTTCTTAATTCACATATTCTATTTCCTTTGGCCTTGTCTGGATAATACCCCATATCTTCTTTCTTCTTTCTTCTCCTTTCTTCTTTCTTCTTCAACGCTGCCAAATTGGAGTTCTAACGGAGTATTTTATTTTATTTCCCTTGGCATTTGCACAAGATCGTTTTATTTATACCCACACAAATTACATTACACTCTGCCAGTACATATGACGACACGGCAGCGGACGACACGACGAGAGAATTGGCACGAGAAGGGGAAACAAGCCTGTATCTAAAGAACTTTTTGTTTTTGGTCTCAGCATCATTTGTCTGTTGGAGTGAAAGCATACAAAGCTTTTAACGCTACAATTACTATTTAATCGATATTTTTGCTGCCATTTTCAAGGTAGTCAGTCATAAAGCGTTTTTTTTAAAACACAAGAAGAAAAACAAACATCTTTTTTTTTTAAATGCTGTCAAGATTTCCGCCTACATCAAAAACAGTACACGCAACTAAAACCCGCCCCCCTTGGCATTTTCATCACGATATTTCCCCCTCCTTTTTTTTATTCCCAGCTCTCCAGTAGAAGATTGAAATAGGCCTATCCACCAATGCAACTACTCCCGTCCCTCTGGATCCCTTCTTTTGCCTCGTTAAAATATATGAATAGAGCGAATATAGGTAAAAAACAGTAAAGAAAACACCGCACAAACCACCATCTAACCGGTTCTACAAACGAATAAGAGAGACAAGACAGCATTCCCTCATGAAAATACGCGAAGAAGAAGGAAAAAGAAGAATAAAAAAAAGGGGGATTCGTAAGATTATCTAAATTTTTTTGGTGGTGCGCGCGTTGTGTATATCTTTCAAGTCTTTCTTCCTTCCGGTATCGGGTTGTTTTCCTACGTCTAAGCCGTTGAGCCAATCTTATTCAGACCCTTTAGTGAGCCTAAGCTGAGGGCCAGGCCTTGTGATCTACTCCTTATGCGCACGAAGCCTGTGATGGGACCGTCCTCTCCCTCCTTTTCGATGCTCAAGTTGGCCAGCGCATCCTCGCCTGCGGGGGAAACAGTTAGTAAAAGAGTCGTTTGGGGAGCATGTAGACATGGTGTTTCAAAGGGCTGTAGCTGTAACTTACCAAATACACTGCGAGCGTACAAGTTTGCGCTCAAGAACTGGCAGTCTCCCTTGAGACTGGCCTCGGGCGTCAGGCAGTTCATGTTCGTGCAGGCCATGAGCTGATCCAGGAACTCGCGTAGTGACTTGGCCTTGGAGTTGATGTTGACCTTGTTCTCCCACTCGAATTCTGTCCACATGGTGCGGAACTGCGTCTCGGTGCAGGTAGCGGGCTGGATGTAGTCCATGATGTCGACGTGTAGGTCGTTCAGGATGACAACGTTGGTGTCGGTTGAGTGCGCGCCGTCGTACACCACGTTGCCAAAGATGACGCCCGTGTCTGTTGACGAGACCTTGATGGTGCACTGGACGTTGTGGAAGTCGTGGGGGCCCAGGTTCTGCGTGGTTGGTCGCTCAACAACCTTGAGGTCGCCCAGGGTTGCAAACTCAACCGACAGGTTCTGAAGAGTGTCGGTGGTCTGGTTCACCAGCAGAACGTCCAGGATGATGTCGAACTGGTGCACCTTGACATATGCCTCGGCATACACGGGATCGGAGAAACCAGTCAACTGGACAACGCGGCTGAGCTTGGATGTGAGGTCCTCAGCGCCGCCCTCGCCGCCAGTTGCCCTCTCCAAGTCCATCTCGATTTCATCCAAGCCGTCACCGGCGTTCTTCTTGGACAACTGACGAATGGGAATCACATCGTCGACCTGAATGGCAGTCTTGGCCTTCTCACGGGCCTCCTTGGCGGCACGCTTGGTCTCCTCGACCTGAACCATGGCCCGGAATGCCTTGCGGGTATCGTCAAGCCACACTGCTTCCAGCTCCTTCTTCTCCTTGAACTCGGCAAGGGAGCGCACGCAGGCCATGATTCGGTCTACGGAATCCTCATCAATGGGCGCCTTGACAAACTGAGACTGGCCGACACGAATGATGGAGATCATGATGAGCATGGCCTCGGCCTTGAGGGCATTGGTTCGCGCCTGTTCGGCTGAGATTTCTGAGTGGCGCATGACCAGCTTCACCAGCGTTGAAGACAGAACCGTTGACAGGTAGTAGTCTCCATCGAGGATGAGCTGTCTCAAGGGTGGCTTCTGAGCGGCCTTGACAGCCTCCAGCTTGGCGGCGGCGGACGACTGGCTGGTGAGCGCAGTCTCGGTCGCATACGTACCGTCGGCCAGCACCTTGCGGGAGCCGGTTGGCGCAGAGGGCTTCGAGCTGCCGTTGATCTGGTCGTCCTTCTTCTCGTCACCATCCTGCTCTTCCAACAGCCTCTGCTCTGAAGCCACAATGGGGATCTCTCCCAAGCTGGCTCGGATACCCTTCCAAGCATCTCGAATGTCCTTTTCCTCCAGGGAGTACTCTCCAATGATCCACAGGATACCACGATAGACCTTGCCAGCTCGCACCTCGCTAAGGGTTGATACAAGACGGCGCACAATGGTGGTTCGGAGCTCAGGGAACTTCTCGACGACCTCCTTGACGAAGTTGATGACATCAACAGCAGATGTGTTTGTGAAATCGGCGATAAAGTCCATGAGAAGCTCCACAACGCTGGCGGCAACTTCTGAGAACTTGATGGCGCATTGGTGGATGGAGTGGATTAGGAGGGATCGGTACTCGGTATTCTTCTCGTACTCTTGGTCAACCGTCTTGGACAATTCCTTCTTCAACAGCAGGACCACTTCCTCGACATTCTTGCTGGAGACCATGGCCAGGGCCAGCTCCAGGGCCTTTTTGCGGACGTCAATGTCTGTGCTGCTGAGAACTCGCAGGATCTCCATGACGAGGTCGTCTAGGACACCCTCATTCTTCTGGCGCAGCTGGTCGACCCGGTCAAGGACAATGAGCTTGACGTTGTTGTCGGCCTCCTTGATGCTCAGCTCGATAAACTTGGATGCCGCGGCCTTGACAGCGACGGGGTTGTTGGTCAAGGCTGTCAGCGATGACGCCGCCTCGTAGACGACAGTGGATGCGCCGGCTTCCAAGAGGTCAAAGATTAATCGCAGATATCGAGCCTATCTCTGTTAGCTTAGGCGACTCCATATGAAGAGTCACGCAGAGGCCGTACCTTGTTCTGGGAGTTTTGCACAGCGTCCTTGCGGATAAACTCCAGTTCGACCAATTGCAGCAGTTCTTCGGCGTTGGGAATTCCGTCAAAGACGGAGCTGAGATATAAAAGGGCGGCATCGTGATTGATGCTGGCGAGCGCTGCGAAAGCATTCCTCTTGCATGTGGCATCGGTCTCGCTCTCCAGGAAGGTTGCGATCAGCTCCGCGGCGTCGGGAATAAGAGATGGTGAGTGTTGGAAGATGGAGGCGACTGCAAAGACTGCGTTCTTCCTGACGTAGGCGTGTCGGTGCTCAAGGCAAGATCGCGCTGAAGAAAGGAGAGGCTCAATGAGCTCTGCTTCTCTGAGCTTGCAAAGGAATCGCAGGGTGTTGCCACGGATGTATTCGTTGGGGTGCTGCAGATCGTTTCGGATGCCATTGCTAACTCCATGGTCAGTCGATTCGAGGTTCGTTCCAATGGCCTATAACAGCTGCCAATTGCAGATAACGGACGGACTCGACTCACCAGACTAGAATCATCTCCTGCTTCAGCTTTCCAGCAGAGTCAAGCTTGGGGCATATCTCGTAGTAGAAGTAGAGGAGCTTCTTGAGCGGCTTGTACTTGGAGGGCATGACGAATCGGATAATGTGCATGAGCAGCGACGGCATCGGGTCTCCGTTGAGCATGACGGTCAGGATACGCTTCATGGTGTCGACCTTGCTCTCGTCGGTGCCCTTTTCCAGCTGCATGCGCAGGTCGGAGAGGGAGGGCACGTCCGAGGCATTGTCCTGGTGCACCAGGCTGTAGGCGTTTTCGAGGAACCCAGACATGGTGGCCGGCTGTGTAATTGTATTATATTGTAATTCGTGGGCGCACAGAGAGAGACAGCAGATCTGGCTCGGCGGGATTGCGTCGAAGCTGCGGGGAGGATAAGGGGCCTCAAGAGAGAGCGGGAGGAGCTTCGAATATCGGAGAGCTCACCAGAGCCATGTGCCGGAGAGTCGCAGCAGCACCAATTCCAAGGCTCGAGCTGCCAGAGTCGCCGCGAAGAGTCTGGAGAGCGGGCGAGCGTCTGGCGGATGTTGTTGCTGTTGGGTGTTGGGCTGCGTCTGCTTCAGACAATCTGGCTCTTCACTGGCGATGGCTCGCTGGTTACAGGTGGCACTAAGCAGCACGTTGGAGGCGGGCGTGGGGGTCACGTGATGGAGCTATTCCCTTGGACTCGTACAAGTACAGCATTGCAGTGCTTTCGTACCTGTCCGTGGCCTCACCGCCCATTGGTTTCTGCCGTGCCCCACCATCCAGTGACGGAGCTGTCCTATGAATTCGTTTCGCCGCAGCCTCGCGACTTGGATCCAGCCCTGGCAACTCGACAAGGCCTCACTCAACAGCAGTTATGGCGGCCCCCAACGACCAATTTTACATCCGATACTAGTGAGTGATTTCCTGTGGACCGCGCCTGGCCAGCTGTTGCTACAGTTGCTGATTATGTACGCAGCTCGGGCCACATGGGCCGTTTTGGCCACGAATTCTTGGGTACGACAACAGCCTCAACAGCCATCCGCCGAGGCTCAACTTGTGGATGCTTACATGGACGATAGAATTCGACTTTCGCGTTGTCGGAGATGGCCGTAGCGCAGTCGCCAGATACGCAAACAACTCCAACTACAGAAACGACAGCTTGATTCGGAAAGAAAGTAAGGAAACGCTATACCCACTACCAAATGAATTATTGCCCTTTGTGGGCTTTCAATTGGTAGTATTATCAAAGAAGGAAATGGACACACTAACGACACATCTGCAGTGTGTGTGAGCTCCGCAGTTATCGAGGAGATTAAGCGCATTGTCAAGCAGAGCGAGATTATCAAGGAAGACGATTCCAAGTGGCCGCAGAAGAACAAGGATGGCCGACAGGAGCTGGAAATCCGATTGGGAGGAGATCACATTTCATTTGAGGTTTGTTTTGTGCCAAGGCTCCTCGAGTAGTATGGCAGTGGCACCGAGACTGACGCCTCCGCGATAGACGGCCAAGATTGGATCATTGGTTGATGTCACCGAATCAGCCGACCCCGAGGGCCTCCGAGTCTTTTACTACCTCGTGCAGGACCTAAAGGCGCTTGTTTTCAGCCTGATAGCCCTCCACTTCAAGATTAAACCAATCTGAGCCGGCATCGGCATGCTGGAGGGACGGGCAGCGCAGAGTTATGATACCCAGTCGCCTCAATGAGGCATCGGCGATGCGCATGATTGTCACAAGGTGTTCATGGTAACAACATGCATGGGAGAATTCATTCCAGGTCTAGGGTGGCGTATAGGGGAAATGCAAAAGCAACTCATTGATTCAATGCCAGGGCCATGTGGCAGCCATGGGTAATTGTATGAATCAGCACATTGGGAATATAGTCAGTATGGGTACCCTAGAACGGCCCTCCCATGGGGCATTTCAATCTTACATCTGTTGAAAATCTTGAATGTCTCGTCTCGGGAAGATGTCTCTTGTATCCTTTTCCCCCTCCACCCATCAAGGCACGGCTTTGTCTGTCTTATATTTGGTAAGCACTATGTGGGCTGGCACGATTCAGTTGCTCCCTAGGCATTATATGCAAGCGATGGTACGATGTTCGAGTACGGGTATAGACATCATGATGCCATGTAATGAAAAGCCCGACTTCGTTGAATGATTCATGCTTCGTAATGTGAATAAGACTTGCTGACCCCTTGCTTTACTTGTATCATCTGCTGGATCTTTGACTGCCTGGTCAAGCCATGATCTGATAACATGCGTGTTTGGCACCCGAGTGGGACTTGGCTGCACACGGTTCCGCCATTGATCCACATCTTTGTCTGGTGGCTTGGTAGCGATCAAGTACATACCGCTGCGTTGATGACAGTCGGAACGGTATTTGATTTCTGCCTGTTGTCAAATAATTGACTTTATTCAGTATCAACGTGATGTTGATCTGTTTATTAGTATCTGTATCTACTTGTATCTTGTAACCTCTATGGATATCACAAACTGCCCAATGCGGAAGAACCCCCAGCATCCATCTGAAATTCCCCTGCTGCCCAACCTAGCCCGTACCATTCAAGTACAGCATTAGTACCTACAGTACGAGTACAGCGTTTCCCCAGTCGGCCGTGCTGCAATCCCACTAACACCTCCGCAAATCTCCATCTGTCTGCTGTCATTGTGTGCAAGATACTTTTGGTACAAGGCAAGGCGTCGCCCCGGCATGTGCTTTTGCCCCGAATCCTCCCAAGCTCGACACAAGTGACTATTGCCCTCTTCACCTGTACAGCACATGCCACGCAAAATAACCTGCTTTGCTCTGGTACCCCTCATCGGCACCGCCGTCTTCTAGTTGGGCGTAGAATCGCATCCAAGTACCTTAGGCAGGTACCCCGTAGGTACTGCGGCCATCCCAAGTGGGCGCCGCTTATTGACAGTACCGGCTACGTCCCGTCTTCAGCGACATCCAGCACGCCAAAAAGCAAAAGCCCAACTTTGCCTCCCGAAGAAAAGCCATCCATCCCATCTCATGTTGTCCTGTGCTGTGGCTTTTCCCATTCATCCCCCATCACCTTGTGTCCGTCGATCCGCCTCTCGTCTTCCATCATTTCGGCAGTTTCCCAGCTCGTGCCATTGCGAGATGCACGCTGCATCCCGTCCCTGAAGCACCCCCTTCCCGGCCTCGTGCTACCTGTACTTGTGCTGCAATCCGGGACCATCACCGCCATCCATCGCAGCTCGATCCGCTCTCGGACATCCAACCACCACCCCCCCAGCACGGCGGCGCGGTTGAGACATCCTCGCTTATCGTCTAATCGTGGGAGACGAGCAGCCCGGAGGCCAAGATTACCGGCCTGGTCTTTTCTCTCTCTTCATTTCTTCTGCGGCGCACTGCTGCTCTTTCCCTCCATCGGCTCCCTGCACCAGCCTTGCCTGCCACGGACCGACTCGCTGTTTGTCGAGCACAATCCCAACAATGCCGACGCCATCCTCCAATCCGCCTCCTGAACAAACCTCTCCTCCTCCATATAACTTCCCGACATGTCCTGAGGACCAGCCACACTCCTCTCGATCCCCTCGACCGGCACAGGACGCCACGCGCCCGGCTTCTGATATGGAGACTAGCCAGAGCTCGTCGACAAGCATTGCCTCTCCTACGGCGTATTCATCTGAAGCATCTCGCGACGGCCCTGCGGCAGAAGACTCGGTGTTAATAGATGGCCAGGCGTCTGCGGGAGCCTCCCCCGTGGATACTGCATCTCCCCGGCCGCCATCTAGCGGCACGGTTGCCACATCTCCCATGTCCAGTGGACGTGACGATGATCTCAAGCACCAAGGAGCCGCCGCCAGCGATCGCTTGAGCCGGGAGTCATCTACCTTGTCTGCACAATTACAGGTCGAGAATCCGGGCGCCTTCCGGCGTGAGCCCGACTCATTGGAACGGCTCGAGGAGGAGGATGAATACGACCTGCCTCCTATGCCATCTGACTGCATGTATCAACGAGTAAGACTGTTGCTATTGTATTGATGATTCGGCGTATATAGCGTGCTTACACTATTGTGCAGAAAATCCCCATCTCACCTTCATCGTTCCTCCGACCCGGAAGCAAGTTTCGCGGCACACAACAATCCGAAAGACAGGTCTACGAGGTCCAAGTCGAAATCAAACATGTTGACCTGCGCGAATCTTTTCTCTGCGGCTACTTGCGTATCCAAGGTTTGTTTCGTCCCGGTCCCAAGCACTGTCGGCGATTATTTTCCACATTGCGTCATAGCTAACCCCTGCTTATAGGATTGACCGAAGACCACCCAACACTCACCACCTACTTTGAGGGAGAAATCATTGGTACCAAGTACAACTTCTTCACCAAGCATGATGACTGGGGCGCCAATTCCAAAGTCGACCTCAGCCACTGGTCCAAGTTTAGCGCCTTTCGGCCATATCAGAAGATGGCTCGCAAGGGCCCAGTGACCATCACCGACCTTGCGCAAAGAGACCACATCTTTATGCGGTGGAAAGAGCACTTCTTGGTTCCCGACCACCGCGTCCGAACAATCACCGGCGCCTCTTTCGAAGGCTTCTACTACATCTGTTTCAACCAGGTCAAGGGAGAGATTAGCGGAATATATTTCCACTCCAAAAGCGAAAAGTAAGCCACCTACTCCCTTCACAGCACGTTTCAAAGACGCCATGACTGACGGCCTGTGCGCAGGTTCCAACAGCTGGAGCTGAAGCATGTTCCTGATAGGGGGTGCTTCAGTGCCATGGAGTTTCGGTAATGCCAAGCGAGGATATTCGTATTGTTGATTAATAGCGGACGTGATTTATGGGACTTATCAACAGGGAAGTCTTTTTTTTTTGTCTTTGTTTTTACTCTCACATATTTCATTTTTTTCTGGGAGGAATCGATTATGGAAGCGGTGTTCTACGGGATACATAGCATGCGTGCAGAGAGCCTGGCTGTTTAGTATAGGTATGTCGGGATGCACTGCACGGGTTTGAAACTGAATATCTGGCCGTCATGAGGTTGTGTGTTAGCTATAGCGTGACGAAATATGAAATAGATGGGACCAAATGATATGACATTTGAAGGAGGGAATAGGCTACGAGATGCGAGTTGTTTCCAAGGTGCAGCATATAGTCTGGCAGATAATGTGTGTGTCTTATTATTCAGCCTCAAATTTTCTAAAATAACCTCGTCGAAACGGGTTGAGGTCGTCTGCTGTTGTGCCCGTTTGTGCGGCTGCCGCCTCAAGCCTTTTCTTCTCGTGCGCCTCTAGGTCGGTGCTTGACACTTGAGAGTCTGGCAGACGCTGGTAGGTTATCAACCTTCGTGACCCTAAAGAATTTCGTTAGCGGAATGGAAAGCCAGGGGTACGGAGTTGCATACATTTGCTAAAGACTTGGACGCAGACTACGACTACTTCGAGGCAGGGATGTGTGGGGACGGGAATCTCTTGTTCTTCGTCATTTGCTGTGGGCATCCAGAAAGCTAGACGGCCGTTGTCGACCAAAGTATCTGCGGCGAAGGCGAGGATGTCGTCGAGCATGGCTAGGAAGCTGTATGGCTTCTTTGGGGGGACGTAGTCGGGCGATCTGCGAGACAATGTTAGGGCATCTTTATCTTTCACGCTTGCTCTTCCAGGGGTATAGCTTACTCCCACTCGTTTATTCCGAGCTCAATCAGCCATGTGGCATTTTCAGGGTTCTTCAGCCCAAGGACTTTTAATCCTTCCCTCACCCCGTATGGCGGATCGCACACGATGCCGTCCCAGATCCTCCTCCGTCGGATGGGCGTGTTTGTCAAGTCTGCGGAGAAGAAGCCGCCCAGCTGGGGCTTGAGTCCGTACTGGGCAAAGTTTCCGGGCAAGCTCTTCTTCTTGTTGCCTTCGCCGCGCATGCTACGGCCGTCAATGTCGCTGCCCCAGCCGATGGCGCCAAAGTGGGCGCAGGCAACGGGGAAGGACCCCGTGCCGACAAAGGGGTCGTAGAAGAGCTTCCCGGGGCCGGCGAGGGCGATGTTTGCGGTGACGAGGGAGAGCTCGGCGTCCATGCTGGTGGTGGAGATGTACTCGCGCTTCTTGAGGTCGTACCTGTGGACGATGTCGCGGGCCGAGGCGGCGACGAAGCGGCCGAGGCGAACGCTTTCTGGGTGCTGGATTTTCAGGGGGACGCTGTTGAAGGGCCAGAACTCGAAGAGGGTGAATGTGTCGTCCGGGTTGGCCATGCGGATGGGGCCGTCGAAGGGGAGGTAGCTGAAGGTGTCGATGAGGGCGAGGCGCTCCTTGTTGGTGTGGGCGCCTTGGAACGAGTCGACGACGAACTTGAACGAGGAGTCTTTGTATCTGGGCCAGAGGTGGGAGGTTTGCGACTTGATTACCTCGTGGAGGGCGTCGAGGGTGTTGGCGGTGCCCCAGAGTTCGTGTATTGAGTGGGCGAGGACGGAGCGCCGGAGGAGCTTCTTTGCGTCGTCTACGGAGGGGAGTTGGACGACGCAGAAGGGAGACTGGAGAAGAGAAGAATGAGGAATGCGTGCGTTTTGATGAGAGAGTTTTGCGTGATGGGGGGGTCTTACCTCACGGTCGTATTCTTTGATTTTGAGGTTGAGGTTTTCGATGATTGCTAGAGCTTCGATTTCGGGCACGCGAAAGGATTCGTGCTCGGAGGCGAATTTGATGAGGAAATCCATTGTGCAGTCTATGTTTGGTATAATAACAATTTGATGTCTGAGTTGTATGAGTTGAACGGGATGTTGATTTCAGGGTATCATGAGTGAAGCTGAGACGTCTCTGTCTAGTAAGGTGAAAATGGCGGTTTCTTATGTAACTTTTTTGTGCCCTCTTATAAAACTAATGGAAGGATGGATTTCTACAAATGAATAAGAGTTAGTAAAAGAGAAATATTTTTCATCAGTGAAGTAAAAATTGCCACAAATTTATAAAAAGAAACAGAATAAATGAGATTTGCATTTATTCCATCGCCGAGTGTCTATGAAAAACGTAGCCCCGCTATGATGGAGGAAAAAAATTATGAATTTAGCATCGCTGCATCTTATCAGGCTGGCTTTAGGCGGGTACTTTGTCGCTTGTACCTCCATCTCACTCTTAGCTTCTGCCTATAAAAATCGACTGTTGAAACCTCGATCCCGCAGCTTTATAGAGCCGGTTTTCACTCTCGATATACGCATGATTCGTCAATTGAGCACCGGGTTTTGATTGTATTGGATAAGCAATGCTGCACCAGGCTCCGTCGATATACCAGTCGCCGAAATGCTTCGTCACGTACGGCATGATGGGACACGTTGATCCCAGGCAGATTCCGAGTAGGGGCAAGCCTTGGACGGCCATATCAGATCTCGACTTTATCCACAAGGTGAGTCGATGCTCTGACGTGGAATCTGGAGTATCACATCATATGAAGTAGCATTGCTGCTAACAATAATTATTACTAGGTTGACTTGATCATTCCTCAGGACATCTATGAGGCTGTTGCCCAGAAGATGACTGAGCGTGAAGCCCCGGCATATTACAGAGTCGTCATGACGCTGGGCCAGGTGCTGGAAACCAAGTTTCTTACTCAGTACATCAAGCTAGGTGAGTCTATTTCTTTCGTCTTGAGGTAGCATCCTATCCATTTTCTCGCTCCAAAGCTGATCTGCCGTAGGAAACATCATGATGCTCTCCGAAGGAAAGACAACCATTGGAAATCTATTCACTCTTCGAGAAGGAAATTTGGACCTATATCTCGATAGAGAGACGTATGAGCGCGCTGGTCTCGAAGGAAAGCCTTACGGTATCAAGGGTGGCCGGGGATCGAAGCCCAGATGGAGTACGTTGATGAACTTTCCGCTGCCCTTTATATACCTGGATGCTAATTCAGGCCTACAGAAATATCATACAACCTCAGAGAAGGATCTATGCTACACGGGAGAAAAAGGTTCGATAGACTGGTGTATGCATGTAAAAATGTATTGAACCAGCCCATGACTTGGCTCGTCTGCAATGCCTCCAGCTCTGGTAAGTGTACATATACATACTCTTCATACTATTGCCATTTGTCTGTCAATAAATTCCATCCACTAGATCTGACACACCACTAGCCATGAGTGTAGATTTATTGCAAGACCTCAACGCGAAGCAAATGACATCCTCACCAAGGCCATCTACAGACACCGGAATCCATCAGATACCCCTCAGGATACCCTCCACAATCCTTGCGCAAGGAGACCGCGAGGCTCTTGAATATTCTGCGACAGACATGTACGAGTGGCTCTCACTGGTCCGATTGGAAAGCCCTCGTGTTGTAGCCGGGGATGCCATCGACTCATATCTCTCGCGATATGCGCCACCAGGAGCAGACAGCACCGCGGATCAAGTGCAAGTCTGTAAGCTGAGTTGGCAAGGATTCCTATCCTCGAGCTGGCTGAGGAGCCTATTCGTCGACATAGTCACCAACTGCCCCTCGCAATCTTGGTTTGCGCTTAGCGGCACCACCTTTTCTCGCAACATCCTTGGAGGATGCAACGAATTGAGTTTTCTTCGGCCACCGGAGAGCTCGGGAGAATTTCTCATGTGGGAGACCAAAAGTCAGGACTGAGGAAAGACGGAGCTTAGGCTTGCTTAGGCCGCACATTTCGCTCCTCGGACAATCCTTGGTCGAGAAGAGCTTCCTCTACCAGCTTGCGCAGATCCGCCTGGCCCTCGGCCGTATTAAAGTCCTCTCTCTGGGCCAACTCCTCGATTCTGCGGCGGAACTCGGGATCGAACTCGGCAGGGATATCCTGCGTCTCGTCCATGGTGCCAACTGTGACTTTCATGCCTTCTGGGGCATTCTTCATAAACTCGGCTGCGCTGGCCTCGAGCTCCTTGCCGGCTTTTTCGGATTCCACGGTAGCTAGATAGGCGGCAACTTCGGGGAAATCGCCCTCTCCCTCAATCTTTTCTCTTGCCGTCAGCCCTTCCAAGCCTCTGTGCAAGACATCTACACCCAGCTCGACCAGGGCTTTGGCGGCGTCGGTAGTCTCGACGACGAACAGGGCGGTCTCGTTGTCTTCGTCCTTGAGGTTGACATCGACCTTGAATTCCTGGATCAACGCTCGAAGCAGATCTAGGTGGTTGTAGCTGGCCGCGGCATGGACGAGCGAGTATCCGTGTTCGTCCTGGCCGGATGCCAACTCGGGCTTCTCTCGAAGAAGAGGCAGCAGCGCGGGGCTGTTGTCAGCTGCCAGGAGGAAAGGGTTTGACGATGCCATCGTATTCGGTTATGTACGTTTTGTGTAGCCTGATGAATGAAGCTTTGCTTGCGCAGATGATGTTTGGATTTGGTTTGGCAGCTACTAATGGAGGGGTAGACTAGAATTTTTGTCCAAGAAAAAGAAAAAATGAGCAGTCGAGTGCAAAGTTGCCCCTCCCCCACCATGCAGGTGACACCCATTGATCCCATCCATCAATTCGACAGGGCTGCCTAATGGCCGAAGCCGCTGTAACTCAGGGCTAGGGGCCGTTGTGGCGGGCGTTTTTACTGCTTGAGCTCGCTAGAGGCATCCAGTGGAAGTTCAGCGGCTCAGCAGGCACCAGCGGCGATCTGCACGTACAAGCGTCGGGCACTTGCCCGCTAACCCCACACATAGAGCTAAAAGAAATCAAATTCATCGTCCGTTGAAAGACATCAACACCTGAGGAACCAAGAAACTCTCACCTCTTCCACTATCCGTTCCGATTCAAGGACTCAAAGCAGATCCCGGCCGATTCTCTCTCCGGCCTCTGGTTGGTCAGTGCATGATCTTAGCCTTTCGGTGAGGAGTAATTCTGTGCTTAGTCTGCGTCTGACTCACCAAACTTACAGGGCTGAGTAAAAAGAGGGCAGTGTTTGGTGCGACTAGCTACCTCGATATTACTGCAAGGGTAGCCGTGTGTGCCTTGCATCGAAGGGGGAGGCACGCTTGGGTATTAATACGACGGCGCGGCTCTGGTAGAAAGCTGGATCATTGAACGTTTATCGGTGTCGTGGATCAGCTCTAGAAGGACAAGGTAGCTGGGGAAACCAGTGTATGACCTTTGCGCTACGAGTTGGACATTCGTCTTACGGCTTCACATCTCACAACTTCGCTACCCCCATCTACAACTACGTCATTCGAACAGCCTGGTTGATCAGCACAGACAAGATCCAAAGAGCAAAGATGGCGGCTCCGTACGTGGAGCAGGATGTATCGGCTGTCTCTCAGATGCTTTCATCTCTGGAGGCAGCCCGGAAAGACAAGCGACATGGTGGCTTTTCCTGCAAAAAGACTACTTTCAAGATCAAGTCCTCTCGAGACGGTATCAATGTCGACTCTTGGAGAATGCAGGACTGGGACTACAAGAAGAAAGGCCTTCCCACATATGCTCGCGGCCTCTTTACCACAAAAACCAGCAGAAACGCGCCGGAAATCGCAGTCAGAGGCTATGACAAATTCTTCAACGTCAACGAAGTGAATGAGACCAAGTGGGACGTGATTCTCAGAAATACAAAGGGGCCGTACGAGTTGACGCTCAAGGAGAACGGCTGCATCATCTTCGTATCCGGCCTCGAAGACGACACCCTCCTCGTTTGCAGCAAGCATTCCACTGGCGACCGCAGCGATGTCGAGCTTAGCCATGCGCGTGCCGGAGAGGTTCGACTAGAGAAGCAGCTGGCTGCCGTCGGCAAGACCAAGGAGGATCTGGCACGGGAGCTGCGTTCCCGAAACATCACTGCTGTAGCAGAGCTTTGCGACGACTCGTTTGAAGAGCATATTCTGGCCTACGAGAATGATAAGGCTGGACTTTACCTTCACGGGATCAATCTCAACCTTCCTGAATTTGCAACCTATCCGAGCAACCTGGTGCAAGAGTTTGCAGACCAATGGGGGTTCATCAAGACGGATCTGTTGATGATGGAGGATGTGAATGAGGTAAAGACATTCCTCGAAGATGTGGCCAAGACGGGCTCCTATTCAGGTCGTGACGTCGAGGGCTTCGTTATCCGATGCAAAATGTCCAAAAATCCAGCTCTGCCCTACCAGGACTGGTTTTTCAAGTTCAAGTTTGAGGAGCCTTATCTGATGTACAGACAGTGGCGCGAGTGCACAAAAGCCATGATCTCTGGAAAACAGCCCAAGTTTAAGAAACACATCAAAATCACCGAGGAATATCTCACCTATGCCAAAAAGCAGCTTGTCACCAACCCGAATCTGTCCAAGCTCTACAACCAAAATCATGGCATCATCAAGCTACGAGACGACTTCCTTGCATACAAAAACATCAAAGGATCAGATGCCGCCAACCTCGATCTTTTGGATCGTGTCGTGATGACGGAAGTCACCAAAGATGTGATCCTGGCACCCATCGCCACCATTGGTTGCGGAAAGACTACCTTGGCGCTGGCTTTGAAACATCTCTTTGGCTGGGGCCACATCCAAAACGACAACATTTCGGGCAAGGGACGGCCGCCAAGATTTGTCAAGGCCATCATGGATGAGCTGAAGGAGCACCCCGTTGTTTTTGCAGACCGAAACAATGCACAGAAACACGAGAGAAAGCAGCTTATCGGCGATGTCAAGGCACAGAACGTGGAAACTCGAATAGTATGCTTGAATTTCCGACATGACGAAGAGACAATCGATGAGATCCGCCGGGTCACCCAAGATCGTATCATTGAACGAGGAGACAACCACCAGACGATCCATGCGGCGACGGATCAGGCTAAATATCTGGATGTCATGGAAGGGTTTATCAAGCGATTTGAAGAATGCAACCCCAATTCTCCGCCGGATGCAGGCTTCGAACTGGTCATTGATCTGGATCCCACGGCTGGCAGCAGAGTGAACCTGGAAACTCTCGTCAATGAACTTCACCTGTCTCTGCCAAACGTAGTCAAGGAAGTGCCGAGCCCTGAGAAGCTCGACGAGGCTATGGAATATGCGCTTGGATACACTCCCGACTTTAAACACACCATTCCCGATAGAGGTGGAAAGAAAGACGCCAAGCAAGGACAGCGACAGCAGCAGCCGGCACAACCAAAAAGGAAGGGACTCGAGTACATGTCTGTGCGCGTGGGGACAGGTCATATTGACAAGGTCGTCGACAAGGCATTCAAGGGGGTTGGTCCGGAAATATCGCGATTCTTCTGGCAGCTGAAGAATACCAGAAGAGTGCAGCGCCAGTTTCACGTCACGCTGATGCACAAGGCGACGGGGGCCCAGTACCCGGAGCTGTGGAAACGGTATACCGAGCTTCACGAAGCTGCAGGTGGCGGTGATGCCATCCTTGGCGAATGCGACGTGTTACTCGAACGGGTAAGTTGACGTATCGCGGCGAAACTCGAGTCCATATAGCTAACCCTTTTTTGATAGGTTGTTTTCGATGACCGCATCATGGCTATCGTTGTCCGTCTTTTCGACCAGGAGAACAAGTGGGAGTGCGTGAATAAGGTTGCGCACATCACGGTGGGGACGCGAGATGCCGCGGTGAAGCCGAAGGAGAGCAACGATTTGCTGGCCAAGTGGTTGGAAGTTGGCGCCGGTAACGAGGGGATTCAGGAGGTGGTGTTTGCCGATAAACCGGTGTTCAAGGGACAGGTCAAGGGCGTCGCGTACCGGTGAGGGAAGATGAGCATAAGGTAGCTGTATCATTGAGGCGGGCGTTTTGAAGTGGAAACAAGGAAAAAGAAGAATGATAGAAAACGGCAAAGGTATGCCGAATTGGCATGATGATGTGCTTTATACTGCATACCCGCTCAACTGAGCGAGCCTAGAAGTATTTTATATACATGTTCATGTAAGAGGTAGCACGGTGTAATTTCTCAAGGACCCTCGAAACGTCTCAACATTTTTATAGGTATGCAAGGAGGGGTGACAAATATGACGGGGCAATTCAATTGGGCCATGCTCAGCTGGAGAGGCCTTGAGAAAGGGGTATAAGTAGGGACAGAACATGTATCAAAAACAGGGTCCAATAACATCAATACAATGAGGAGCCAAAACCAGAAACCAACCGTACCGTACCAAACCGCCAAACCAGGAAAAAAAAAGGAAACGTGTACGCAATGCTCTACTCGTCGTCTAGGAATCTGCTAGCTATCCTTCCGAAAAAGGGAACTTCGAACCTGTGATTTGGATTGTTAGCTTAGACGGCCTGGGGTATTATTAGATGTTGATTGGGTGGATTACTGACCTGTCTAGTATCTCTGCGTCTTGATATGCTTTGAAGGAGAGGAATCCGATTAGGACAAGGTCGGCGATGAAGATGAGCCAGCTTAGGAACGAAGACCAGGATAATAGGACGTGGAAGACCATGACGGCTGTGAAGAGGAGGGCAGACTGCCAGGCGTGGAATCTACAGACTTGGGTGTTAGTTTCAATGCGCTCTCTTGAAGATGAGAGCAAGGGTAATATAGATATATATATACACACATACCTGACATAGTCGCTATTCCTCTCCAAGATCAAGAGTATCACAGCACCAACGGGCGGAAACGCCAGATACGCCAGGCAGGCCTCGTAATCCAGCCTCAAGCCCAGACTCGTATCGAACTCGCTAATCTCGGCGGGATATGCGCCGGGCATGGGCGTCCCTCCACCAGCGCTGCCGCTGCCACCTCCGAAGCCCCAGAGGCCGCTGCCGGATAATGCGCCGTGTGCGCTGGCGGCGCCGTCGAGGTCGCCGCTCCATGCGCGCTGGGGCTGCGGGTGCTGCAGGGGAGGCGGGCTGCGGGCGGAGGAGGCGATGGCGGAGGGGGAGAAGGGGCGGCGCGAGATGTCGGCGGAGGCGCGCGGGGAGGACATTGGGGAGCGGGCGTGCTCGGGGGGCGAGGACTGGTAGGGTGCGAAGTCCATGGTTTTTTTGTTGGTGATGTTTGTTGGTGTGGTGTTTTTGAAGGGAGAGGGAGAGAGAGAGATACAATATGTCGAGAGGAGCGAATGAGAGGAAAGATGGACTTGAAGAATGGATGGCTAGGACGATGCTGCTGCTATCGAGACATGCGACGCTGTGGCGAGCGAGGGCTTTTGCTGGAACGGCGAGGGCTCGGATGCCTTGTTCTGGAGGAGGGACACGAGAGAGAGAGACGAATGCATATGCATGCTGTTTAGAGTGGAGGTTGGTTTTCGGCAAGGGACATCACATGAGCCTGTTGCGATTGGATGTCTTTTTCGGGGGTGCAAGGGTTGAGCTGCCACCTAAAGCGGCAGGGTCTGGGATGAGCTACAGCTATAGCTTACAGGGCTTGATGGGCGCTGGAGGGGGATTGTTGGTGGGGAATTTTTGGGGGCCTAGCTTCCATGGGATTTTGTTATGGAGCACACATGGCCGGCTTACATGGAATAGACGTCTTATAGGCTCAAGGTTAAATATCATTGAGAGTGAGGAGATGAATACCCAAGTATATAATGGCGTGAGAATCTTATTTGGAGCTCATCCGGGCGTCTATGAAGGCTGCTGAAGAGAAACAACAGCAAGTAGAAGAGGTTGCCTACTGTACTTTGGAATGTCCATAATCACAATCTACATTCACAATTCGGATAAAAACACACGTGTTTCAATGGTTTTCTTTGCTCATTTCTATGAATACATCCTCCATAGTGTACACGTATAATACTTTTTTACAGCCCTATATCCAATCCGCTGTCTTTTCTTTTTCGTTTCAAATCTTGTTCGTTTCCATCATACACACATCTAAGAAGACGCAGGCGCCTCTCCTTTTGACTCTCCCTCCAACTGCTCCTTTCGTCCCTCCAAAGCCAGCCACAGGCTGCGGCTACCACCCTCCAGTGTAGATGTGATGCCCAAACCGGCGCCCTGCAGAATAGCCACGAGCTGGGCGCGGAGACCGTCAATGCCGCCTGCGATACCACCGACCCAGTGGACACCAGCCTGGTCAAAGACTTTGCCTTCGATGCGCCCTCCTATCAGCATCAGCTTCGCCAGGCCGTTCTGGAAAATGGGATCGTAGTATCCGGGGTTCTTCTTTCGCGTAGGCGCAGGGAATTTTCCGGGGACCGGAGCGAGGACGCTCAGTGCCGCTGCGACGTGCGCTGGAGACACGGCGGGAATAATGAGGCCGGCCAAGGGGCCAACCATGAGAGGCTCGATCTGGGCATAGGCGGACTCGGGTGAGATTTCAGCCTTCTTGACTTGTTCATAAGCGGCCTCGGACAGGTCGTGAACAATGGGGCCCTTGGATGTTCGTCTTGTAGATGTCGATGAGGCCGCGACCTCGGGATTGTAGAATTCCACCAGCTTCAGTGCCACGTTCAGCATGTTGGTCCTCAACACTTGCAGCTGTACTCTCGGAGACAAGTCCAGAGGTTCGGCACCTGGGGCGGCGGTGACTGGTGCAACTCCGTCCAGGGCCTTTTTCAACTCTCTCCTTACGGCAGCCCATTCCACTGCTGTGAGATTGCTATGCTGGAAAAACAGGATGAGGGGCGTGGTGCGGAGGAGTGAAGTGTAGGTTCGGATCATCTGACTCTTTCGGGTATCAATTGGTCGAGCGCTGGGCGGTTTCGTCACGGGAGCGAAATCAATTGGCGGCTGGGCGCCTTCGGGGGCGGCTCGTAGGCCAGGCGATGCATGTTGGGCATCTGATGTCGAGAAGTTGTGAGCAAAAGCCCCTCGCACGTGTGTCGCTTCTACGCTGAGCCGTCGCAGGCACGGCCGAGCCGCCCGGCTTAGTATTCTGGTCATTCTGCGCTGATCAGCTCCTGCATGCAATAGGGGCAGATGAACGCGAGAGGGCGAGGGAGGCCTACTTGTGTAGATCTGGGTCGAACTGACGACTCGATTTCGATCAGAATCTCGACATTCAAACATCGAACTTTCAAGGTCCCACCTGAATGGGCTGGTCTCGGATCAATTAGCCGCCGCTCCGAGGGTGAAATTGTCATCAAAGTACCTGCATGTACAGAGGGGCACTCCAATGCGCAGCCCGGTGCTGCATCATCCCCGGCAGGTACCTTGCAGTACTTTGACGCAGATGCTACCAGGCACCCAGACTGATTGCGCGCGACTCGACTTGCTTGCTGCCCTGCAGCTTCAACCTGTAAGCTGGCCAGCAACTACCGGAGCCACACTCCTTCTACTGCATTCTACACAGCGCCAACCCCGATATATCCATTATTTACTTGCATTTCCAATCCTTCCTCTGCACGACTCCCCTGTCCATACCCTCAATACTCTCGCAACCGCCAATCTATCTAGCTTAGACTCGGTACCAGCTGAGGGCCTGCTGTCACCATGTCGACCCTCGAAGAGCTCGATGACCTCGACCGCCGGGAGAAGGAGGAGAAGAGAAGAGGAAACAATGGCAAGAAAGCCACCGTTACCGATGGAGACGATGAGATGAAGGACGCGGAGGAAAAGGAAGACATTCTCGATGACGAAATCCTCAGCCTGAGCACACAAGACATCCAGACCCGAAAGCGACTACTCGAAAACGACTCTCGGATCATGAAGAGCGAGCTTTCGAGGTTAACACATGAGAAGGCCGCCATGGGCGAGAAGATTAAAGAGAACATGGATAAGATTGCAAACAACAGGCAAGTCTTCCAAGCAGCATGCAAAAAATGAGGGAGCCGGCTTGCCTGCTTTGCCCTCAATCGATTTGTCATGTGGCTAACCCGTGATGGATATGTGCAGGCAACTTCCTTATCTCGTCGGAAATGTTGTCGAGCTGCTAGACTTGGATCCCACTGCAGAATCTTCCGAGGAGGGAGCCAACATCGATCTCGATGCCACACGGGTGGGCAAGTCAGCCGTCATCAAGACGTCTACGAGACAGACCATCTTCCTACCGCTGATTGGTCTTGTTGATTCGGATAAGCTCAAGCCTGGTGACTTGATTGGTGTCAACAAAGACTCATACCTCGTTTTGGACACACTGCCCGCCGAGTATGACAGCCGAGTCAAGGCCATGGAGGTTGACGAGAAGCCAACGGAACAATACACCGATGTTGGAGGTCTGGACAAGCAGATTGAGGAGCTGGTGGAGGCTATCGTCTGGCCCATGAAGGAGGCAGAACGGTTCAAGAAGATTGGCATCAAGGCACCCAAAGGTACGACATGTCAAGGAAGCTTTTGTTTACAGGGCTGCTCCTTTTTTGTCATGACACTAACTGACGCGAATCACGATAGGCGCTCTCATGTACGGCCCCCCCGGTACCGGAAAGACTCTAATGGCCAGGGCCTGTGCTGCTCAGACAGAGGCGACGTTTCTCAAGCTTGCAGGGCCTCAACTTGTGCAAATGTTCATAGGAGATGGTGCTAAGCTTGTTCGCGACTGTTTCGCCCTAGCAAAGGAAAAGGCACCCGCAATCATCTTCATCGACGAGCTGGATGCCGTCGGCACCAAGCGTTTCGACAGCGAGAAGAGCGGTGATCGAGAGGTCCAACGAACCATGTTGGAGCTTCTCAACCAGCTTGATGGTTTCGCGTCCGACGACCGTATCAAGGTTTTGGCCGCCACCAACCGAGTCGACGTGCTCGACCCTGCACTGCTACGATCCGGCCGTCTGGATCGAAAGATTGAGTTTCCCCTGCCGAACGAAGAGGCCCGAGCGCAGATTCTCAAAATTCACTCACGCAAGATGAAGGTTGACCCCGGAGTCAACTGGGGTGAACTGGCCCGAAGCACGGATGAGTTTGGTGGTGCCATGTTGAAGGCCGTCTGCGTCGAGGCCGGCATGATTGCCCTGCGATCAGGGAAGAACCAGATTGGCCACGAGCACTACGTCGACGCCATTGCCGAGGTGCAGGCCAAGAAGAAGGATGTAAGTTGTTTGGGGGGGGGGGGGGGGGGGGGGGGGGGGGGGGGGGGGGGGGGGGGGGGGGGGGGGGGGGG